TCGGTTTTTAATGTTTTCTCCTTGACCTCAACTGTAGGTTAAGAATAATCGAATATGACTACAACAGTGTTTTGCAACTTACAGCTGTTCTTGTATTGGTATCATCAGTTGTAGTGTATTGCACATGGGCTGCACTCACTCTGTCATATATTAGTTTTCCCCAGTTTTCTGACAAGAAAGTGTGAGGTACCATGCAGACAGCCTTTTAAGCTGTGCAAACATCTACGTTTCTGATACTGTTGGTTTTGATGCAACACACACCAATAGTAGAACAGAACAGAGAGTTTTTCATCCCCATGTTGGAGGACTATGCAAGGCTTCAAAGGAAAACATACAGGCAGCACGAAACAAAACTCCGAAAGAGCAACTTCCTTGGATGAAAACTCTTCTGTTCAAGAGGCAGAACTTCAAAAGGATGACTAATCAGGAGAGATTTTCACGGCCCTACTCCCTGTCGGACTGCTTTCACCAACAGAACCAGACTTGGCCAGAGGAAATACTCAACACTGTACCTGATCTGTACAGTAATGTAAATTAGTCAGAAGCTGAGCAAAGAAGAAAAAAAACGAAACAAACTCTGTTAGCTCTTATATGACAGATACATCCTCTGCGGAATGAAAGAAACACACTTCCTGTTTTGTAAAGTTGGTCTTCCATCTTCACAATGACATCATAAGTTGGAAAAACAAACCAAAGATAAACTTAAAATGAGTTCAGATGGACAGCTAATGCTCACGAGTACAGGTAGGTGTTATACTACGCATCGATAGATTACTATACAATCTTGGAATGGGACCACAAAGTGGTAGTAACCAGCGCTCCATGTTAGTGACAAAGGTCACTGGCCAGACTGGGCAGACTACAGGCTACAACCCTCTCTCCTAAATCAACAAAATAATTTTGACTGAAAGTCAACTTACAAGCTTCTTTCAGAGCAAACTGTTTTAACCATGAGATGCGGTTGAAAGCTCCTCTTGAAAGCTCACCTGCATCTCGAGGTCAATCTTACCTCTAAACTCAGCTTACTAGCATTTTATGGTGCTGACCATAAAGTTATCATCATGAAGACCAAGAGTTTCAGTTAAAAGCTTTGAACACTCGCTTTTTCATCATTAGGAGATTCCAGCCACTTTGCATGGTCTTCAACATGAAGATCTTTCAACTGGATCTCACAGTTTTCTTCACAAAGACCATGAGTTGAAGTTAAACACAAACTCCCTTTGAAAGCACAACTGCTTCATAATCGTATTTAACTTAAAGAGCTTTTAACCACATCTCACGATAAGTGGTTGAAAGTATCAGCTGGAAGCTCAACCATATCTAGTAGTCACTCTGAACTAAAGATCAACTTACTCACTTTTTCTGGAGCTTTCAACTGCATCTCACAGCCTTAATTGTGACTGTGCATTGCAACTTAAATCTCTGTGAAAGCTCAACACCTAATCATGATCTCCATCATAAAGAGTTGTCTACTATACTTTTCTATGACGTGGTCACACATGATGTGGTTGAAAGCTCTGGTTGATTATTAATAGCTTTTTCTGGTAAGTACGGTCTTCACAGTGAAGACTGTGATATGATGTTAGGATTTTCCCTACATAGATTTGTCCTGCCGGTCCAGTCCACTTCTCTAGATGTGTAGATTTGTTTCATAATATAGTAAGTGTAATCAGAGTCCAGATCTGTGGGTAATAAAAATGTGGAAATGAAATGCACTAACCCGATGATATTACCATTAAGTTTCAGACAAAGACATTTACTGTCAGCAATTGAAGATAAATGTTTTTGAGCATTTATGCTGTGCTTAAGTGCACGTTGTGCTGCAGCACAAGCAAGAAGAATAAAAACACATCTCTCTGGAGAATAACCTTTGTCAACAACTGTGGTGATGAATCTGAATGCAGTTGTTATTGCTGCTTCAGAGATTGAGACGCACGACTCATATAATTGAAAAGCAAGTGTCTTAAAAGTACATGCAATAGACAATGTCACGTTCCTCTTTAAAGAAGGCCAAAATGTCTAAAATTTCTGAGGTAATTTTCCAAGTGAATGCCATGAAAAACGTTCCCATGAGGATGAACTGACTTATGCAAATTGTGATACATTATAAACCAGGAAAAAAGAACAAGCTTATGAAAAAATCTGCTCCACTTAGCAGTAACAGCTCAATTTAGAGTCTTTATGAACATTTCACTTTCCATTTACAAGAAAAGTACAGGTAATTTTTTTTTTTTTGGGTACCCAAACCTTCCCTAACAAGGATTCATGTTTTGAACATATGAGCTCAACTTCGCAAAACATGTCGCTAAAGGCTCATACTAACATTCTGAGTTTTAGGCTACACTATTTCCAATTCCACAGCACTTCATTGACTTTGACATAAGAGCAAAATATATAATTCTATGAAACTGCCGCTGCCTCCATCTGAAGGAGACTTATCTGTTTTTATCATGAGTTGGGACTTGGAGTGTAGGTTTTGAGGTTTACTGGATTCATCAGAAATTATGACACTTTTTTTAGTCTGTGAAGGGAAATTAAAGGGGAATTCAGTGATATTGAGACTGTATAAAATATACAAAATGAAAACTGTTCTTAGGTTTAAAAGTATTTTAGAGTGGATTCCACCTGAAGTATCTCTCCCATCACATCACGTCGTGTTCATGTTCTTTTCTTCGGTCTCCTCCCCTCTCTGCTCTCCATCTTCATCACATTTGCTGCACCATGCCTCTGACAGTGATTACAACTTCAGTTTTTCTTCCTCAGAGAATTGCTCAGGCTCACTAATGTCGATTGGGGAGCAACTGTAAACAGAATGCAAACAGCCATCTTCATGTCGCTTTAATGAGGTTCAAGGACTCCACACTGTGCTTCCTGATTCACTGAATGATTTCCTTGTATGCTTTGGTGTGACAGCCATGTTGGTGGATAAACTCGGTCTAGGACGCCTTCAGTGCTGTAGCATGTTAGTCTGACCTCATTGGCTTCACTGTTCTCACTTTCCTTAAAAGTATCCCAGTAACTGCCAGTGAAACTCTCTCAAGCAGCATGAAGCTGCCACCCCGGTGCTTCAGAGCAGAGTGCATGTTAAATGCTTAATGAGCTGCGCCTACTTTCCTCCAGACTTTGCACTTTGAATTACAACTGTGAAGAGTTTGATTCTGGCTTCATCAGACCACAAAATCTTTGATGCACCGTCTTGTAGTCTCTTTGTACCAACTCCAGTCATGCTGTCCCTGACTGGCTCCTTATGCCCATTCTACCATGTAGGACAGACTTATGAAGTGCTGCGCTGACTGTTGTCCTTCCAGAGAGATCTGCCTCCACAGCCAACAGGGCTCTGATGATGACCAACATCCTTCTTCCTGGGTTTACGAGGATGAGCTGTAGATAGAGTCCATCTGCTGCTATATAAGGTTTCCAATTCAAATCATCTGACACTGTTCTTCAGTTCTATGCCTCCTCACTATTCTGGCTGTGAATCTTACGCAGAGGCCAAGAGTACGTGGCTCTGAACTGCACTGTCATCTACTGGACTTGAGAAACTTACAGTGTGTATTTTGACCCATTTCCCATCTTTTGAATTGACCCGGTGGACAGGAATCAAGGATTTGGATTTAGTTGAGTGAACGGCTACAACTAACAATTATTTTCTTTACAGATTAATCTGTAGAACATTTGGAAACAATGAAAAAAATCCCCCTCATAGTATTGTAGGTGATCTCATTAAATGTTTCTTTTTGTCATTTTTTTCCATTTGTCCAATAATTTACTATAAGTCTAAGAAATGCAGAAATTTCTCACATTTGAGGTGTGAAAAATATCAAGTCTTTGGCATTTAGCTTGACAAAATATTAATCAATTATGAACATAGTAGCAGATGTAGTTGAGTGTCACAGTAAAAGGGTGGAATGCTTCACCCAAATCATTTGTTTTTCAGTTTTCATGCATACAAACAAAGTGTTAAAGGTTATTGTTTGAGATTAATCAAAAATGAGGCGGATATGGATAAAATCTTAAATCATTGTATATGTAATTTTATGCACAATTGCCGAAGTGGTTCACAATGTGGAGGGATCAGGACTCCCAAAGGGATTTCAGATAAATGTGAGGGGTTATTAAACGGATACTTTTCTTCTTGTGAAATTCTGGATACTTCCACCTCTTCAGGCCAATAAAAATCCTTCAAAAACATATAGTCTGATTTATTTTAAGGTGTCACAAGCCAAAAAGGTCTGGAAGCAGTGGCTTAAGACATTAAATACTTAAGAAAAAACTGCCTGTGTATAAATTCAGTCAGAATCTATGATAAAGTTATTTACTGTATATATTACCCAACACCAGCTACAGCCCTCTAAAATATTACAAAAACAGGTTGAGCGCTTTCTATGGGCAAAGTGAGAACATTTAGTTCATTAGCGCAACAGTGTAGAGACAACCGAGACAAAGTTGATAAACAGATAGAGAGGGTAAGAGCATAATGAGGATTGTGTAATGACCCACTCAGAGGAGGCAGTTTGCGTTGGCTGTTACATCTGTTGCTTACATGTCTGGGAAGAGAAAGTGTTTTAATAGACTGAAGCATATTCAACATCAGACACACAGCAACGCTGCAGTAATCATCTTCTTATACAAACACCTGTGGCCCACCATGCAGTCACAGCGTCTGATATGAATGTTCTTGTTTTAAAAAAAGAAAACAGTTAGATGCTGGTGCAGTTAAGGTGGAGGATTTTTTTTTTCTGGTGTTTTGGTTGAGAGGAACAAGAGGAGGAGGTTCTTCTCTTCTTGAGAGAAGGCAGGTTTGATTACCATCTTCATTCACAATGAAGTGATGCATATTGAATATACCAGAGTGGATAGATTTCAAGAATCCTACCATTCCCTCAGATAAACAGTACAGGCCTTCGCCATCTCCTTTGAAACATTGGTTTACATTTGCAACTAGGCCACTGTCGGGTCACAGTACGCAACATACATAGAGCACATATATATGCAGGAGGTTCTGCCAGGAACGTATTCTTTTAATGCCATGTATTAAAAAAAACAGCAAAAAGACTTTCTCCGTTGAAGTACAATGCTTTTTTCCTGAGATAAAAACATTTTCCTGGAAACATACAGTGTGATTATGATCCACTTACAGTCAGTCAGCAGCGGCTGGAATTATACATCTCACTAGGGAAATAGAAATCTTTTGTAATGAGAAAAGCAGTTTGCTGATTGCTGATTCTGTAATGGTTGGGAATAAAAACAAAAATGTTCTGTATTCAAATGTTTTCAACATAATTTACACTCGAGAGAACCGTTTGTCTGGAAGACACCCGAGAGAACTTTAAAAATAAAAACCTGGTTTAAAACTTCCCCAGCTGCATTTAGCTGCATTAGTAAAGGAGACTCGGATGATGCTCACTTGATATCCCCTCTGGTCAAGTATCGAACAAAGGTGTCTTTAAAGGCGAGGTCTGTAGGGATAAGATCTGGAGCACATGGTTATAAATAACACTTTTAATAAGGTGCAGCCACCTTACACACCTTATTAAACACTTTATTTTTAACTGTCTGTTCCAGATCTCATTGTGTTGTCCTCAAGTAAAGTAAACTTGGATAATGCATGTTCTTACCATAGCAGGAGGAACATTTACATGCTGTGTGTTGGTAAATGTAACAACATCCACCTAACGTGAGGAGGTCAATTTGCGATCCTTTAGCTGAGAAGTCAGTTTCACATTGTTGTTTACCGTGGCTATAAGTTTAAGAAATCTGGGACTGACAAAACCACTACAGTACTATAAAAGTCTTCGCCCCAGAGGGTTTAAGATGAGAAGAACCTCCATCCTCTGTGAAACTGATGAAACTGAGTAGCCTCAGTTGTAACGTTTGTTTCTGGACGGTTTGGTGTTGTGAAGTTGTTGCAAGAAAAAAAAATATACCTGAGGCTACTTCTCTTCATTTATCGCCACTGGGGAGTCTGCTCTCTCTCTCTTTACTGAAACTGTCTCCTCCTTAACGCTCCCATCGTCCGTTAGCTGTGTTGCTTCTCTTTTCCTCTCCTCCTTAACGGGTTCCTTTTTCACCTTCCCCTTTGCAGTAACATGTGGTGGTTTGACATCGGTGGTGGACTCAGAGTTGGCTGTTGAGCTCTCGCACACAGTCGGCCCATCCCACTTTGGGATCTCCAATCCCAGCATCTCCATCAGCTGTTTCATGACCTCGTCCACGTAACCATGGATACGCAGGTGTGCGTGCTTGTCCTGTGAGACAGAAAATCACAACAGTGAAAAGAAAAACACAAAGATGCCGGACAGAGCAGCAGTTTTTAACCATGATTTTGTTTCTGGTTTGTGCGAAGTATTTCAAGTCGCATTCCACGCTTCTTCCGGTATGTGTGTAGTAATGGTGCATAAATGAGACTCACATGCTTTGTAGCCTGCAGATTGACGATGACAATTTTCCCTCCTTTGCGCTTGGTGAGGAGTGGGAGGTCTCCACTTGGTTTGATCTGCATGGACGTGCCGAGCGTCAGAGCCAGGTCCGCTCGTCTGCGTGTCGAAAGTAGAGAAATACATCGCACATAAACCATTAGTGTGACTGTAGCTGAGGTGCGTCTCCTACTACCTAATGTAAACACATGACAGTGGCTGCAGGGAGGGCGTGTGGCGACAACAAGAACTTTGATTGGTCAGGTTTGCTTTCTCCTACAAGTTTCCAGTGCTGGTTGGATGCAATTCAATGATTGGTCCATTCATTGATGATGAGTCGAATGATAGAAAATTAATCAGTAACTAATAATGAGTTTGTGACACTAATTCTTCAAGCAAAAATGCCAAATGATGGCTCCAGCTTCTCCAGATTCCAGATTTTCATGGGTGTTTTTGTTGTTCTCTGATGTTTTGGAGACAAAACAATCAATTGTGAAAATTATTGGCAGATAAATTAATAATGAAAATAATAATTTGTTACGGTTCTAGAGAAAAACATTAACAAAAACTGAAGAAAGCCTTAAGTTGAGACTGTATTTCTAACCCAGGTAGCCAGAGAGTGAGATATGTCCTGCTCTTTCTGAACAAAACAACCAAACTATTCACAGATTATTTTTGAACGAAACATCAATACAGTAGAAACCAATATAGTCGATAATACATTGTTTTAATTGTTATGTTTCAACTTTAGTTCAATAGTCAGGGCTCCAAATTTCCGCTTTGTAATTTAAATTAAGACTTAAATAATTCATTTTTTTCAATACACCAAGATAAAACACAAACACACTCAATTAATCTCACTGTTTTGTAAACAAACAAGCAGCTTTTTGCGGCTGAAGGATTTAATGAAAATACTGACACACACAGAGGCACGTGGAAACATTAAAGCAGACTGCGCTGCGTACACAAAACCCAAACAGATTTTTAGGTAAAGGCTTATTTGCATGTGAGGATGCTGGCAGCAAAGCCACACAGAACACTACAGGAATACATTACTACAACATATTACATAATACATTTCACATTTTTCAGCTCACAGGACATGTTTGAACTACGACTCGTGCTTCAATATTATCTGTCTCACCTGCTGCAATCGTCTGCTTTGTTCAGGTCTCTGTCAGGAAGAGCATCCTCCCAGTCAAGTATGGTGCTGATAAGCTTTCCTCTGTTGTAGTAAAGAATGGACAAAGACACTAATACATTGCTGATGTTAAACTGTAATTTCAAAATGGACAGTTCCACATGTGTTACCTGCAGGCTCTGAGTCCTCTGGAGCGAACCACATCACAGTAACGTCCTGTTGGTTTCAGCCCCATTACACCGATCACCTTTTCTCTGACATACTGCCTGGAAATCCACAAACCCCAGTTTAACCAGATAGGAAGACAAAGCTGCTCACAAGCACCCTGGCAAAGCCAATTTAAACACAAAAACATGATAATATAGACACAGTGGCCATTTTATTAGATAAACCAGACAACTTTTACCTCCAGACACAGGCTGATTATTTCCAAACGTGGACGCAAGAAGATTCTGGAGATGCTCTTTAGGGATTTTAGGGAGTGGACAGCACTGTGTAGCTGCTGCACAGATGTTTAAACATTTGTTCTTCAACCATGCTGTTTTACTTTACTTTTTACCAAAAGGTAATCTACTGCTTTGAGATCTTAAGACTGTGCCGGTCACTGGAGCAAAAGGAAGTCACTGTCATGGCCCACAAATCATTTTGAGATATAGGGCCCCATCTTACACCCTGTGCAAAGCAAAACTCAAGTGTCTTTGCTGGTTTCAGACAGATTCAGTTGTCATTTTCCCATCCTACATCCATGTTGTTTAAATACCAAATACACTTGAACTCATCCGAGCGCACATGGGCATGGTGGTCTTAAAATGAGGTGTGGTCAGTTGCATTGTTGGCACATTGCTATCTTGAGGCAGCGGAAAGTGATTGCACGATTGTCAGACCTGGTCTGAAGTCAACGGCGCATTATTTCACTGTCATTCAAAGTAATATGGGTACATAGGTGGGTGCACAACGCACCTACACCTTGCCTGTTATGCACAAGCACAGTGTGCTGCAAAAGCACTTTAGATGTTGGGATAAGTCAGGTGAACATTACAATACAGTCTGAGTAGGTCAGGCAATTCTTTGTGACGTATTGTGTGCTGCATAACATTGTCATGCGTCCTGAATGTTTCTTGGACATAAATGAGGCTCTGCAGAGAAGTGTACTTTCTTACTTCGTGGTAAATCAGGAACCACAACAGTTTCATAATGAACCAAAAGTTTATTTAAACTTCTCATAATATATACAAACAACATAAAAGAACATTGTGATTTGATACTGTTGTTTAGCTTAAATTTTGACTGAGACTGTTGTGAAAGAAATCAAGATTTACTGAGCTTGGTAAGATTCATCTTCTTGTTCTTATCCAACAGGAGAGGAAACCTGCATGTTTTGTGTGTCTGTGTTGAAGAATTCTTGTCTGCACATCTAAACTATTACCTTCATATTTGTGGACTTCCTTTGATCTTTCACAATTCTTGCCCCTCTGACCTCTCTTACTTCTCTAAACAAGATATTTTCAATCAAGCTGCCACTGACTGCATTTTTTTCTTAACACGTCACTCTCTGTAGATACTTGCAGTATGTGAAAATCTCAAGAGGGTGCCGGTCTCTGAGCTTCTAGAAACAGCAGATCTGGCAACGACAGCCACAACAGATGCAAGAAAGCTGAGATACTGTGCATTCATAATGTCAAGTAAAGAGAAACTGAACATCTTGCTGTGTCTATTACCAAAACAGGTGTACCTAATAAAATGGCCACAAAGTGAAATTCAGTAAAAGACAGTGGCTTGTTAAGATGAGGATTAAGGGTTTCAAAATCAAAATGTGGGTGTTTGGTGTGTGTGTGTGTGTGCGCACATACCTGCCACACTTCTCACACTCCTCCACAAACATGTTACCATGAAGCTCTGATAGCATATCCCTAATTGAGAAAGAGTGAGAGAAATACACAAAGGCGAGAAGATCACAACGATGATATTCACTTAGATCATTGTCTCCAAAGTTAAAGTTAATGTCAGAGTTCTTCAACACAACTTTTTCTCAGTCCTTCTTTGCAATGTGTGCTCTGATTAATATTCTGAGCACTTGTATTTACTTCTGAGTTCCAACTGGCACCTGTGCTTATAAATCCCAAACAGTTTACTTTACCTGTTCGTCTGCTTTCTCTCTGATTTCCTCAGACTGTTACCACTTTGCTGTCAGGCCTGACTGATGGAGTATAGAGGGAGACCTAAGAAATGGCTTCCAGGGAAAGTAAGTCTTCTAATATGCGTAAAGGATGGATCTAATTTCTAAATGAAAAATTGAATTCTTTGCCTCAGGTTAGTCCAATATGATTGGATAATCCAGAGTCAGACCAAAAATTTTCCATTATACTGAGCTTTTTTTTGATAATATTTGAGTAGTGTTTAAAGAGTTAACCATTTCTGGTGCTGTTACAGCTGTTTTCACAAAGCAGCAGCATTACCTTCAAAAGAAGGAGCGTGAAACAATGAGGTTGTCTCACAGAACTTACAATGCTGTATACAGTAAATTTGTGTTTGTAAAATATTAGAAAAACAAACTATAACCAAGTTTTTATCTTCTCAATAAGGAATTCACTGCATTTTCTGAACAAGTTGTGCTGAGAATTTCTGTCCTGAATAAGTACCTCATGTCTACCTCTCACTTACTCATCCCCTCTCCTGTCCACTCACCCTGCTTCAACTCCAAATCACTCCGTACAACATAGTTAGTGATAGTCCTAAAATATATCATATATTTGCATATGGTGAAAATGGGGTAATCTGCAATAGTTTGTGTTACATCTTTAAAGCTGCACTTATGAATACTTTTATATTAAATGTCACTTGTAGTGACAAACCCATAGAGAATTGCCGCCTTACTTGTCTTTGTTTGAGCAGACAAGTTAGTGACTAGGAGGTGCTCTGTGACCGCAACACATTCGCCATTACAATTCTTGTTCAGTGCAACAATTAGTCGATTAATCAATTGACAATTGAAAACTAACGGGAACATTTTGAAAATTGTTTAAAAAAATGGATAGTTCTACTTCATAGTACACTGTTTATCTTTAGGCTTTGGACTGTTTGCCAGACAAAACCAGACTTGATTGAGATGTGTGTCACGACGACATTTGCTTGCATCCTAGGAGTCTGTGACAGGCAATTTCAGAGTTTTCTAAAATTTTGTAGACCAAGTGATTAATGAACTAGTTGGAAAAACCTATCCCAAAATGAATGAATTAGGTAAAGAATCACACGGTGTTGTATTTACAGCTTGTTTCACTGCAACCACGTCAGGAAAAACAATGATTACTGCTATCAGAGCTACTAAACGTTATGTGGCCCATCTGTGAGATAATGTATTGCTCTATGCCAACTAACAACTCTGATTTGAGTTAGCTAGTGAGTGTGTAAAATGCTTGATGTGAGTATGTCATGCTACAGCACAGGAGGCACAGTGGAGTAACCTGGGGAAGCCTGATCGGACATGCAGGCCGTCCACGTTCTGGCTGATGAGATACTTGAGGTATCCTGCCCTCTGTAGTCCCAGGAGGGCCATATGAGTCAAGCTGGGCCGGGCATCTTCAAATGTGGTGTTGAAGTGAGGTGACTCGCCCTTCTCTTCTAACGTCCACACCCCCTTTGGACCCCTGAAACAGAACATAATGATGAATACACTGAGCGTAGGTGTAAGGACTGAATCAGGATTGGACAGGTTGTAATGCAGTGGGTGGACTGGAGGCATTCTGTGTCTACAACTCATGTGTGGGTTTGTGCCAATGATTGAATATTAACAATTTGATGCAAAGATGTTCCACAATGTTTGTGTACCAAAATGCTGCAAGATTCTCCCACTACTAAAATCTACAAAGAAAATAGGAGAAATTGTATTAAACAAAAATTATTATTACAAACATTTCATAAAAATATCAACAATCGAATATGACAATAGCATTTCTAACAACATGGAGCTACAAGTTTTCAGACTGAAAAATATTAATTCTTAACTCTATTTAATCTCCAATTTGCTATCATTCTTTTCATGCTTCTGTAATGAACCAGTCAGTTTCGGGTGTTCGAATGAGGGATGAACGCAGTGCTACTGTCAGTGCCGTCTCACACCCTGACTGTTATTTCAAGGACAAACAACTAATCTTTATGCATCAAACAAGGGAATGCATCCTGTGAATCCTCAAACGCTGCCACAATAGCCTGATCTCTTCCCTTTCTATGTGAACTACAACAGCCCCATTTCTCATCACAAATATGATTCACTGCTTGCTCACCCAATGCTAGTTCAAAGCCATGCCAGCTTTAACAGAGAGATATGTGCGTCATTTATTACACGCTTACCACCATGAGAAAGATGCTGCAGGACACGAAAGCCACGGAGGATCTGTAAAGCTGGTAAATTCGCATGTTGGTGTTGTCAATAACATCAACCTAGGGGGATTAATTTTTTACTCACAGCAGGAGCATGTGTGAGTGTGCATGTGTGTGTGGTAGCTGTGGGACTACAACATGCACAAGTAGGCCTGATGTGTATATAAAAACCTTGGCTTTAATGATCTTGCCATTCAAGGTCGACCCTACCTGACTGACAGGCAGACCAATCAAATATTAATTAGTCAAGTCTCCATTCTCCAGGTACGTGTATCTGAATTCACACAGGCAAGCATCTGTCGTTCACACCAGATCAACAATGAAAAAAATGAATGAATGATTGTCTTGTGTAGTAAAAAATTTTACAAAGGCAATATAATAGAAGAAAACAACGGAGGTGTGATGTATTTCAGCGTGTTATTGTTTTACAAAGAGCTGGATCTGACAAATAATAAGCAAGTACCACCCTCATCTGCTCAAACAGTGGTACTACAAGAGAAAAGAAAGACTGAGAGAAAGTGAGTAATGACTTTGGAGGTATATATAAAAAATAATAATAATAGTGATGATGATTTTAACATTTTTATTAGTTACAATCCCACATGTAAACAGAGTGCTTTACAATAAATGTGCCAGTAGAAAAATTCTAAGGAATAAGAAATTTGATTTTGCATACCAACTGAAAATATCTGCAGTATCCTGGTCTAAAAATATTGTCATTATTTGTGACATTTTACACAGCTCTTTAATTTTCCAATAGTAAGAGTACGAGCAAAATCACTTTAATGCCAAATGTAACAAAACAATAATTTGACCACTGAAGATCAGGTACAAAGAAGTGCTAGAAAAGCAGATTAGTGCTCAGGACAGGTAGAAAGTAATTCTTTGAAATTCAAAACACACACACACACACACACACACACACACACACACACACACACAAAACTATGTTATTTACATAATCATAGTTCACATTTCCAAGGCTGCCAAAAAATCTGAAATGCCACTATGGAGTTAGAGTCCTTTTCACCTCTCATCCTTCAGATTTCTAATCAACTGTTTGTTCCTCCTGTTCAACATTTACAGCAAGAGGACAGTCTCCTGAATGGCTGCAATAATATAAATTTTCCTGTGTCTGACGTGTCAGAGACACAGAAACTGTTTTGTTATAAAAATACTTGTTGTTATTTTATCATATAGCCCGGTTGATTCACCACAACCAAGACAATCAAACACATTTGAGATTTTAGAGTTAAACCTAACTAATTTAATTAGCATTATTTGGGACATTAACATGCGCTTCTCCCTCTATTCAATTTATTAAGAGCATTTTGAAAACAGAAAATGTTAAGGACTGATTATTTCAACAAAAGGATGTCAATTTGAAAACCCAGTGACAACAAATACAGACAGAATAGTGAGGTTTTTTCTTTCATAAAAACATCATCAGTACATGCAGTCTTGATAAATCAGATGTCATTCTTTTACTACTTATATAGGATATGTCACAAAAAGTCCACACTTAAACAAAAGGTGATACAAAAAAAAAAAAAGTTTGTGGTAACTTGTGGCTCACCTGAAGTCGGGGATTCCTGCTGAAGTGCTGATTCCTGCTCCAGAGTGGACAACCAAGTACTGAGACTCTTTAATCAACTGGGCGAGGGTCTCCACCTTCACCTTTAGCTCCTCAGGACTATCAAACACCTGCCACAGAAAAAAATACAACAGGTGTTTGGTAATGACTAAGAGCTTAACTAAATGCTTTCATACAATGTTTAATCTCTGCGTATTTTTCAGATGAGTTTTATTTTTGTGTCTGTCATGCATCTTCTGGCAGGATTTACTCAAAAATAAAGAGCTAATAAAGTTACAAGATTATAGGTGCTTCTATATTCTTTCAAACAACATATTTATGTGGATACAAAAAATCCAAATGAGCTGTTCACTTAAAAGAACTACTACATCTCAACAATTTAGTCTAATAAAGAGCTTTTTTTTTCTCTCAGGCTTTTTCCTAGTAACTGACTCCTTTAAATGTTTCATATGTGAACAGCCAAACTCAGACTTTGTGCATCATCGTTACAGCCAATATCTGTTAATATATAACTAAAGTGTTGTGCAGTTCTCAGTAAATAGGAAAATAAAAAACAATATATAATTAAGTGTCCATATCATTCAGACAGCACATTTTTTAAAAAAACCTGCTTTTTTCTTTCAGATTTGACCGTCCATTGCGGATCTCAGCTGGCCACATAGAGATCTTTGTTTTGAAGCTAAATCGTTTACAACATAAACATCAAGACTACTTTTACGCTTGATATACTCTCCGGTGCTAGCTAACACCCCGTACTTGTTCTTAAGTAAAATCTGGAATACAGGCCCTCCCTCTTTAAAGGAGTCTCTTTACATCTTTTAAAAGAATCTCCCACCTCCACATCCTAAAGACCGAACCAGGTGAACCACACATCCTTGGCTAACCTGCTAGCTAAGTTAGCCGTTTAGAGAGCTAAGTAGTGAGTCCATAGCAGCTATTTCTTTACCTCTGGAAGTCCGCAAACTCCTTTGTCTGCGTACGGCGAGAGCCCAGCAGCATAATTCACAGACATGGCTGTTGGAGGCGTTGTGTCTTCGTTGTTTTTCTTTTTAAAACTGTTCCTTTATTTTCTGTAAAGCGGGCTGTTAACGCTGTTGTTTGGTTGACGTCATAGCTAGGCGACGACATTTGCTGCATTCACTGAAATGGGAAATGACAAGACAAATCTCCTGGACAAGTCGGAATCATAGACTATATAAAAAGGTAGTATACTTTTTCCTTGAAAAAAGAAAAATCGTTCATACTTATCAAATATCTAATTTTAACGCTGTTTTGCTGCATTTGCAGAGCTCATTAGCACAGCAAAGTGCGCTATTGTACCCTTTTGGTGAACTCTTAAATCCTGTGAAGCTCAGTGCTTAGGGTGGACTGTTGCTTTGAGTTGTGGACAATTAGAGACAGTTGTAAACAATTGCCGATATTCCTGTGCAACTTGAAAGCACCACTCTCTACACTCCTGAATAAGCACAGTACAGTCTATATAGAAAACACAGTCAAATTACATTCATATAGGAAAGTTCTTGTGGTAAAGCTCATCTCTAAATGTACACATGGTGCATATTTCAAAAGTATTTTTAGGATGCAACTCCTGATTGTAACAGTAAATGTTACTGTAACCTCCAATAACAGGTTACTGCTAAAAAAAAAAAAAAAACAGACTGAAATTATCACAGCAGTTAATCAAAAAACTTTTAACACTGTGCATATATTTTTCCAATAAATTTTTATTTTTCAGTTTTAAATAGCCGAAAATAAAAAATGAACACGATGAATAAAACAACATGGTGATCATCCATACAGCTACATGTGCATATCAGTTATGGTTCCTGTTGAAGCTGTAAACCAACGCTGAAGACCACCTAAAGAGGACAATATTTGCTTGTTTGAATTGTTTTGTCATATGTAATTTATTATCCTGAGAGATTCAGTATGAAGTCCCAATTTAAGTCAATGAAACAATCAATATTGCTGATGCAAAAATAGACACAGAGGACACCCATACACTCTAAAATTATATCAAAACCTGTCCACTCTCAACTAACACAAAGAATTGAAATGAAAATAAAACATGGTGGCCTTCTTCTTCTTCACTTCCAGAGCTGAAAAACTTTGATAATCCTGACTGATACTGCAACAACACCTTTTGACAGACACCTTTCCTACAGAAGCTTTTTTGCCAATTAAACCTAATAATCTCATCACAAAAATCATTCTCAAGCAGAGACTGCAGGCATAATGTCTACCCAAAGAAAGAGACTAAAATTACAAAGCTTGCAAGAGAGCAAACAAACACAAAGATACAACAGTCATAAAATATTTTGGGCTCACTTTTACACTGGTTTAGGTCTTTGGCTCCTTCAGGCTACTCAGAGAGCAAACCTGTGGAGAAATACAATTCTGATCAGTAATTAGTTCTGCCCTCCACCCCCCAGCCCCACACCCCGCTTGAAAAACTTGGTCATCCTACATGACTCTTACATCTGAGCTACTTCAAATAACATAACCCCACACTCAAAATGACAGAGAAACACATCCAACAGTAACCAGAAAAAACACAGCAAAGATCAATTTCATGTTAGCAAAAATGTTCACATGAGGAATTTGACCCACTGACTCAGCTCACCAGACGGTCCTCCAGGCAGAGAGTCCCTCATCGTCACAAGTGCTTGTTATCACTGAGCTGAAAACAGATCATGATGTAGATACACTGTCCACCAGTAAAAGAGACACAAAGCTTCCAAAGATGTTGTGGCATGCACAGGAACTCTGAAAACACCGTCCCGTGTCAATTCATGTCCGGTCCTATTGAAGCGAGACAGACTGTGGTACTCGGAAATGTCAGGTTCGGTGTGTTTGCAGTACACTGCTCAACACAAAACAGGCTGCTTGAAGTCCTCTTCATTCATCAGTCACTTAGATCAACTACTGGTGAGCAACACCCAGTTACAATTAGGGAAATAAAGATATGAAAGAGAGAGGCTGAGAAAAGTTTGGAAGTGTTTGCACCAGTGCAAATGTTGCTATTGTTGACAGTGGTATTAATCCGACAACACCTTATACTATACAGGGGACTGACCAACTCAATAGGATTACGTAATAGTTTAAGTTATTCTCTCAATAAGGTTTTAAGTGGTGATGAAAACTGTTTGCAAAATTGGACAAACTGGTGACTTTTGTGCTGGTGCAAATCTTACCAGGTCTGACCCTTCCACAACGATGCATCGATTTAAACCTCCGAGAATATTTCAGAGATTTAGGAAAAAACAGCTCTTTTCATTGGTTTAAAAGTGGGAAGCTTCAAATCTTTCTTGGTTGTAGACCTCGAATATCTGGCAACCCGGGCAGAAAAAAAGGGGGTAGCATATGTCAGCTAGATTGCGTTGCTGTCAAAAAGCATGTCATGACTCCTCATTGCCTGAGTCATCCTCATCGTAGCAGCAGTCGCCATCCCCGCCCTCCACGTCATCGTCGTCATAGTAATAGTCATAGAAGAGGTCGGAGCCTTCATCGGGAGGCGGGATGCGTGTCCGGACACAGTACTCGGCCAGCGTGGTGGGGACTTTCACGCCGTCACGCTCAGCTTCTGCCTTAGTGGCCAAAACCTGTTTCCTGAGAGAGATATAAAGAACATACACAGTGGTAAGACAACACCGACTCTTCAGAAAGAGCTTCTTCAGCTTTGGTATGCTATGATGGTATTGTATGACATTTTACCTGATGATTTCTACATATTCCCGATCCTTGCCCTTGCTGTCCCTCCATTTACGATACATGACGGAAGCGTCCACATTCGCAGGAGAAAAGGTGTTGGGTTCATTCAACAGCGAGATCACACTCAGTAAAATAGTTCTGGAAGAAAACACAGAGGTGAGAGGAAAATAAGGTCGTTAAACCTAAAACACTGTCACAAAATACCCTCCTTTAGAGATATGGCCATTGACTATTTATTATTTATTATAAATTATTTATTTGATTAACAAATATGGAATATTTTATCTACTTTCTCACTTATGTCAGTTTTCTTATAACCTGTATTTTACAGATATTCAACAGAGCTATGTAAATCAGAGCAGCAAGTAGATTATTTTCACTAGTTATTTATCTGCCAATAACTTTGGGTTAGGGTTTTAATTAACCTTTGGTTAAATAAAATTTTAAACACTATGAGCTGCTCTAGATGTGACTGCAGCATAATCCCCAAAATTACAATTATTTATCTTTTGATCAGTAATGGAGAATTTCTTGATGTGGCGGTGATTTCAACAAGGGAAATATTAAAAAATGTTATGTTTTAAACTGAGCTGTAATAGCTACACATTGTGCAGTTCTAAAGCAAACAAAAGGAAGATGTTTATTGACAGCTCTGTTCATAAACAGATCACATTACACATGTGGTGCTGAATACCCAGGTATGGATTCAATGTTAGATTCTGGGAACTTCTGAAGAGACTCCACTGAAGACAAATGTCATGTGATAAGGGTATGAGTCAGGTAAATTATTGAAGTGGTTGAGGTAGGACAAGGCAGGGAGGTTGCCTACACAGAAAAGAGAGACATATGAGGAGAGATAATGAGGGAGTGTGCTAACCGGACATTCTGGGTGGGATTCCATCTCTCTGAAGGCAGCTCTCCGCTCTGTGGGTCGTCCACTGGAGGGTGCAATATAGAAATACACACATCTCCATTCTAAAACAGAGAAAATCAACTCTTTTCAATATTTGATGCATCGTGTAGACATTAATAAGAGCACACACAAGCATGAAGACAAAACTGAGCCAGGCTGTGATACTACACCTCGTAGATGTTGGGGTGCCACATCTTGGTGAGGAACCGGAAGGCAGGAGGGGAGTACGGGTAGTCTATAGGGAACTTGATCCGAGCCTAGGACACAAAACAGACCTTTACATCTAGCTGTAAACTGTATTGCTACAATATCAGACAATTTTTACTAACAGGCCTGATTGTTATTGATGGTGTTGTCATATGAGTGGTGCTCTTATCTGTAAAAGTTTCTCAGTGAATGTTGATTATGTTTTTAAGAAATGCATGTATTCTAAGTGCTCAAACCACTCAATAGCTTTGGAGCAAGCTTGACAATCTTTAAAGTAGTTCATAATTCTCTCATATAACTGCATGGTGCAGTATGGCAACCTGGACAGTGAATGAAGGTTCAAACAAACTAATTAGATGGCATTAGAGCCAACTATGGGCTTTTTGGGAACAGAGGGTGAGGAGGAAGGTTAAGTGTTTCCTGGAAAAGCTTTCTCACCTACCCACGGGAAACTGGCTTGCTTAGAAAGTCTTTTTTCTCTCCTTTCCTATGGTGTTTTCTTAAATGTGTATATTGTGTTTACTATTTGGAAGCATCATTGTGTCCCTGCTGCTATTATGTGCTGTATGTTTTAATGAACTGCCAGATGTGCCAAAGACGATATTCAAAAAAAATTGTATTCTATTCTTACCTTAAAATACCCCCCTTCATAATGAGTGTTTGGGGGTCCGAAAATGGCCACTTCCCAGTTGTACAAATCAGCCTCGTCCACCAGTGTTATTTTGAACCCCTCGACAGGTTCCTCCTGAAGACTCTTCATTTCCAACATGAGTGCTTTCTGTGAACTGGCTACATGAGAGGGGTCGTGTTGCGCCATGTTGGACTAGATAGCTTTCAAGATTATCTAGAGTCGACAGCTGACGGGTTTTGTTTACACGAGCACGGCTAAGTTAGCCTAACTGGGCAAACAACCTACCGACACTGAAGAACAACTTGTATTTTCGATGGTCGGAGACAATGCAATAGGCCAAACCAGCCAGGCTGCGCACAAGCTGAACAAAGCTTGCGCTGATTTATTCCCAAACTAGATGAATTATTTACCAATGTCAATACTCAGAAACTGGTGAACAGGCCAAACCATTGTGGCTGACCGGCGTCCCGAGCTTCAGTTGATCTACCTGGCAGGGCAGCCACGGATATAAGCCGTAAATCTACTGGTAGCGCCTGGCTAATATAAGCTAGCTGACAAGCTCTACTTTACCGAGCAGCTGGAGCCGAGTTCACTGTGGCACCAACAGTTTCTAACTCCTTCCGAGAGCCTGAGTAGAAAAGAAAACACAGCTACTGGTCTAATATGGTCAGATATGTAGTTGATAATGTCCCAACACGGGACTGGGTAAAGAATAATGTTGTTGAAAGGAGTCCCCTCTCCCCTCAAAACAGGCAATGGCGCGTTGTGTCATCTGGTATTTGTAGTTCAATTTAACCTGTAAACATTACTTCTTCCCCTGAAAGCAACTAAGAAGCCACACAATTTCATAATAAAGGACTTGGTTATATAAACTCAGATTTAACCAATAGGACTTCGTTTAGTTGTGTCCATTATTTCTTGGATATTTTATTTCAAAGTGAATTCAGAGAACTACATTTGCCAGTCTCACGGCGTCACGAAAACGCGAATGTTGTTTGTGTTTCTGAAAAGCTGCTCTGACCTATTTTCACTCTCAAATTATTTTAATACAACGTCAAATCTCAGTGATGGTAATTCGATTTTGAATGTTAATTGTGCTGTAAAAACTGCAATTAAACGAAAAGGTTATTTATTTTTATTTTTTTCCCCCAATCTGTCCGCCTGATGTATTTACTCTGCGCCACATTGTAAATAGCCCCTTTTAGGTGGCTTTCTACTGCCTGAGTAGTTAATTTTGTAACCAGAGAATTTATCGTATTGTTTTGTTAATAATATTAAAGGCTGACGTGGATGTTTACCTACTTCATTAAGTGTTTCACAAATGCCTAGGTTGTAGTTACACTGTAAGGACAGCAAACTGTTTTCTTTGTTACCTCTTATTTACGCGACAGAGTGCCAGTCGGACCCTCACTGAAGTTCGCGATGGGTTCGAAGTCACGACGTCGGTCCCGCTCCAGGTCCAGAAGTCGGAGCCGGGATCGGCGGAACAGGTCCAGAGTGAGCAGGTCTCGATCGCCGGAGGAAAGGAGAGGCCGCAGTCGGTCCGCGGAATCGAAAAGAACCGCCCGTGGTCGCGCACGGTCCGTCAGCAGGGACTCCAGCAATGGCTCTCCTGCCAGACGTCGGCCTCAACACAGGGACCGTCCAGGTTCCAGAAGCGGCTCTGAGAGCGACAGGAGGCGAGGACCACACCGCCCCAGAAGCAAGTCGAGGGGTCGATCATCCAGGTAACTGTCTCCGCTGTCTGGTGCTAGCTGGTTAGTATTGGTGTACAATGTTTTACACGTTTTCCGGTTCGATGTTACAGGATATAATGGTACACACGGTGGTTCAAGATTTTGAGTATAGTAAAACAAGTAATGATTGTGTTAAGCTGTAAATTCTATTGACTAATTAGGACCACGTGACTATTAGGCCCAGGTTTTTTCTTCTATATCGTTCGCACGTACTGTAACTCTCATGTCAGTTGATTAAAGATTGGCTGAGATGTTGTTTGGCACCTTTGACGTTTGTTATGGTTGAATGCTTTCGCAAATTTAAAATCAATGTGGTAACTTTTGTGAGTCTTGGTCTGAAGATCATCTCTGCCACTATGTAAATGTGAAGACCTGCCAGTAAATATTAACACAGTAGCTAATTATCAAAGAGTTTTGAGAACGCCTGCAGAGTGTGGGTTTACTTCTTCAAGGAATTAGGGATCATACACAGGAAACTCCTTACATGTCCTCTGTTAGAGTCTGCTGACATTTCTCTGCTGAATAGTAAAGAACAGATGTCCCTTTAGTCTCCAATATATGGGTGCTTACCAATGAGCGAAAATGAAAATGTACTAAATCAATTTTTCTGTCTCAGTTCTGATTCAGATGATCCCAAAATGAGGAGGAAGAGAAGAGAAATGGAGACCCGGAAAGGAACATCTCAAGAGAGGAGAACTGGAAGGTCCATGTCAGGCTCTGACTCCCATGATGGAAGCAGTGATAGAGAAAGAAGAAGACGGAGAAGCCCTGACAGAGGGAGTCCAGCCAGAGACCGACAAAGGAGGGAGTGGGACAGAGGTAGAGACAGGTGGAAGGGCGGCAGCAGAGACGGGGAAAGAAAAAGAGAGAGAGACAAAAGCCAAGAGCAAGGGAGGAGGAGTGAAGATAGGGAACGAGGGAGGAGGAGTGAAGATAGGGAACGAGGGAGGAGTGAAAGAAGCAGAGAGAGGGCTGACAGAGACAGAGGGAGGCAGCGCTCCAGTTCACCCGAGTCGTCCGATAGCTCGGGGTCTCATCGCGAGACCCACGCAGTTAAAGAAAAGGAGGAGAAGAAAAAACAGAGGGATATGCTGAAAGCTCTGGAGACACCAGAGGAGAAGAGAGCCAGAAGACTGGCAAAGAAGGAAGCAAAGGAGAAGAAAAGGAGAGAGAAGATGGGTTGGAGTGAGGAGTACATGGGGTACACCAATGCAGACAATCCCTTTGGTGACAACAATTTATTAGGCACATTCAAATGGCAGAAGGTGAGTTGGAGAGCGGCTCCCTAAAGTCACTGATTCGTTCAATCACAGAAGTTTGTAAAGTTTCCTGTCATAACTTGACTTTAATATTGTATCTCATTCAAGAATCTTTGTTTTTTGTTTGTGTGTGTGTGTGTTTTTCAGGCGTTGGATATGAAAGGCATTGGCCATCTCGGAGAAAAAGACCTTAAAGAACGAAATAAACGCATTCAGGAGGAGAACCGCAGAGAGCTGCAGAAGGTATGAGCAGAAGGCTTTTTTGTGACAGTATAATGTTACAGAGTCATGAGAAACAGCCCTTTCATTAACCACACTGCCGGTGTTAATGTAGGTAAAGCAGCTTCGTCTGGAGCGGGAGCGAGAGAAAGCCATGAGAGAGACGGAGCTGGAGATGCTGCAGAGAGAGAAAGAGGCAGAGCATTTCAAGACGTGGGCTGAACAGGAAGACAACTTCCATTTGCACCAGGCCAAACTACGGTGAGTTTTCAGCAACAGTTACTGCATATCCACATTGACAGCCTTCCCTTTTCATGTCGCAGAGGATTTCTTTTGTGGTGTTATCCACCTCGTTTGTATGTGAGCCGTTTGTTTGCACTACTCCAGTTAACTTCCAGAGGTTCTTACAACAGTTACTGAATACTTACACGCATTGTCTCGACATTCCTGTGCGCTGTGTGTGTTTAGGTCTAAGATTCGAATTCGTGATGGTCGTGCCAAGCCCATTGATCTTTTGGCGAAGTACATCAGTGCGGAGGACGACGACCTCGCCGTGGAGATGCATGAACCTTATACCTTCCTCAACGGACTCACAGTCACTGACATGGATGACCTGCTGGAGGACATTAAGGTGTGTTGTTAAGTCACCTTCAAGGCTAAATGTTGTATAGCTGTGGCTTAGAATAGCTCTAATCACACAGGATAACTTTTGTAAGGGAGGTGTGGTAATGTAATTAACTAGAATACTGTGAGTAAGTGCACCATAAAGATTGCAGTTGCAGAAATTGGTAAGAGATTGGTAATCACCTCAAAGTCTGAACAAGATTGAGATTTAAATGAACATTTCAAAATAAATTGTGCACGGTAAAGCCATTATATTTAGAATTTCTATGTGATTATAGCATCTTTTAAATTATTCTGACGGTACAAGTTTTTATTTGTAGAAAAATTAGACAATCCCGCTGATAGTCAGTACAGTCTCTCTCTTTCAGCAGAATCATCTGAGTGTCCCCTGAGCCAGATATTTCTGCCACAGTGTCTTTTCTTCTAAATGCCACTGGGGGGCACCGATTACCCAAGTTTTCAAAAAAGTGTTGGTTGGAGTATATTTGAGATATCATGCTGTGACATATTTCTCTTAAAGTAACTTATTCATTTAGACATGAATTATGTGAACCATGTTTTGTCACTATAAAAAGTGTCATAATAAAGTCATATGCAGACTTTGGATGATCACCCAGCTCTTAAGGGTAAACTGATTACAGATATTTTGACCCTAAACATGACAGAGGCCATGTTGTATTAGTTGTTTTAACACCTTTAAAAATAAAAATGAACATCTGTACATGGTTCACTGTAAGAGTGTTGTTACACTGGTAGGTGTATATGGAGTTGGAGCAAGGAAAAAATGTGGACTTCTGGAGAGACATGACGACCATCACTGAGGACGAGATCAGCAAACTGAGAAAACTGGAGGCCTCTGGGAAAGGACCAGGTATGCAATTTTCCATAACATCATCAGAGGTTTTATGCTTAGGCTCTGTTTGTCTTCTGCTGTGATGTTGTATGTGAAGTTGCATCTGTGTCAGTACTCAACACCTGCCCTATTTTACTACTGTGGTGAATGCAACAGAAAATCATGCTCAACCACACGTTTTTTTTCCTTTTTGTGTTTTTTCTTGAAACCTCAGGTGATCGTCGTGAGGGTATCAACACAGCTGTTAGCACTGACGTCCAGACGGTGTTCAAAGGAAAGACATACAGCCAGCTGCAGGCGCTGCACCTGAACATTGAGACAAAGATTCGGGCTGGAGGATCCAATCTTGATATCGGTTATTGGGAGAGTCTTCTGCAGCAAGTCAGAGTCTACATGGCCAGAGCCAGGTTGGAACGCCCATTGTTCCTCTGCTCTTGAAATAAATGAAATGCCACTTTAGCATTTTACGGCAAGAAGTTATACAGATTGCAAACTGCCCAGTTACATTAAGTAACTCAGCAGTGGAATTTTGTGGGTGTAAAACTACAAATTTTATGTTTCAGGTTGAGGGAGCGACACCAAGATGTGCTGCGTCAGAAGCTGTTTAAGCTGAAACAGGAACAGGGAGTGGAAAGTGAACCTTTGTTTCCCATCATCAAAGAGGAGCCACAGAGTGATGAAGATGAGTAAGTTACCCGGAAACCACACGCTGCTCACATCCAGAAATTGTAGAGACCTGATGGTCTCATTGTGACCTGGGATTTCACTTCACATTACATTCATTCTCACTTCTGTGTTTCTTTTGAGGATGCATATTAAAACCTGAAAAAAGGTTTAAAAAAAAAAAAAAAAAAAAGCTTGTGGATGCAATGACTCCTCACTTAAAGAAAATAACCCTAAATGTTTCAGCAGGGAGAGAGCGGGAGAGCAAACTAGGGAGGCAGCAACAGAAGAGCCCGGGCGGTCATCATCTTACTCCTCCACTAAAAGTAAGAACAGAGAAACAGAGGATGAAGAAGAGGAGGCTGGCCCATCCACATCCACAGCAGGAAACCAAGATGAGGATGGAGGACAAAAGGGTGACAGGAAGGATGAAGAGGACAAGGGCGAGGTGGTGGAGGCCGTGTTGACCGAGGAGGACCTGATCCAGCAGAGCCAGGCGGAGTACGACTCAGGGCGCTACAGTCCTACGCTCCTCATGTCCTCTGAGCTGCCGCTGGACACGCACACGATCACCCCCGAGGAGGACATACACAGGCTGCAGCTGGCACGCAGACAGCTACAGGTTACAGGTATGAGAGCATGACAAAAACACACATACAGAGAGAAAGAAAACTATATGTGCATGCAGAAAATAAATCATCCAGCTTGTAGGAAATCATGAAAAATATGGTATTAACCTGATTTCTTTTTCTATCAGGTGACGCCAGCGAAAGCGCAGAGGACGCCTTCGTGCGTCGTGCAAAAGAGGGCATGGGCAATGATGAGGCCCAGTTCAGTGTGGAGTTCCCAGTCACAGGGAAGATGTACCTGTGGGCGGACAAATACCGCCCTAGGAAACCCCGCTTCTTCAACCGGGTCCACACAGGCTTCGAGTGGAACAAATACAACCAGACGCATTACGACTTCGACAACCCTCCGCCCAAGATCGTCCAGGGATACAAGTTCAACATCTTCTACCCGGACCTGATCGACAAACGCTCCACCCCACAGTACTTCCTCGAGCCCAGTCCCGACAACAAGGACTTTGGGATTTTGAGGTTCCACGCGGGCCCGCCCTACGAGGACATTGCCTTCAAGATTGTGAACAGGGAATGGGAGTACTCGCATCGACACGGCTTCCGCTGTCAGTTCGCCAATGGGATCTTCCAGCTGTGGTTCCACTTCAAGAGGTACCGCTACAGGAGATAAGAGGCCACATACCAGGATGGACCAAGAGCACCAGTCACCGGGTTTCATATCATACACAACATATTATTTAGATTGTACAGGCAATTTGCATTGTTGTATTGTTTCAGCTACTGTCACAGAAAAGCGGTTTGTTAAAGCTACAAATCTGTACTGTGTCTAAAAAAGTTAATTGTAATGTTTGAAAAAAAAAAAAAATTACTCATTAAAGATTTTTTCCCTTTTTTACTCTATGCAAGCTGTCACTGGGTGATGGTTTTCTGTTGTGAACATAATTTTGTACATTTGTGTCAAACACAAAACTACGAAGATGATACATAACTGCAAGTCACTTCCACATCTGTTCTTCACATTCTTAGCTTGTCTCGACTTGCAGAAAACTTGTAAATCCTATTGGTTATATTTGGATGCACTGAAACAACACATGGTCCAGGTAGAAAAGGTTTAATACAACAAAGCTAAATCTTTGTAGCTAGTGGTTAAAATGAAATGGCTCAATTTCAGTTATTGTACATTCCCTGTGAAAATCATACTTGTCTTTAAAATGTATTTCAATCTATCAACAATTAGTAAGAAACTAAAAATAATTTTTAAATGTACATTTGTATTTTAAAAAAAAAAGAAAAAAAAAGTAAAGCAGAGATTCAAGCATCTCATACTTATATAGAATATTTTGGTGTGTTCAGTCCCAACAGTTTATAGTGTCTCTCAAAGCTCAGTTTCGAACACTTCAGTTTATATTTCAGTTCTCAAATATAACAGCTGAACTGAATCCAGTTGTGGTTAGATACAAATAGTTTGTGGCGTTCCGATTCATCTTTTAAACTTTAAACATTGCTCAAGGGTAAACTGAGTAATGTGCTCGTCATTTTCAAATTTCTGACTCATCATCAATGTACTGCAGAGATGTCAGGATAAGTTCCGGAGCATCATTCTCCCCCCCTGCAGCACTGAATGCCGCCTCTCCTTTGCTGTGGTTATTACTGCTGCCGTTGTCTCTTCCAGACATCAGGGGCTTGTCCTCTGCCTGTGCAGGCTTCGGTGGCTCTTGGGCGGGCACACTGGGGTGCACACCCCCCTCCTCATGGGACTCCTGGGATTGTTCGCTCTTCTTTCCACAGCTCCAAGGAAGAGGTAGGTGGCCTTTGTAAAAGTTCCAAGCCAAAAGGACAAGAAGAGAAACCACAAGAAGCCCGACTACAGCCTGCAGTCCAGCCACAGAGGGGCCACCTGTCCGAGGCTGTGGAAACAATATCTGACCACCCCTGCCTGAACCTGCTATTCTGACCTGGTACTCAGCCACAGTGGTTGCGTACTCGTCAGTTTTGGAGCGCTCCACAGACACGCAGCGGTATCGACCACCATCGCTGTCAGACGCGTTGAGGATAAGCAGTCCGTCTTGCAGTGGCTGAAGCCGAGCTGAAGGGGTCAGAGGGCGGTTGTCTCGCTCCCAGCTGGTTTTTGCCAAGTTGGAAGGCGAAGGGCAACTGAGCTTGAGGTTTCCACCTGGCCAGATCGACTGATTCGTGGGTTTAACATGATCTGAAAAAGCAAAACGGATCCTTCATGTAAGCATTTTCAATCCACAATCGAACTCAATTGTGATTCTTTTGTTGGAGGAGTAGAAAATGGTGCAGACCCTGCCAGGTTCAGTTTTTATTCAGAATAACAAGAAAAATGATTTACTGATCATACTGTATTCGTTAAAGTGTGCACTGACTCACCAGCATCTGGGCAAAGAGAAGCATCTCCTTCTTTCACACTTTGGATCAGCTCTCTAAAGCAGAAGATATGATAACTGAAATTTAGTTTCGATGGAAGTGGAATGAACACTGCTTGCTCCACATGTTGGGACAGTTGCCTACCTTCGTGAATTAGAGAGGGAAATACATTTCCCAACAACTTTGTCCCAGCCGCAGTATGGGTCTCTGGCTAGGACACAGTCCATACAGGATAAGGACCTCGCACAGCTGGCTAATGGTATCTGTGCTGCTCCGTTTTCTGAGCCTGCATAGAGCTGATCCTGTACACATCACACACAGACACAGAACAATGACACTGTTGTGTGTGCTTTACAGTAATATACAATGAACATACACTGTAGTAATGGTTCAAAAGTAATAAGCTACTCATTTGACTATGGTAGGGCTTTAAATTACCGTGACATTAGAAAATTTCAGGATCTTGATTGGCTCTGGGGGCTGGAAAAGTTGTATTTCCTCTATGATGAACATCTCTCCATCGTAGTTCACTGCTTTCAGCATGGTGCCTTCCTCTTTTCATATAAAAACAGAAACGTGCCATATTTATATATTGACAAATATGACTTAATGCATAACAGCCATGTTATCAAGTTATCAAAAGCAGCAGTACTGTGCTGCACCAGTACAACCCTGAACAAACCTGTGCCTATAAACATCACGTTGTACTTCTCGCCATCTGCAGCCTGCACTTGGTTGACTATGATGCGTGTAAATGTAGCTCCCCTTCGCACCAACACAGGCTTCTCTCCCACTGGCTGGATAGCCTGGTCCATTAAGGGCCTATCTTTGATAAATTGAAGCGTGCGGTCTGGGAGGTCCAGAGTCTGAGTTATACCCGCTTCACGAGCCTCATTGTTTATACACTGGCAAGAGAAGAGGGAGAGGAAAGAAAAAAGGGAGAACAACGGAGTCAAAGTACAAAACGAATCAGCTTCCTGCTGGGCCACTCGTAAAAGAAGGAGTTGCCTTTTGAGATTTTGCTTTGTTTGTAACACACACACACACACACACACACACACACACACACACACACACACACACACACACACACACACAGAATGGTGGGCAGACTTACAGCTCCAGGCCGAGGGACTGGGACATCTCCGCTATACATCACCCACTTAACAAAAGAGGTTTCTACGGGGACTGGAGTCTTGTACTTCCCCTCCGCAAACACTCTGCTGATGTCAGACACCTGGTACACACACACTGCGGACAGATCTGATGTGTCCCTGAAACACACACACACACAAAATGTGAGCCAAACAGTGTGCCAAAGACCATTAAAGAAAAAGCAACCCTCCTCCCACTAAAACAAACACACCAACATGTTTGTTAATTGAAACGTACGACTGTGGTGTGAAGATGGCGTAGAACAAACAGGTCTTCCAGTGCTGCTGGGGGTCACACCAGCGGAAAGTGTCCTGGATAATGTATGGCAGCTGGGACTCCAGCACTGGACAGTCCAGTCTGGCTTTCAGGAAGGATGTCCACTTCTTCTGCAAAGTCCTCTGACCTCCAAGATCCCCCTGTGAGCACAGACAGACACCACGATCCCAGACAAACGGGATACCCAATCAAGCAGAAAGGGCGGAAGGAAGGAAGAACTCAATATGCTGTTGTCGTGTTTGGAAATAGAGCTGTGAAAAATAAGTGCATGCATGGTAAAGTCTTTATCACCTTGCAGACGCGGGCCACACGGGAAACCACCAGTTTGTTGTAACAGTCGCACTCCACAGCTGTCTCACTGAAGAACAGGTAAACCTTGTCGTCATCTCCCTCCTCACTTTTATCACCCTCTGGCATCTGCGCCATGGAAACAAAGCTGGGCTCTGGTGTAGAAAGAACAAAAAACATTAACTTTGACTCAACTATCGAGCAAACATTAGAGCTGAAGGAGTTCAGTTCAGAGAAAGTGAAGTCCTACCATCTACTACTACTATCACATCTTACCATTAAGCCAGGAACTCTTGAACTCAGTGCGTATGGAGACAGGAGAGCTGCGCATCAGGATAGGTTCAGAGCCCAGGAAGTTCATTGAAGTGGCTGAGTATAGGTTGTTATCTGGTGAAACAAGACAGCGAACACAGAGATACAAATGAAAACATTTTGCTGCATTAAACCATCTTTGCAAATGTACTTTCTGTTGTTTAATAGCTACTCACCAACCATGATGGAGGCATATCTCTGGAAAGGATCAAATGGACACTTCCCTTTGCCATCCTCTCCTTTGCTCTCAAGTGTCAACTTTCCATCTGCATAGGACTGCACAAAAATCAGACACACCGTTTAATCCTGGAATGATTTGATGGAGAAACCTATACAGCAATTTATTCAGTCAATGTGTACAGTGTAAGATATGGCTATGAATTTGTCTCACCATGTAATCACACTCTGGATCAAAAGCATTGGTTCCACAAACATACATCCTGTTATCCCCCATCTTATGCAATATCCTTATATAGTTCTTGCACTCCGTCTGTAAATGCATTTGAAAAAGCAATGACGACATCTGCTCAATACACAATCAGACACAATCAGTTCTCATTAGCAAACACTGAAGGGACCCACCTCAGGATCTTTTCCTTTGTTTTTACACTCAGCTTTTTGCTGCTCCGTCACTTCCCATTTCACCTAAAAGAGTGACAACAATTTTAGTTATACACTTAGGAAGTAGAGGAATGCAACACTAGCAGCTAAGGAAGCAGTTAAAAATTGTAAATGTAACTGAAGTGGAAGCATGATCGAGATAACTTTCAATGTAGCTGGTTGTTTTTCTGTGTCTAGTGATACTAACACAAGCAACAAGCGTCAGATTAGTATAAATTAACTACTATTCAGCATAAGAGAACAAAACCACCAAAGATCCATACTGGCATGTTGTGTGACACAAAGCATTTTATTACTGCTCTGGGTGCACATGCCCGAATACTCTGACATACAAGGCTTAATGTTGCTAGGAGGAATTCAGCAGTGTCTGTGGTTGTGAGTGAGTGGTCACATAATAAAATAATGTTAAGGCTCGGGTTGTTTGAACTTTAGAGCCTGGAGACATTTTTCAAGAACAGATCAGAGTAATTATACTGAAAGTAATGTATGTATTAAAAAGCTACTCAGACAGCACTTTTCCAAGAACACAAGGCTTGTTTGCGAAAAACTGCTGCCTGAGAGGCTGAATTCAGGGCAAAGAGTCTTGCACAAGCTGCAGCCCTCATCCAAGAAATCTTTGATAAGGAATCTCTGCTGTTGCTAAGTTGCTAATGCTAACAATTAATGGGCACTGCTCCAAGACGGAATTGGCCTTAACTGGATTGTTGACAAAGGTGTTCTTACTGAAGCGAGTTTCTTGGAGATGTCGTTGAGGTCAAGAGCGTACAAGGCCTCCCTGGCACCCAGAACCAACACGTTCAGGTCTTCTCTCAACAACATGGTGGAGTAGTTGAACACACCCTCCTCCTGAAACAGGTGAGCGTTGTCCCCTAGAGACGGAATATGACTGATTCATTTAGTTGTCATTTAGCAACCACCAGTAACTAAACCCTCAGTGACCAAACCCTGTTTCCCAATGTCTAAACTCAAACCGTGTGTGCCAACATGAGCTGACATCTTATTAGCCCAGGTTACAGGACAGGTAGCAACACTCACTGTGATAAGGAACAGATTTGCGGGGAACACAGCCCAGTGGTGAGTCTTCCTCCAGCATCAAGGCCAGGGGAAGCAGCCAAAAGACACTGAGGGACAGCAGCGGATGCATGGCTCCTTTGTTCGAGCTAAGAGGAATTTAAGCTTTATTGTTTCCCTAACAGTCAGTCATACATGGGTAAAGACAGCGAGTGGCATCTATGACGTGATGAGGTCTGTGTTGACTGAAGAGCCCTGGCCCCTTTACTGGCCCCGCTCAGCAGGCTGTCCATGGTGAGATAGATGGCACAGACCAAAGAAACAAAGCCAAGGAGGGCTGAAAGAGACAAGGTTGGACGGATATCACAATCACTTTACTAAACATGAGACCTGACAGACAAAAACTTTAGGTTATGTTTAGCAAAACACACAACAAAAGGAAAAAAAATATATATGGGGAGAAACATTAAAGTTATGTTAAAAACAAAGTGAAAGAAACAAAGCAACGACAAAAAAAAAAAGAAATGGCCAGAAAGGGCAGAGTGAGCTAAAGTCAGCACGGCAGTAATTCTGTCAGTGCCATAGTGATGTTAATGTAGGGCCATGAAAGGCATTCAGCAGGGTGCAGGGATGTCAACCTCAGCTCTCCTGCAGCACCAAACACAAGCGCACAATGAGAGATTCACAGAGAGTGAACAAGTTGTGGTGCACATGAGCGAGAAGTGTGTTGCAAGAGCTGTGTCACAGACAGGAAACATGTTGGTTTGAGTCAGTCTTATGCTTCAACCAAGACAAAACCAAAGAAGCCTGAACTTGCTTCTCCTCGAATTACTGTGCTGTAGCAATGGCAGCTGCGGTTTACAGGGACTGTCTTCAGCAGTGTTACTGCAACCTGCTGAGTGGGTGTGCACCGCTTCTTTCCCAAAAGAGGTGAGCTATGTTACTGATGAGCTGCGGCATGTCAGAGAATGCAGCCCTGATAAGATGGTTCACATTTTTGGCCCTGGGGCCAAAGCCAGCTTCACTCAACACTCATTTACAGACACAGACACACACACACACAGACATAAACAACACCCCATGTACTTTGGCTTTAGCATTTATGCGCCAAACTTCGAACAAGCAGTTTCGGTTTGAGGTATTAACGTTGGTCTGAAATCATTGCTAAGCTACTAATACGGCATCGGACAATTTAAATGTAAACTAGTGAGTTGTTTTAGTTTATCTAAAGTAGCCTATACTTTGTTATTTAATTTCAAGTAATTAAACAATAAGATCAAATTTCAGTCAAAAGTCCAACAGGTGGCACAGACGTACAAGCACAAACTCCAGCAGCTTAACCATCAACAAACACTCCTATCAAGGTTAATCACTTACCTGCACACTGACACGCCCAAGAATGTAACGACCTCCATTAAAAAATAGTCCCAACACCTGTTTAAGCGTAATTTCTAAACCATTAACTTTTCATTAACTAGCAGAGGTTGGTGGTAAAACTAAGCCATAGTATTTATAAATCCTTTCGCAGTGCAATTAAGCCGACACACGCCTTGCTGGTGCCTAACGTAACGTACATGAGAAACTTGGAAACGCGGTAGCTTGCAACTTCCTTTCAGGTTTTACGAGCGTAGAAACTCTGTAGGTGTGTTTCTCTGCATCACAGACCGCATTAACAAAAAAAAAAAAAAAACCGCCTCTCAAACGACTCAGCAGCCTCTCCGTCTCTGTCCGTCCTCTCAAAGACTCAGCGGTCATCCGTTATTGAACAGAGCCCCTCAGCGCCTCACACCCCGCGGTGAAAAGGATCTGAATGGCTGCTGGCTGCTGCTCCGGTTGGCCCCGCAGCTTTTTTTTAATTTTTTTTTTCAAACCTCCTTCAAACTGCCGTTGAGGCGGCGGAAGGCGCTTATCTGTAGTCTGATTAAGTTTTCGTTGTCCCCTCACACTTTTATGTGTCGGTAGAGGCCACGGCTGACTCAACGGGCGAGGTAAAAGATGAAAGCAGCTGCCGGGTGTTTTACGGTGTCTTTTTTTTTTCCTTACTAGATAACAGGCGTGATGGAGTGGCGTTGTAGTGTTGTGTTGTGGTGTGTTTGAGTGCTGCACTGGATCTTAGGAATGGAGCGCACGGATTTAAATTGTTGTGATATTATCATATATATTGAATAATATAGCACCTGCACAGACAGCATTGTATCCATAGGCTAATTCATAATACTTATTGCAAATAGTGGAGTCCACCTTTCAGATGTTGCATGTGATTGATGCAACATAACTTCATGCAAAAATTCCAAAGTTGTGTCTGTTGTGTTGCCCACAGGACAGGCTTATGGACCAATACAGCCTAATACAGTGGAAAAATAGTGCTTCACCAAGAATGAACAACAAATAAAATGAAGATCCAATGTCATCCAATATCCAAAATCCAATATCAGCAAGAACCCATTGTTATGAGTTCCACAGAAGCATTTATTACAAAGAAATAGTATGTGAATCACACAGGTTCACCTGTTGTATCTGTCCCACATACATATATATATATTTTTTTTTTTTTTTACTGTTTTTTAAATATATTATTTTCAGTTCAAGTAAAAGGAACTATACACACTTAAAATAGGAAAAAGGTGGGTGGAAAAAAATAGCAGGGAATTCTGCAGATTAACAAGAGGAATATGTTGATACAGATGTTTCAAATTGGATTCAGGTTTCCACTAAGATGTAGAAGAAAGGACACTTTTTTTTTTTACAATATAAACTAACTTCCAGTAATATATGTATTAAGTGTGTGAGATCGTGGGAGGTTATTTAAAATAAGGGAATATGGAAAACTAAAGATACTCTCACTTCCATGCTAAACTAAAAAAATAAATAACTTGGCCCTTTGTAAACATATTTTTTTCTTTTCTTCTATCTGTGGTAAAAAATTAACATTGATTATAGATCATCTTTAAATAAAAATAGGACAGATTGTCCAGCATTCTCTGTAATCATCCACTCATGGTATTTATTTATTCCAATATCATGTCATTTCCTCATTCTCCTCTTGTCACAGGAAGGTAATACTTTCAAATGAAAAGTTGTACCTAAGAGCTGGCCACCTAAAAAAACAAAAAAAACAAATCAAAATGGTCTATTTTTGTGAAAGTAAAAGCTATCAATTCACGACGAGGAACAATTAAGACCCATGCAAAACAATTTAATGCCCTCAATATCTAACAAACACTATTCTTTGATAGTGATCAAGTAGACACATCACATATTGTACAAACATACAACAAACTGTTCATTGACACTTAAGAGTCAGTTTGCCACTTGTACTCAGACACTTAAAATCCGGAGGACTGGCCAATTCACAGAAATGTAAAAAAGAAAAGTGTTTTCCCATGTAGAAATACAAATTGTTATTGTTGAAACTCCCACAGATCTGTAATAAATAATTTTGTTATTAAAGGTAAAGAGGTAGGGCATAGTGTAATACTGTGATAAAGCCAAAAGCCTTTGCCAGGTTCAGTCTGCAACATAAAAGGGTTGGTCTATGCCAAGTGTCTGGTACTTGTGATAATACCCAAAGACTGTGTGCTGATAAGAAGGGTTCTGTCCCTGTAGTCGACAGCCATTCCACTAGAGGGCACCCTCATATACATTTGATTGATTTTCTTGAGGAGGAACAGAAGTCACCTGGAGTCTCCAGGCGGGTCTGAGCACCAGTCAGTCATAGCACCGTACAGTAGCACACAAACAGTAGCAGAGAATAAGGAGACACTTTAAAATAAGCACCAATTATACAGTTAAAGTTGGGTTTTAAATTAACCACAGCAGTGCCATTGAATCAACAACATATTAATTGGTTGCTTATCAGTCACAAATAGCACTCAGAGCAGCAGGCAGAGATTGTGCAGGTTTCAGTTTCTGACCAGCTCGACTGTATTCAGATGATTTTTTTTTCTCAGTCATGGTACATGGAATGAGGTGATGAGGAGAATTACTGAGCTGAGACCTGAGCATGTCCGGTTTATTTTACTTTCAGAGCAGATTAAGTGTCTCAGGTGCAGCAGTAACATCAGCAGCTCAGCACGCAGACATGGGCTCAGATAGGAAAACATCAGGCTCAGTTAGGGGTCCGGCATGTGTCAGTGCTTCTCCGAAAAGGTTTTAGCTGCCAGTCACATTGATTCAGAGTTTTTGTGGATTGTATTCTGAGGGAAAATCATTTGTTGTCGTACTATTTTTTGCTCAGAGGCAGTTTGTAAACAGTTTTATGCATGCGGACAAAGCACTAAGAGAAAGTGGCGGTATTTGTAGTCCCTTGTCTTCCACCTAGAAGGCACAGGATGAGTACATAGCTGCGGTGAGAAGGGGTTTGGCACTGAAGATTGAGTACGCTGCGACAGGAAGATGTTCCTTATGAGTTAAGTCACTCCTGACTGGCTCGTCTCTTCTCCAGCTTCAGTTTGAGTTCCTCATTGAGCGCTGTGGAAGGACAGAAGATACACTTTGAGCTGAAACAAATGCAGATCAACTGCTGCGGGTGAGGTTGCCCCATTATTTACTCACTGTGTGCGAGAGGCGAAGGGGAGAGAATGAGTCGTCTCATTGGGTTGGTGGGCGAGGCCGGCACCGCCGAAGTCAGGATGCGGCGGTCTGGGGCGGGGGATCTGGACAGGGGACTGCTGCACCAACGGTCTGCATCAGAATGAAAGTAGTGATCATTATTTCTGTCTGTGACTGTCTGTATGTGAGTCTTTATGTTAGAGAGAGAAACCTTGTTTTGGGGGCAGGGCAGGAGCCTTTGGCAGTGGGCTGGAGGGGGCAGTGTGGAGGATCCTTTCTCCATTTTCATCATTGGCGGAAACATATGCTGATGACACAAAAAGAATATACATGGTTTGACTCATAGATTAATTGTAAGACATAGACAAAAAAAAGGCAGAGGTAGACAAAAAAGTCTTCCTCACTGATATTCTCCTCATACGGCTCCTCCAGTAGGAAAGGTTGTAGAGTTCCTGCTGTCTTCTCTACCAGGGCGTCAATGACCTCATGAAGTGTAGCACAGGGAATCTGTAAGAGGAAGCCTGTTGCATTACATGCTGCTGGTTTCTTAACCGTGTTTACATTATTGACTGTTGTAATCTCAAAGCGTAACTCAAAATGGTCAGAGTTGCATTTCTTTTTCAGTCACTGTTTACAAGATCTTGTTGCCCTGTCCTCAGACACCCTGAAAGATACAGCAAACTAGGTGAACAAGACAAAGAGGCAAGAGGTTTGCAGCATCAAATATTTTTACCTCCCACTTAACAAATCTGTTATAGTGTGTGTTTTCTACGTTTTTCAAATATTTAACCCGATGATGTACATGCATCCTTCCAATGTGCCAGATTTGTGTTGGGGTGCACTGACTATGAGTTACACACAGTGTGGTATACAGATTTTAAATTTGGACAAAGAGTATCTAGTGTCTAATATCTTATCAGAACATAGCCTGAATTAAATTATCAAAACTGGTGTCAGGAGAAAAGAAGCTGGATTGATGCTTCCTTAACCCGATGTTTCCCCAATAAAAGTTACAATTATGATAGAACATTATAAAGCGTAAATATATAAGTAAGTCAATTATAATAGGAATTTAGATATAATTTTATAAATCCACATTCTGAAATATTGTTAGATGTGAATTATATCTGCGAGTATTATACACTTACAGGATTTTCTACATCTATGACATAACCGCCTTGGTCCCTCTGAGTCACACGGTAATGTCTGAACACTGACCTAGATCAAAGAAAAAGACAGACAGCAGTGAAAATGGTGCCTGTCTATAATATTTGCAGCTGTGCTGTCCAGATGTTCAGCAGGTTTTTACCCATTGAGGTCTTGTCGAGTGGTAACAGCTAGTGAGCACCCATCTCTGCCAGGACGGAGCAACATGTTGCCGCAGTCTGGGTGTCTCTCTAGAAGGACTTCAGCCTCTGTTCGAGACACTGGTCGAAAGCACCTGCATGTGAAAAACACACACACACACACAGTAGAAATGATACCACATAATGTTTGCTCACAAACACTGAAACAGCTATAGTCAGTCCTCTCCACACAGAGGAGAACTCACGGTGGGATCTCTCCTACTAAAGGCACAGAGAGCGGTGAAGGAGGAGCACGTGTGGGAGTGCGAGTTCTCCGCCTGGACCTTTCTTTGTCCACCACCTCCTTCAGCATCTGCAGCTGGCCCGGCAGCAACGTGAGACAGGACGGTACATTGAGCTGTGATGGGATAGAGGACATAATTTATTATTAAACAGCACAAGAGAGAGACACAGGCAGAAGGATGCAGGTGCAGCATGTGTTCAAAAGATGAACATTTACATCAATGACAGAGTAGAGGAAACCTTTCCACAGCTCCCTTGATTCCAGATTGGGTGCCTGTAAAAGACAACAGCACTTTTAAACCTTGCAAAAGGAGTTCATTTTAGTGTGTGTGTGTGTGTGTGTGTGTCTAGTGACATTACTGTCAGTTTGGTTTCCCCATCCTTCATGCGCAGGATGAGTCTGGCCGCCTCTAGGTTTCTGTCCCGGCTGCAGTCGTCCTTCAGTGACACAAATCCACTGAGGTCCAGCTTCTCAACATACTGTAACACACACACACACACACACACACTCAAATAGGTTCCACTGAAAACACTATGATGCACAACAAACAAAATTTATACAGTCTGAAACTTACATGAGTGTCCTTGGCATTATTGAAGAAATACAAAGAATTCCCGCACAGACAGGTCCACAGTCGTATGGATGCCTGTCACACATGGAAATGAGCAGATATGGGAAAAACAGGAGAGAAAGATGTAACAATGGTGCTGTTTTTCCACATCTGTGTAATGGACATTTCTCATTTTATCACTCTCACATTTCCTGTCCCACGTAATGGATAAGGCGTGAGCCTCAGCTGCTGTCAGTCTGTGACCATGGATTACTGAAATATCCTGCACCTGAGCCAGGCTCACATTACATGTCTGTATGGAATTGAAATGAGCCTAATGAGGAAGACGGGGTAGTGGGTGGGGGGTGTCCCATTCTTTAGTCATCACCTTATAATCAAAACAATAGAAAAAAAAGAACCTTGTGTAATATTGTCGATTTGGCTGTGTGTAACTTTGTATTTGATATTTTGGAAATGCACTTCAGAGAGCAGGCTGTCAGAACAATATGTCAAAAGATTATTTCTCCGAGTCAGCATTGAATTCTTGGCGAGGAAAATGCTTGGCAGACATACTGTTTGCGACACTGTATCTGACTTGTTAAGGTAAGGGATACGGCCACGAATTTTTCATGTCATGTGTAATTGAAATGACATGCAATATTTTGACAGCAGGCGGGTTTCCTCGATTATAACCTCGGGATTCGTTCATAAATTGTTGTAAACATTCCGTCAGAGTCTTGCAAAATCAGACTGAAAAGCGCTACAAAATCTGTTATCCGCTATGTGGAAAAAATCCCCGCCAGCACCAGTGTGGAGTCTCGCCTCGCCCATTCTACGACAATAAGGAAGTTGACAGCTCTGTGGGAATGGGGGGGATCAGCCGGTGTGCGGTGCATAGATACACACGCGCGCACACACCGACCACGGCTCTCCACAACATGCACTGAAACAACATGGCACTTGATCTGCACCGGGCGGACATACCTTTTCTTTCGGTCCTCGCTTCTCCAGGTATCCTTCGTAGTAGCAGGGCGGAAGCTGCGCCCGGGGTCCCCCTGGCCCGGAGCGCTGTCTGACGGGTGCAGCCGCCATGAGTGTCGCTGGCTGGGCACCGAGGACAAAGGGGATCTGAGTAATTCGGGGAGTGACACGCCTTCGCCGATGAGATAGTGCTGTGGCAATAATCCAACAGCTGGCTGGTGTAGCCTGCTGTGTCTGGGGGTCATGCAGACGGGTGGTTGTGCAGATTAAAAATTGGATGGTCGGGGGATAAATGTCCAAAATATAAAGATGTTTTATTGAGCAAAAATGAGCAATTGTGCAAATGTAAATAAAGAGGTTTAACTAAGAATCAGGCTAGATGTAAAAACAAACAATCCTATACCTCTAATTTCCTGCATCAGTGTACATACTTTATTATTAAAGTCTTTCAGTGGTAGTGCTGTAATTTTCTGAGACAATGGGAGCCAAATTATTTAACATTTATTTAAACAAGCAAATGAACAGCATTCACTCCCCTTTACATAATAACAAAAATATACAATACACATAAGATTACATTTAGTATAGAGGTAAACCATATATCCTAAAGATATCCAGGATAATCCCACCTTTAGTCTCCCCACAATGTCACAGTTACAAAAATAAGGTATTGCCTAAAACAGAGGCTGTAATGAAGACGCATGCAAAGCGGTTATATTTTAAACATAGAAAAATCCATTAAGATGTTTATAATAAGATAAAGCTTTTAAGGCTGATAATACTTCATTCATTAATATTAGAGTTGTGACACTTCTGGGTATGGATCCAAAACAAACCGTCACAGAATGTAGTGCTGCAATAAATGTCAGCTGCAGCATTCAGACAACTATTTCAGCTGTGACAGCAGCAGCACACAAAAATTGATCTTAGCTTTTTGTTCCTCGACATTAATCATTATCATTATACAGGCTGCATAATAACTCAACCTGAGCCCCTGACCCTCTGCTCCCCTCTCAAACTCTGGGCTTCTGATTCAGTGTAATGAGGCATGTAAACCCACACCTGAACCACACAGTTGTGTCTCACCCCTTGGCCCAATACACAACATGAATTACATAGGAGATATGCAAACCTGCAAAGAGGCACATACTATGATAACAATGAGATTATTCCAAGGATGGACCAGGAAACCAAGCTCCAGAGGCACTATGGGAGTGGGATGGGGAAGATAATGAGAAAGGGGGTAGGGGTACAGGGGCAGGTGGTGTATAAAGACTAGTGGGGGAGGGAGGGCATAATCCACTGCTGTGTGCCCTTCCCTGGTGAAAAGACCTGTCTGTTCCGCTCCCAGTTTAAATAGAGACGGGAGAGATGAGTGGGGCGGGGGCGGTCTAACAAGGGGATCATGACAAGAGGAGAAAGTTGGCATTTTAGTGAACAGTACCAACCCTAACAGTTCATAGTCTGCTTGTAATAGGCTTATATGAAACTGAAACCAGCCATTGTGAGAGGACCTTCCTCATTATTAGTAAATTCTCAACACAATAGTTGGGAGCTAGCATTTTCTGTCAGGTCTGGTGCACAGTTTCAGCCTGAAAACTGAGGCAGGTACAAAAACACCCAATACACATCAGATTAATTTCCATGCTCTAAATTATAGGTTTGAGTACTAAAGCCAAGCTTATCCCAGCGCCAAGGGGGAAAACAAATCACAGACTGAAAATTCATTGACAAACATTTGGGTAAAAGCCCACAAAACATTGTGAGTGACACTGCCAGCAGTATCACTGGAGCCTGAGAAAGTAGAGGAACTGAGGGATGTGTGCTTATGGCTTTGGTGTAATGCTAATATTGTGAGCTGCACTGTAATGGAAACAAATGTCTGCTTCTGTGCATTCTGAAATATTATTAATCTTGCAGAAGTGTGCACATAAGGCTGTATAAAATACACGTCTTTTCATTGACAAGCAGCAGCCTGGGGCAATTTTGGAATTTGTGCAACTTTTCTTTGGCATCAATTAGAAGAGACAATAGGGATCCATGCTTTGAAAAACAATAGTATAGCAGTAGGTAAAATATCCTACTGACAACTTAGCAAAATTAGTGTGATAAATGAAGTATATAAAGACATGGACATTTACAGCCCTTTAGAAATAAACTCTCAAACAACCATTTGGTCTAGAATAAATGTGGCTAACATTTGTAAAACTGCAATTACAGTTACAAACAGCAGTCTGTCAGTCTGTGCTACTCAAACCAATAGCTAAGAATCATCTGTACCACCACCAGATGGCAGCAGAGTATAGTGTTACGTCAAGAAAAGTTAGCCAGTCCTCCATGTTGACTCCAATGAGTCCATGAGACAACAGCACTAATGCCTAAAGGCATAGAGGTGAAAACTGGGAGTGTAGAAAACAGCGCTTGGAAAGATGCATGCGTATGCATGCATGTGTGTAGTACCAATATGAACAACACATAGAACAAGAAATGTCATACTGTGAATATAAAACAGGGTAAGAGTATGAGATTAAAGTAGTTGCACTTCTTAGTGTTTGTGGATACTGTTGAGCATGTTATTACAGATTCCATTCTCTCAATCTTTCCTCATCAGTCCTGGTGATAGAGATGTTTTGTACAAAGTGCACAGGTGCATAGAGAATGGATATCAAGACCCAAGATATGGTAAATGCACCCACACATTTTTTTGAATGAACAGCGTCCCATCCTTACTGTTTTTAAAAATCCATTACATTTTGTTAGATTGAAAAAAGCTTTGCTCAAATAACTCCTAGATACAAAAAATCATGTCCCTGTCTTGAGATGTTTACCCTTTAATTACAATAAACATAAGATATATCTTTTGGGTGAGAGTTGACAATCCTCTTTCATCCCCCTCTTCATCTCCTGCTGTTTCCCTCTTGCCTTGCTGTTTTCAGTGTGGTAGAGGCACCATCACTTCAACATAGTTGTTGGGGAAGTATCCTGATCTTCCACGAAGGCTTCCCTCGAACCAGTTCTCATCAATTTGACTGACCAAGGTGATGATGTCACCCTCGTGGAAGCCCAGCTCGCCGTCATTCTCTGGGTCAAAGTCATACAGGGCTTTACAGCATGGCTCAGCTATAGAAAGGGACACAATGTAGAGAGATGCAAGGAAGGAGAAAGAACAGATATAGTCATTGTGTGAAAAGAAAATGTGTCAGTTTCCTTTTAACAAGGTCGGTATATTGACTTTTAAAAGCATTTAATTAGAGGCAGTGTACCAACATTAGGTTTTCCAATAGGACTCTGGAAAAGACCACAACAGTCATTAAAACAGGACAGGTTAGTCACCAGTGCGGTAAGGGAGAATCCTTCTGAAGCTCAAGATCAAAATCAATGTACTGATATGTTACACAGCAAAACAATGTAATAATTTAAAGTACATTTCGTGTGTTGGACTGGGGAGGTGAACGATGTTTGATTCGCTCCCTGACTACATCTGTAAAATAAACCCTGTGGCAAGCAGTGATTTTTCTTGAGGTTCAGAAGTTTCACTCCAGACTGTCAGATACAAACAATTCAGCAAAACCATGACTACAGGTGGTTTTTTGATTTAATTGGCAACTTATTTAAACACCACAGTCATTGATAATTTCAAACGGAACTACACAATGGTTTGCTAAAGTTTGTATGTCCCTGCAGCCTTGGTCAGACAGAGTAATGTTCACACTATGACAAGCCCCTCCTTGTTCTGGGGACCTGACAGATGCGACACAGGGGACCCAACAGACACATTTCAACAATGTTAGTGAAATAGTTGACCATCACACAGACATGCATCCACTTCTCTGTCACATGGATGTGCAACAGAGTGAGTGAAAGTAGAGAAACTTTTTAGTTCTGTGCAAGTGACATTATCTTCATCTGTCCACTCACGCGGCCTGCTCTTGACGGAGTTTCTTTGGGAGGATGGGCCTCGATTTTGTACTGGGGCTAGTTAATGTTGCAGAAGGAAAGACAAATCAGTCTTGAGAATCAGATTGACTTGCCTTCCACTGTGTAGGCCTCACACACACACACACACGCACACACACAGCTCTCACAAAATATACAAAAGTAAGTTTACCGGGAGAGTAAGCTGGAGGACTTGTTGCAGCAGGTGAGTATCCTCCGTTGGACTGTTCTATCTCAAAGTCAAAGGCTGGTCTGGGTTTGGGTGTGTATTCACGCCTTGGACGGTTCTGAGCATCAATCACCCTGTATACAAGAGAAGAAAAATCATCACCTCTTTGATCTCTGAGTAAGAGATGCATCAACACAGAGGAGAAATAATTCCACTCCATGTGGGCTGTAATCCAATTATTGCATCTATAAGTAAATTGTTAACAGCAAAACAAATTTATTTTTATGCTATTCCAAAATAAAATTGAATTTTTCTTTCTGTAGTGGTGGAAAAACAGTGATTTGAGCTCAGCATCAACTGGTGTTTGACAGTCATTACTTGTAATCAGATGGGTAAAAGAAAATATGGTACGGCTGAATCATCCCTTGTCATGAGCCAAAGGACACAGCCTCAACAGAGAAGACATGTCATCTTCCACAAATAGTCATGGCGCTGACCTTTCTCTCAGTTTGTCAGAAAGCTCCTCGAGGATCTGTGCGGCCTGTTTGTGGTACTGCAGCAGAGACTCCACAAAAGAGGACAGCTGACTCACCTGCTCCACCTACATGCACACGCACACAAAAACTATTTTAATATGAGACAAAACATAGAATCAGCTCTGGTCCTTTAGTGCATTCTTTTATTGTTAACTGTTTGCATTCATGTCTCTCATCCTTCTCATTTGTTTATCACTATGTCAGTACTGTTCATCACAATAATATTACTCAAAACATTCTGAAACACATCATCATGATTTGAAAATAGTAAATACTGAACAAAACAGGTTTAACTGGCTCAGACGACTGCAAGTCAGAGGAAAGACATAACATGTCATGTTAACGGAGAAGCTCTGAGCAGCAAGCAGCATGCATTTCCAATTGAGGTAGTCACAGATATACTATCCAGAATAAATATTATCATATACTCACAAATAGGGACATTAACAAGAATACAATATTTGTGAGTTAGTTTGGCTGTCACTTTAAATACAGCTCTAAGGTTGTTTATACAGGGTTTCTTCATTTGCCCCTCTATTTTGAGTTTGTCAAAATAGTTCTTAGGGGGAGTGAAATACATTCATTGCATTAATGCAACCTTATAGAATATGCCAATTCAACCATCTGCTTCAGCCATGAATGCTTTTAATTAAATCTCAGTAATTGCATCAGATTGTACTAAATGCATTTCTTCTTTCACCAGACTGAAAACATTATGCAACTTGACTTGCATCTCACAGTCTTGGCACACAGGAGATGTCTTGGCAACCATGAGATTTTCACAGCTCCCCCCCAAAAAAAGAGTGCAGCAATGACACATTTCCCTCCCCAAAGAAAATTAGATATCCTTATCAAGCTTTTGGCTTGCGTGAACTCTACTTGTCTATCCAAAACCTATTAAAGTGATGCAGCATTTCCACCAGCACTGATTGAATCAGATGGCTTATTTGTTTCTTTAAGCCTATTATGGATGATCATATTCTATCTAAGAAATGTCTGTTGACTTTGAGCATGTTGAGGTCACTTAGCCTACTTTATTGACAACGGGATTCATGAAAGTTATTGCAGCTCTAAAAACTCAGTGTATCACATTGCATCTCTGTTGTTCACTGTGTATGCTGCTGTCTGTGTATTTTTCACCTTGTAGAGTAACATTGACAGTCTCATTAGCTCTTTACGCAAAAGTTACATTACACATATTTTTGCTAGATCAGTTTCATTAATAACAATTACAGTTTTACCAGCAGTTGCCATTGTAATAAAGGTAAACTGAAACATGTTATTATTAAGTCTCATTACAAAAACAAGTTCCAGCAGGTTTCAGTGGGCCATCGGCATTGCTAAGGGAATCAAGTTTTGTCTACAAACTACTCACATCTGTTTCCAGCAGATTGTGCATGGAGCTCTCAGCCATCTCTTTGGACTCATGGAACTTCTCCAGGGCCTGCCTGATCTCTTCATCTTGGATTTTACCTTGACGTTTCTTTTTATAATCATAGTCCAGACGGCGGCCCTCCAGTTTCTTCAGGTGGTGCTGGGGGGGGGTGAAAGAGTTGGGAATGGGATGATGAGGTGATGCAGATTACACACACACACACACATATATATATGTATGTATATAAATTTGTTGTAGTTGTTCATGATCATTTTGTGAAATTTGCTGTGCCATTAAAATGACCTAAATATTTGCATGCATTTCAGCTGTTATGCATCTGGACTGTTAATACTTTTTTCATACTATTGCAGCTGACACACAGACTGTGGAGCTCATTAGTCAATGTCTGGCCTGAACGTGCAGAAGCATACCACCTCTTTGATTATACCTGAATGTCTTTGATATCCTTCTCAGCGACTGCCTGCAGAGGGTCAATAAAATTCTGCTTCACATCAATATCCAGAGAGTCCTTGACCTCGGCCATCCTCTTCATTGTTTCCCCTGTGTCTATTAGAGCCCCACCTGCAGCACACATACACATGCAAAACACCAGCATTAGGGACTGTGGGACATTGTGGGGTGTGTTAATAATAATTATTGTTTCTATAAAGAAAATAAAAACAAGAAAAAATACAAGCAAGTATGTAGACACTTTTGATCCAATTAGGAAAAAACATTCCCCAATCTCCCTAACATATAATGCTCCATTTCTCCTCACTTTAATGCTTTCAAAACATATACAAATACACAGAATACACGTCTGTTAAACCGTATATCTAATTTTCTCACTGACTCCACCGTTCTTACCAAAGTTGGTGTCCTCGCCCATATCCCGTCCAAACTTAGTCATGGACTCCCCCAGGAGGCCCTCAGGCTGGGGGTAGCCTGGACTATTCACCTGTCCGCGGATTTTGGACACTGTGTTGAGCATGGAAAGCTTAGCTCTTGTTGCTGGGTTGGGCTGAAGGTACTCTGATGTTTTATTGATGACATCCACCACTGCTTTGCTAGTAATATCTGCTTTCTGGTGACACAAGTTAGGGAGAGACATTATTTGATCCCTGAGTGCATATGCTGAGTTGTATCCCTTTTGGATATTTGGATAAGGAACTTGGGGGACATAATTTCACAGCACAACATATGAGGGTATTGTTACTCAACACATGAACTTTGGGTATAATTTTAAAATGTATTAATTACCCTTTCGAGGTCCTTGAAGTCTTCATCCAGTTTGGTTCCCTCCGCACCGCCAACCTTCTCACTCATCAGCTGTGACCACAGAACAAACAGAGCAATGAGGCTGGCTGAACTCAGCACGTTTACTGGTCCTCATGGAGCATTACTTACACATTTGTCCTAATTATGGTCTTATATTTATCCTCCATCATGACAAACAGATCTTTCTTTGGTTATCTTTCCATTTTTCCACATCCTGAACAAGGTCACCTACAGAACTGAATTTCTGGAGCCGATAGGGGATCAGAGGCTCCAGCAGCGCAGGATCTCCCCATTCTCTGTCTCCAAACTTAAGTGGATATTTAACATCTTCCACCCTTTTGTTTTTTTTCCCAAGAGTGACTAACACAATTCTCCAAGTCTAAGACATGTCCATGTTTTCCATCAGGAGGAACCTACTGAAGTCTGTATAAAGGAATGAGTTCTGCAAACTAGAGTTTCCACTGTACTGAGAGACTTGGTTCATAAGGAATTATGCTGAAGGGTTTTCCTTTTTTCCATCAGGTCAGCACACACATCGCAGTTTCCTACACTACAACCACATTCACGGATTCTTTAACTAAACACACATGCTAACTTCATCTTGCTCTCCATCATCAATGCATATCCTCACTCACACATGGCACATACATCCTCAATTTCTCATCAGGGAAACAAACTCTAAAAGCCTGTGCAGTTGGCTGGCAGGCCATACAGAGACTCATTGTACGTTTGTGTGTGCGTGCCTTCTTATTTGGTTCAACTCGGTGCAGCTGTCAGCACCACAGTGCACATAAAACTCTATGACCAGATGGATCAATCAATCTCTCTAGTTTATATAATACACAGGCCTGGCAATGTTCTTTGTGTGAAACACTCAGAGGCTCAGAAAATGCCCTAAGCACCCACTGCCAACTGGCTCATGGGATATAATTCATCCCCACACATTCCCTAATTATGAAGTCTAATATACAGGATTTTAATTGCAATTAATGAATCTCTTGGTACCAGATGTGAAGCTGTGGCATGTACATGTGAGAAATCCAAACACAAACATACTTTCAGCCCCCCATCTGGCTTCATAATTGCCAAAAGTTTTTTTTTTAGTCCAACACAACTAATAAACCTGCCCGTCTTAGTCAGACAACTGTATGTAATCTGTGTGGAAAACCTGAGTTTTGGTTCCAATAATAAAACATTTAGCCCAGAAGTATTTATTCTGTTTGTAACTTAAAATTGTTGAAAGACATAACTAGACAAGGGGATAAAAAGATACAGATTCACAAGAAGATTTGATACAGGATTTAGATTTGGTAAAAAGCTTGTTGTGAAAGTGGAGTTAGGGACTTTTTAGGCAAAAAAAGATACACTATATGATTTGGACTAAAACAAAAGGTGCACAATGATAAACACCATAACGCAAGCTTTATAGGCATGCTTAGCAACTTAGCTAACCACAATTATTCTGTTTAATTATTGATTAAATCGGCTATATCTTTATGGCAGTATGACGTGAACGCTGTTAAGCAAACATAACTGATTATCCTCCTCCACCACATTTTCTTTCTTTTTATAGCCTGAATGATAAGTGCATTCTTGTTGACCAGGCCTGTGCTAACGGAGGGCAGAATGTTCAGTATAAGTCCTAAATGTATACAGCTCTACAATAGGCATTCACAGTAGGAGTTGACGAGTACCACTGTACTGTGGTGAGGTGTTAGCAATCTAGGTGTCTAGTCAAGTTTTCCAAAACGTTGTATGGAACATAAGATTTCTGTGTATACATTGTGATTCTTGCTGTATTCCTGATCTACTGACTTAATCTTTGTCTTCTGGTTACTTAGGAACTGGAAGCTGGTTTGGGCAGAGTATTCACATAACTAGGATTCCATTACCCTTAATAAGGTACACACCCACTAAGCAAGGACCTGTCACAAATGTTAGGCCAAAGCAAGGACCCGCTGCATGGCAGGTGTCATCAAAACATTGGCCACTGATTTTATAGGTCTTGTCTTATTGAGTTTTTGTTTGTGGTGGCAGGTTTAACTCTTAACTGCCACAGGAGCCAACAGTTTCATTTCTTTCATAACAGTGATAAATGCAATTTGATATTTAAAAGCATAGGACAAACATGGCTCTGTAAGACAAAAATTTTCAAAAGGCTCAATATTATTCAGCTAGATGGAGGTGATAACAGATCGGTTCAGTTTAACACTTGGAAACACATTAGATACTTGTAGCTTAGAAATGATTGTGAGACGCTCAAACCTGTGTTGTGCGATTTCAACTCCGGCCTCACCACAACACATTGGCCAATTTGACTTCAGACATGTTATGAAAACGTTGTATAATCCGAGGGATAACAAATGGGAACACCACTTTAGGACGATGGTATTAACCATAACACTTGAATGATGTATCAACCTGCTGTTTTTACATAATAGCAAAACACGCCGAAACCAAACTCCTGTCATCACATACTGTTAAGTCTGTGTAAATGCAGGGGTGCAAGTTGCGTAGTTAGTCAACTACTATCTTCAGTTAATCTGAGGCAAAGTAAGTGCTTAAATACACAACGTTAAGACACAAATCCATTCTGGAAGCCAACAGAAAACAACTAAGTTTAGCGTGAGTTTGGTTTAACTTGACTAATGTTCCTGACGTTAACTTGCTAACTCTCTAGATTAGCTTTAGCTAATGGGTTAAAGTTGACTTACCTATGAGCGACAACACATTTGACAGTAGATGAAGAGTTTAATAATAACAAAGCTAGTCGTATACTTTTCAACAAGTTAAAGTTGTTCACAGTATTTAACCAAGAAAACCTGTTTTGTCGTTATTCATGATGTTTTCCAGCTAGCTTGAAGCTAGCGCAATAAAAGTAACGATAACGTCAGCTAGCTAGCTAAGCTACCAGCTAATGTTTAAAAAGTTGCGCGTTTACCTGGCTTGCTTTGTAAAATTGCTTCTTAAATCCTGCGACGGACATCTTGCACCGTCAGTGTTGCCACCCGGACCTCGACGGGGAAATATGTGTCTTAAAGTAGTTGGTGCGAGTCTGTAGGAAGCACAAATAGCAGCCGAGCAACACGTCTTAAAACTTTGCACCGTGGATGTGAAACTTGCTAGGCAACCACAATTTCCTGGCTACAACTTCATGTGGGAGGCTCCATCCTGGTGGATAAAGTGGGTCAACACACACACACACACACACACACACACACACCACACACACACACACACACACACACACACACACACACACAACGACACATCACACACACACACACACACACACACACACACACACACACACACACACACAAAAATCATGCATCCAAACATCCTCCTTACCCTGCAGACAAAATTGCTGACTTTGACTTCAGCTGAGAAAGACATACTTTCACCTCCATAATTCATCTTTACTTTAGCAAAATTATATTTAGTTATATAAATTCTCTATTTGTATGAATTTATTCTGAACAAACAAGTTATAATATAACATAATGTCTATATTCAATATAGCATTTTGTCATTTTTTTTTCTATTAATTGTTTGCTATATAAAATGTCAGGAAGTCATTAGAAAATGCCCATCACAATTTCCTAGAGCCACTGGTGAAGTCTTAATGTTGATACAAATAAAGAAAAGAAAAGCAGCAAATCGTCATATTGGAGAAGCTGCATCCAGAAATTGTTTGGAGTGTTTGATAAATGACTTAAATTATTATTTGTTTATTAATTGCTGCGAATTAATCTTTTGTCAATCGATTAATAGAAGAATTGTTCAAGTTGAGTTAGTGGCATGAAAGGAATACAGCATGCATAGTATAATATAAGATCAGATGGTTTTAGAGAGATCTATTGGTCAACATTATGCAACACACACATTATACATTCATCACGTTCATCAACATGAAAGCAAAATTCAAGTCTAAATAAGACTCAATGAAGCATTTCAAAAGAAAAAGAAACAATTTATTACATTCTTAAAACCACATATAAGGTATCCCATTGGACAACAATATATATCGAGCTGTGTGACTCAGTTACTCTTGGACTAGTAATATACCTCTTGTACATTTTGTCATACAGGGAAAGAGAAGGGAGACAAACTATTGTTTTTTGTTTGTACTTTTCCTAATCTTTCTTCAATTAAAAAAAATAGATCACTGACTTTACAAGACAAAAGTGGAGACATGTAAAGAAAAAGGTGGATAAAAGACTGACAAATAAATGAAAATCACAGCAAAAGAAACATTAAATCCCAATAATGAAATCCATTTTTAAATCTAACTGATTTATTTATTTTTTATCTTTTTAATTCCTATGTCTCTTAAATTTAATGTTACAATATTAGGACAAACAGGAAGGGCTTTGACACTTTGTGAGTAACATTCACAAAAATAGAACTTACGTCCACAGTGATTATGGTTATGGGTCTCATCTTAGGTGCAAAGGTGTGAGGAGTACAAGGCTAAAAGACGACACTGGTAATAAAGGGACAAGAGATCACAGCTAGCTCCCTGAGCGGCAAACAGCAGGTCCTTAGACTCTGCTCAAGAACTTCACAGCACCCCAAGTAAGACATTATCATCATCTGAATGCTATTACTACCTTTAGAAAGCATGTTATTTATGCACATGAAAAATGTAAACAGGTATGGCTGACCTTGTGTAACTGATGTAGAAAAAAAAAAAACTAAAATAATAAAACAGATTGACCGAAAACTGTTAAGTCTTACTGGCATTGAGGCCCAACTCAGGGGGGCAGCTGGTAGCTCTGTCTGGCCTTAGACTAGTGTCCAGTGAGAAAGATGAAAGTATAAGTGCTTGGTATTCAGACAAGTGTTGGGTTTAGGACTAAAGGAGAGGGGAACAGCAAATGTACAAAATAATACAGTTGCTCCAACCAGCAGGGAGGGTTTATGATACATATTATGGACCATCGTCGTCCCGGCCTTTAACCAACTGAAACATTATGAATGAAAGACAGTTATATTACACCTATTCCTCTGACTGCTGGTTAGAAAGGGGGGGGGGGCTGTGTGTCCCCTTTTATTTTACAGTTCATGAAGTCATCTTTTGCCTTGCTTTCTCTGTTCCGTAGTGTCCTGTTTGTCCTCTTGTCTCTTTAGGCAGGGAGACAGCAGCAACAGCGCAGACTGAAAGCTCTCAGTTTTAATGCAAGACAATGGAAAAGTTTTTTCGCCTTTGTTTGGGTACACTGCCTCCCCTGCTGTGTCGTATCTGCAACAAGTGTCCACCCCATTGCTTGCGTGATGACTGCACCTAACCCAGCTGGGTTTGCCGTCATGGCAAGAGGGAGTTGTTGCCACCGAAACCTGAGAGTACTGTCAGGAGAGGAAAAATAGTCCAGAAAAAGATCTGAGTCCAAAAAATCAGCTATCCTCACGCATCCATCTTTTTTTGTCCTCTACATCTTACGATCCACTTTTCTCTCCCTTTCTCTCTGAACTGAACTGAACACACATTCTAACTCTCTCCATATACTTATATAGTCATCTATTTACATTCTTATTTAAAATATTTGTTTATAAATGTGTATATAAATTAAAGATAATTTCATCTTGTCCTGTCTCTAAGTGGCATTTACAAGGAAAGGGGTGTGTGGGACTGAGGTTTCTCATTGCATTACAAGAGCCTACAAAAAGGCAGCACCGAACACCGTCTAAATGTGTGTGAAACTGGTTCTCAGCTGATGAAGGAGGTCAGCCTAAGCCATGAGTCATGTCATATATCTGTGTGTTTCTTTCTATATCAGAGAAAATGACTCATGATCTTGGTCCCTAAGTGATGGTCAGTACAAGCATATTGTCTGTATGAATACAAATCTGTACCATACTGAGATGTATTTAATATAGAGAGATATATTGAGCAGTATTAACAGTGAGACCTGTTGATCACAACTTCATTCAAATACTATGTGTAAAACTCTGTCTCAGAGTGGCAGGGTTGTACATTCACTGTTGTTGGGTTCTGGTGTGTGCACTGGTGCTTATCCATGAGGTACATTCATAACTGGTTGGGTGATCCACAGTGGATCTGATCTTAAACAAGTGTTAGAGCTTGGAGCTGTTACATGCTAAGTGGGCTGCTGTGTTAGTATTACGGTGCCCATCCGCTTGTTGTTAATGCTACAATTTGCAGAGGACCATGAGCATGTGTGGTCTGTAGTGTAAGGTGCTTTGCCTGCTGGGAAAGTGGAGGACTACTTTGGGATCATGGGAGACGGAGTATTAAAAGTCCTGGATTGTCTCTTAACTGCTGGTTGTTGAGCTTCAACATCTCTATCCTTCTTTGTCTCTCCTCTTGCTTCCCTACCTCTTAATACACTCTCTCCATCTCTCTTCTTTGTTTATCTGTCTGTCTAGCTGTTGGTGGAGTCTGGCAGAGACATTTCGCTGCCAAACACTTCCCGGTACAGTGGTGGGAAACTGTAGGCGGTCTCTGGGTGGACCAAACGGAAAAACTCCAGTTTATCAATGTGGAGGTTACAGATGGACTTCATTATGGGCAGCTTGGATACCATCTGTGTGGACAGAAGAGATATAAAGGTAAATTTTTGTTTGTGTACACAATTGTAGGTGTTAAAGAAGAGATGTGACTGTTTGTCTTTACCTTGTCCAGTTTCTCATCAGAAGCACCGCTCTTATGTAGACTGTGCTGCAGAGCCAGGTAGACTTTCTCCTGGAGTTTCTGAACCTTTTGGCCTTCTGTCAGCCAGGGTCGATCTACAGGGAAGAAAATATTAACCCCTTAACATACAGTTTGCTCAGTTTATTTCTCCTTAAGTAGCTTTAAGGTTGGTAAAATCATTTTACTCCATGCTGTCTGACGGAGTGTATTCTGTGTAAGCTCTCGATTGACGCAATATGATGTGAGTGAAATATTCGAACAAAGACATTTCTCTTTGGGTGGCACCAGTCAGTCAAATGAAAATATATTGGATGTAATATTTGGTATGTTTGGAAACTTCGGAATCTCCAAATTTTAAAATTACATTCTGTGAGTATGAAAAATGTTTGGCTGCACAGCCATGCACTCTAAAACTGGCTATTCAGAAATGTGAAGCACAGACTGATATGTACTGCTGATATGACACATGGGGGAAAATGACCAGTTTTATAATGTAAAATAATTTTTCAAAGAAATCTGATAAATAAACTGCAATAATAAACTGAAACATTCATATGTAAGACATCTGCAACAAAAAGTTTATTGTGTCGAATGTTTATGTTGAGAATAGGTATCCTACACTCATTACACAATGTCAGTGCGGCACTGAATACACCTCTATTATTATTCTGCAGCAGAATAAGCACTTCCTCTTGAACATGTTTGTCTTCGTGATTGTGGATGTGTGCAAAAAAGAGAAATAGAAGAATAATCACCAGGGGATAGAAGGACAGCAGCACTAAACAGAGCCATCTCTTCGTCAGATAGCTGTAGACGGCAGAGTCCTTTTCCAAGGTCAAACACTGCACTGACCAGATCATCACAACCTGCAAGAATGCAGGACATTGTTTAATGAACTGACACAACAACTCCAACAACTCCAACCACAACAACAACTCCTGTTTGATGCGGGAGATACCCGAGAGGGTTGACAGTCTGACAAGACTGATCAATGGTGGCCTCCAGTGAAAGTTCCCACAATTAAATTAAACAAGTTTTTCTTAATGTCATTAATGTCTGTCTGATGTCTCAGAAATAACTTCTCAGTGTTTTTCAAAATCAATTAAAAACAGCTCACAGCGAAATACTGTTGTGCTGACTGACATAATCCATCATTTTAAATTATACATCTTGGCTAATGTTTGCTGTTGTGTTTACTGTTGTGTTTAATGGTGTTTGTTTTCACTCTCTCCATTAGGGTGTATTGTTACAGTTGGTGGTACTAAAGAGGCAAATTGCTCTAGAAATTGAAAAGCAACATCTAGCAGGATACTTTCAATTATTTCTTCTCAAAGTCATCTCTAGCTTTAACAAACTGCTGTTAACAAGACTGAAACTGAAATGACCCTCTTTAAGAAACATTTGAAGAAGAATTACCGCAGTTATTTAATTTAAAATAATGAATTGTGGTGCGATCGGTGCAGAGGCTTCTCTGCAAGCTGTCAATAATGGATTGAGAACAGTGGGAGCGCAGCTAAGTTAATTATTGCACAGTGTGTGTCAAACTTACAAAAGACATAAGAAACATAAGATGCTTTAATGTGTGACTCTGTCAATTATCCGAACGTTTTAGAGCTTCAGCTACGACTACCTTCCCATATGATCCTCACCAAGTGCTTTGAAGAACTGAGGCGAAGCAAACTTCCCATTGAAGAAAATGGTGCTGTTGTTGACGTTGAAAGCCCGGCACATACGTATCAGCAGGACCTCCAGGCAGCCTGAAATAGTAGCCATAGATAGAGGCAAAGACATGGAGAGATGGGGAGATGGAGAGAGAAGAGTAAAGAGGAAGGGACAGAAAAGGTCCAGGATACTCCAACATGCACAAAACACACAACAAAATGTAAATAATTTTGACCCAGATTGGTGCACAGCATATATAAGATGTTTATGAACCATTAAAAAAATCAACAGGATAACAACAGTTTGTTTTTTTTAAAGTTCAAAACATTTACAGAGTAAACAAATTGTCAAATATATGCATTTTATGTCACAGATATGTGTTGAGCAGATGCAGAAAATAATTGCAAATATTGTTTCCAGAATTGTGTGGTTCTCCACAGTGTTTGAGCCAGGTGTATGTCATTTGTTGGATGGAATGGTAAAAATAAAAAAAAGGGGCAAAGGTAGAAGTTTGGAGACAAAAAAAACATGAAGGAACTAAAGTTAGCAAGTTTCAGACAGTTTACTTTGGAAGAATGAACTCTGTTAGTGAAGTATTTGAGATTTGAGCATTGTTAGACTGTACACTGACCTGCTTTCAGCAATATAATCTGATCATTCTGGCACAGGTCCATGAAGCCAGCAATGCGTTTGGCAAACTCCACCACATACTGGATGGCGTTGGTGATGTGGTGTGCACACTGCTGCCACATCCACTCAGCTGACTAAAAGACAGACACACAAATTAAACATTTGAGTATTACAAACCCATTAACATTACTTTAACATAAATGAGTTGTTTGAGATCAGATCAGATTTAGTACTTCCACTGACCAAACAGATATTTTATTTCAGTATTGATAAAATTATCTGGAGCAGAGGGCCTTGTTTAGGCTGAAAGCAAATGAGTCCTTCTGATCCATTACTGATAAATTTGCAATAAATAAACAAATGATTGTGATGACAGAAGACTGAACACCTATAGTCCTCATTCTGTACCTTGTTCTGAAAAGCACGTGTTTCCTCTGGTGTGTATTGTACCCAGGTGAATCTCTTCATGTCTTCAGCGCTGTACTGACACGTCTCCAAGTGAGACTTAACGATACTCTGAGTGATGCGCTCTGTGAAACAAAACAAGCACATACGTCAGTGCTCTCTCACTCACATTATTTATGGTGGTAGCAGTTTGTGCGTCAGAGAGACAGAGAGAGAGAGAGAGAGAGAGAGAGAGAGAGCGAGAGAGAGAGCAGTGGAGTGTAACAGTGGTTGTTTACATATCCACAGATCATGGCAGTGTGACCTTGAATTACAAACTAGATGCTTTGCAACACTCTGCTGTAACGCCCCCCCCCCCGACAAGACTGAGTGCTGCTGGCTCATCATCAGCTCATCTTATTTCTGCAGAAGTTAGGATGTTCTCCATCTCCTGCAGCAGACACAATATTTACTCACTGCTTCTTTTAAAAGTCCCCAGAGCCCTTTTCAAAGCCTCCTTCTAGTTTGTTGTTGCCAGCAACCATAAAGATGTAAAATAAAATACAATTGCATTCCTCCTCAACGTCTCTAGAGACACCATCTCTATAAAGGCCTTTGCCTCTATACCGCTACAAATACCACTACACCCTCATCCCTTCATCTGCTCGTTTTTAGATGAGCTGCTACTAGTGCACATCTCCTGCCTATTTCTTATTGCTTGTTTCCTCCTTGTTTGTTTTGCCTGTTTAATCTCGTCCTTGTCCTGTTTTGCTGTTCTATCTGCCATGTATTTTTTTTTTCCAAACTGTTCAGATATGTCCTTGTGCTTTATCTTTGTTTTTCACTGAATTCATTTTGCTTTTTGAAATTATATTCCATTTAGTTTGATTTACTTTATTATTTGACCTTGTTTTGCACTGCTAATAATTTACTGTAAATGATTAAAAACAAGTACTCAGATAATGGTCATGTGGAAAAAAAGACAAAATCACCACTATCTGTTTTACATTTATATAGCAGTTTGTTCAACAGTACCGCTACACATGACACTCTCTTTACAAGAAATACTGTTATTACCCATTGATGTATTAATTATGATCTATTCTGCTTTGCCTTGTTTTAGTGATGTACACTGCTGTTATCAAACTCACTTGCAGTTTCACAATAAAATGGTTAATGGTCCCTGAGCTGCTAAAACTGATTTAATGTGAACCATTTTAAAGAAGTGTTAATTTAGGATTAAGAGCATGCAGCAGGAAATGAAAGATTGGAGCATTATGACGAAATATATAATGAATGCCTGTCTCACATAATATCTTGTATCAAGTAAACTCCTGATTCTCTCTTCAGTTGCTAAAGAATTCAGGCTTTTCTAATACACTTTGCAACACACTGTTTGTTTGAGTAAGGTGTGAACAGAAAAATAAATTATTTGTGATACTACATTGTTAATACTCACCAAGGTCTGTTATAGAGCAGTCATCAGGCAGATGGTCCAGCAGTGCATGTGTGTGTCCCAGCAGATGTGTGTGAGAGTGTGTATGCAGGAGCTGTATCCCGTTGCCGTCTGCCCCGTCCAGTACAGTCTGCTGCGGGGAATTCTGATTGGACAAGGATGAGGAAGAAGATGAAGAGGACGATGAGTTGGAGGTGTTCCCGGTGCTGGCTCCTCCACCTCCTCCGAGCAGCTCCAGGCTGCAGTACTCGCTGGCCTCCTCGGGGGTCAGGGGAAGATCAAACAGGTCAGGCAGCGCTGCGATGTCATCCAGGTCGCTTAGGGTGGAGCTGGAGCCCCCGCTGCTGTAGGAACGGCTCAGACCCTCTTCACCATCCTCCCCGCTACCTCCACAGACTCCATCCTCCCTGGGTAAGGACAGAGCTGTAGAGCCCCCGCCTCCAGTGCCCACACACTCCTGGGACTTCTGGTGCTTCTGAACTTCAGCGTAGAGGCTATCACGCTGCTTCTTTGACATACGACCGAACTTCACAGCTGCGAGAGAGAAAATACATTTCATTATAGTAGACAAATGGACAAGAACAAATGAAATATTCTTTTTTTTAGCATTTGTGCATAGATATTGGAATTTTTCTATTCCCAAACTACAAATTTCACATCTGTAGCTGTTATCTAATTGTAAGATACTTCTGGCTCACATAGATTCCTTCTGCCACCTTATCCACAAGTACTGTATGTTCCAGTCCCTATATCCAGTTTGCATGATGACACTTGATCACCTCTTCAGTCTACATACTGTATTTGTTTTCTCTCTGCAGTCTACAGAAGAGGGGAACAAGTGGTGAGCCCTGTTACGACAGCTGATGTGAAACATTACTGCATTAAATTAAGGGCACGCATGCACCAGGCTGCACTGGAGAAATACATATCTGCTCCCTTAACCAAACTCAGCTGTGGCACATTTTTAAGTTTACCACTGAAAGTCATGGTTTAAGGAAGTGTGTCTTCATGTGTTTACCATCTCTGCTCATGCCCAAAGCCAGACACTTCTGTAGGCGACAGTGCTGGCAACGGTTACGGTTTGTACGGTCAATCAGGCAGTTCCTCTGGCGGGAACAAGAGTACATGGCATTGTTCTGCTGGCTGCGACGAAAGAAACCCTAGACACGCACAAACACACACATACAAGTACTGTAAATGGCTGCACATTTTAAATAAAACCGGTTGATTAAAGTTTGGTAGCCTGGTTGACTCCGTGTTTCCTCCTCACCTTGCAGCCTTCGCAGGTGATGACTCCGTAGTGGATTCCTGAGGACTTGTCCCCACAGATCTTACAGGGGATGACCTCGATCTGAGCTGCAGGACCAAAAACAACAGTGACGAGAGAGGTCAGAAAGCTGCTGCATAATGTGTCTCAAATGAACGTAGAAAAGCTTCAACATCTGCTTAGTAAGGTGCTGCAGTGCGTCTTTGGCTTCTTCGACAACACTGAGTCATACTGTGGAAGGTTGCCAAAAATATTTAATAACAAACCACTAACACAACATTAAGTAACATGATACATTCATTCAGACATAACACACGCGTTTACAGAAGCCCATATTTGGCATATATTTAGTGCCTGCTTCATTGTAACGGGAGCCAGTGGGATTTGTCTGAACTACTGAGTTTATCCAAGATTTTGTAAAACTTTCTTTATGAAAAAACATTTTTGAGCAGCACTAAAACTGTTCTCAACTTATACTTATACTTATAAACTTATACTGATCACTGCTAATTCTTATACTTATACTTATAAACTTATACTGATCACTGCTAATTCTTATACTTATACTTATAAACTTATACTGATCACTGCTAATTCTTATACTTATACTTATAAACTTATACTGATCACTGCTAATTGTGGAGATGAAAAACCTCCTCGATCTGAGCCCTGCATGCTTTTGAAACATCTCACTGGGTTATATTTATCAGTCTTGTTGAGTGAAGAGTTTGAAATGTACTGTTGTGTTTGGAAGGGCCTCTTCCTCTTTAGCCTCTATCTCTTCTTGTGTTACCAGTAGCAATTTTTGTGTCCCTTAATACTTGCCATTTATTTGTAGCACTTTGGACATACTGTCCATAAACATATGAGCCATAATATAAAGTAAGTACCATCTAAACCTGACTAATTAGTCAAATTCCGATGTGTTAAATATTGTTTCTTTGATTTAAGTGTGAGATAGAACAGAATTTCTTCTTGCTTAAAAGGCATAAAATCTTTTATTTTGCATCCCTGAAATGCAATCAGCGTTTTACAGTTAAATCCTGGCAGCTTCTCCATCACTGCAACACAAACCAACCATATTTCAGTTATGATTTTTGGCACTCTCTTTTGCAGGCCATTGATGTTGTGCTATCATGTTTTCTCCAGCTATAAACCTTGGCCAAAATAAGGTTCTTTGTGTCTCCTGTATTCCTTGAAAAGGTTGCCCATGCTTTTATCTCATCACAGTCAGACGGCTGTTTCTCTTTGTACTCAGGGCTCAATAAGAAGGCCATCTCCTGTCTCCTGCTGATACAAAATGCAGCTGCAAGGCTTTTGACAACTTCTATTTCAATCAGTTGTTATGTTACACATATCCTTGCCTCCCTTCTGTGGGAGCCCCTGGGTTTCAGATTTGAATTTAACATTTCACTGACAAAGTTATAGGCTTCAGACACAAAGTTATACTTTATGTTAGTCCTCTTTGAGTCTGAGTGCAGTCTGTGATCCTAAGGTCAGTCCTGGTTCAAATATGCTGCATTACCAGGGGCGATCATTTTGTGAAACTCCCTTTCTGTAAATCACACGCTAACAAAAAGCAGTACTTACTTTCATCTGGAGGCCTTTGACATAACCTATATCACTGATCTTTAACTATTTGTCAGTGTATTTTGTCCCTCCTTTCTCTTTTATGCTTTATGACCTCTCAACTTTGCTGTATTGTTTGGTATGACACATGATTAATTAACATGACTTACACCATGTAAATCCTGTTTTGTTCTTGTTCTTAGATAATTATTAACACATTTTTAGAAGATTAAACAGGTCACTGCATGACTCAGATCCTGTTCTTCCCGCCAGCATGTGGTGCAAAGTACAGAATTTAACAGCGTAGCATCAATTAAGTCACATAATTTTTTTTTTTTTTTTCTATTGATGGCAACAACCTTACAGACAAACTGTCCTACAGTGAGTACACACAGTACAAGAGAAGATAACTTGCCATGAACTGTGTTTGTCTGCACCCTGCATGTGGCCCCCATGAGAGAACAGAGTACACAAACAGACATGGAATCACATGACATTTGCACATATGACACATACACAAAGACTCCTTCGTTCTTCACCGAGCAAAAAACAACAACAGCTATATCATAAGATAGTTGCTGTTTAGCCTTGCTGTCTGTGCAATCTTTAGACCTATTTATAAAAGTCAGTATTTGTACTGCTTGTGTTGGGACGATGTACGGAAAACCACTTGGTGATTGAGGAGGAATTGTTGCTCTCTTAGGTACTGGAAAACACAACTTTCCACCCCTTTTCCCCTTTAATGACACAGTCGGCTGTCTCCCCTCTGAAACTGTTACTAAAATACTCCAACTGATCAGGGCAGCTGCAGGCATGCAATGGAAAAATATCTCCCTCCCTCCCTTTCTCTCAGGTTCCCCTCCACCCCTCCCTCATCTCTCGATTATATAACTCCTGTCTGTGAGCATTCCTCACAACACTCATTCAGCGGGCTCACTCTAGCAACACTGAGACCCCGCCCTCCTCAGACTCTCCCTTTCCCACTGGCTGAGCGGCGTTCTAGCCTCCTTGGTATTGGCTGAGTCATCCGTCACTCCGGCGCTGTAGCCTGTCAGCCCATGTGGACATTCTGTCCTACTGACACACTTTCCCACTGCAGGGGGAGAGGGAGGGAGGGAGGGAGGCAGGCGCGATCCCGTCTCTCCGCAGACCAGTTTTAAGGTGGAATTGAAAAATGCTTAGACTTCCTCAATAAATATTTCTCTGAAGGCTCATAACAGCATTAGAAAATTAGCTTTGTTACATAACAGCAACATTAAACCATGAGAGACAATGATGATGAGCCTGGAAAAACTGCACTTACCAATTCAGTTACTACGCAACAGAGATCTTCACCCAATTTCTCATAAGTCTATTTCTGTATAGAGTGATTTATATGCATTAATCAAACACTGTGCTGTGTTATTAGTGAGAAACCACGTTTAATTTGACTGTCACAGCCCCTACTGTACCTGGCTACAGTCCACTCAAAGCAGACAAACTCTGAACTTGAATGTCAGCTATTCAGCCCCCACCCCTCTCCCTGGTCTTCGATATTGAGCTTCTGCTTCAACCCGTTCTATTCTTGTCCTGTGCTGAGAGCCAGAATTACACAGATGCCCAGCCACCCACCGCTGTTGCTACAACCACTCATAGGCTACATGCTTTCTCACTCCCCTTCTCTAACTGACTCTCACATATGCAGACACAACCCAGAGACAGTGAACCCAGATTCATCTCCCTAATGTTCCCTTATCTGATGTGATTTTCTCATTTATAATCTGGTAAATGAAAAATTACTGTGCAGTTAAACCAGTTACCTACATACAAAGAATTAATAAGCCCAGAAAATTAATAGGGATATCTTGGATACCTCACTGAGCCAGTAGAGACAAAAAACTAGAGCTGTAGCCAACAATTACTTCAGTTATTGAGTACTCTTATCTGTTTCTTTCTTGATTAATTGACACATTATTTACTCTGAAGAGAAACATACAACATATTCAAACTTTGGACCAACTGTCTACAACCCAAAGGTAATCTGTTTACTATCATATAAGTATAAGAAAACCACCTTATATGCACATATGAGAGGGTGGAACCAATGTATTTTTGCTATCAAAAAAGTTAGCAATTTCTATTCTGTATATCTACAAATCGATTAACTGGCTAATCAGCAAAAACAGCATTGTTATGAGGTCAATGCCCAGTGAAAATAAGCTTACTACAGCAGTAGCCACACTAATGTTAAAGCAACATTTACCTTTAACCCTGACTATCATTGTTGACCTGTGGTAAAACGCCAGTCGGAGGCATCTGACCTTTAACACTCCAGAGAGCGCCAGCATTCCAAGACCATCAATACCAGCTCTGCTTTTTGCCAACATGTTGCATGACAACTAAATGCAGCACTTCACATTTATTGCCCACTGACACAGTAACTTACAAAATGTTAGCAGGGGATGCAGTAAATGAGGTGAAATTACACGTATGGCAAACAAAGAAAGGTGTTTGAGCAGTAGGACAGCTAATTTGTGTGGCACACCCAAGCCTTTTCACCAAATAAACCGAGAGCAGACACTTTTAACAGCTCAGCTACAAAAACGTTGGCCCCAGTGTGTTTATCAGCCAGCTAAATGTGTAACTGTGTTATCTCTGCAAAAGCTTAATTCAGTACGGGTGGGGCAGGGAGAGGCAGAGAAAAATCACTGACTTTGTGCTACCAATAGTTCAGTTCTCCGCATATAATGTGGAACAAACAGCCAATAATTCTCCAACTGCAGCCTCCTGCCAAAACAGTCATTGTGTCAGTGTGTCAGTAGCTGGACAAAGAGAGATAAATTAATTTCGACCCACCGCATGTTTACAGTCAAATATGTGCAGAAACCAACCGCACACCACTTCTCCATTTTAAAATTTAACAGACAGTTTTTCACACAAGTACAGTTTGTTCGTGTTGCTGTATTACCTACGCCACAATAATGTGCAGACTGCTACAAACTGCCACCGAGCAACAGATTGACTCGGGGCTCAGTGGTGTCATTTTTTTCATTACCTGCTCTTACGAATGACTGACGGCGAGAGAGGACGCACTCAGCAGGAGGTGGGAGCCCTGTACTTGAGCTCTAGACATATTAGCAGTGCTGAGGCACTTGTTGTGTCATGCCTCGCAGTTGGGCGTAGGCTTACAGTGCAGCACAGAGCTATATCACAACAACCCATTGTGGACGTCATTGTTGTTCAACAATGGGAGTGTTTTTCCATATTATTTGAATTATTTGAATTTCCACATTATTTCATTAACTCTTATGTTAACTCTATTATATCCTCAGATGACAGAACAAAACCTTGTTGGTTTCCACACCTCCTGGCTGAATCCAGGAAGGCAACTGTCTTGCTGATTACACTTTATACATTGTAGCACACACTCTAACACACAACTCTCAGAAAATACTTTAATATCACCCTCTAAGGATAGTCCTATTTGCAACAGAACAACGGTGCTGAGACTCAACATAGACTAAATACATATATACAACATGGGTCTAAGGCTGCTGGTGCATTCAAATCAATAGGCTCTATTTTAAAAGATGCAAATACCAGTGGAGGCCAAGCTGAGGCCCACAGAGGGGGAGATTATAACAGAGCTAAGAATTTCATAGGCCTCCTCTAGCCAGTGTCAGTGTATGACATGAGTCCTATGATCTCTCACTATGTTTACATTTACTAAATAAAGCGCACTCTTCTATCCTGTGCAATATGCCAGAGGAAGTGTTAGAGGTCGAGACATCACAACAGGCTTGTAAAAGTCTGCCAACATGCCAAAACTACTGGAATGACTCAACAATTTGGACTAAAGTGATTGTGATTACAAATATTCACGAGCATGTTCAAACGGATAAAAATGCTGATGTGCTTTTCTGCTGAACAAACCATAGGCTGGGCGACTAACCTACATTTTCAGTGCAATGGGCTAAGAAAGGGTTTGTTTACATTTGGATATCCTGCCAGAAAGGGAACCTCCCTCCACAAGAGGCCCCCTCTGCTTCGCCTTCCCTCCCTCTTTTTTACTGCAAAACATAATCTCTTTCCTCCCCTACCAAAAAAAAAACAAAAAAAAAAACGACTTATACCTAATCTCCTGTCCTTCACAATAAAAGATTATAATGTTGACCTTGTTCAGACCAAAAACCCAGTGAACCCAAACATTAGCAAACAATAAGAAGTGGCTTGTTTAAAAATCTGTACATGTGAAGCTGAAATTGCTGCAAGTTGATTAGTCTCAGTTAGTATTTGCAGAGGTTACAGTAACCACATTGTGAATGTAATACATGCACATGACAAATCTCTTTCCAGAATATAAACATATATATTTCATCATAACTTCCATGTTGCCTACATTACATTTGAGGCCTATTTGTAATCATTTGAATTTTTAATTATCCGTAATTTTGGACCTCACAGGCTATAGCCGGTAGCCACAAACAGCCTGCCTTGACAATGACAGTCATCTGCTCCCCCACTCCCCAAGTTCAAGCTCAGCCTGTGTCAGGGAGTGACACGTTGTAGGACGCCCGTCACCGAACGCCTGTAACCGCACACGCTGCACGTCCGGCGGCCGGGCGCTTCCCAGAGCCGCTCCCCCCTCCCTCCGCTACCAATGCTGTATAATGTTGGGTGACATAACTAGGTCAGTGGAACAGCCAGGTCCCTCTCCCTCTGTACACTCACACAGTCGGCCATGCTGGCACAGTCATCACATCACAACAACACCACAACTACACCAGCATTGCTTAGATTCATCTTGTAAAAATCACCAGTACAGATAAAAAGTTTTCAGGCATCTTCAGGACTGTTTTTTTTTTTCAAAATATAAAATAATGCGAAATTAGATGATTATGTGCCAATGAATATCAGAAAAATAGCTATTATTCTTTAAAGCGAATGGTGCAAACGTTTCTTTATTTTTGTTTTTAATTCACCTGATAAGAAACCTGATAAGATCGAATAACATCTCGATTACATAATTCTAGTTTTGGTTAACAACAACCTCCCCTCATGCCCCGCCCTCTCTTTATTGCATAACTCTAACATGGATCCTCTGGCAAAATTTGCAGAAGGGCTCCCAGGTGCGATACGACTCACATTTTTTCAGAAACGGACAGATTTATCCCCGAGATGAAATATAAAGCACAACTACGCATGTGCACTATTGAAACCTTGTTCCGACCTCACTGTAAACAGACTTGAAAGATGATTTTTTTAAAAACAGAATTACAAACTGGTCAAGTTGATTGTCATGAACACCATGCCTCCAGCTCTTTCTCACTGCATGCTGAACTTGAGTGTGCAACGTGCAGCCTTGAGCTTCGTGCAACGATAATCCAGTCATGAGGGATTAATGCGCACTGGGAGGAAAACAGGCACTCAGGTCCCTGTGTTCACACATGTGGCCGTTCCAGCCCGGTCAAAAAAAACAAACCAAAAACACACACACACACACACTGCGACGTTTCCCAAGTTCAACTAAAAGATGCAATAATGACATAAAGCAACTTACCTCTCATTTTGATGTTTTCTTTTTCTAGGCAGGACGGTGAAAACTCGACTACATGTGGCAACTGTAGGTGACAGGATAGAGCAGAATAAAGCGCAGGAGCCAGAGTACACTGGCTCTGTCAATATTAACTTCGTCCCGGCTGCAGACAGCTCTCGTAAAGCACGACCAAAAAAAAAACCGGGGGGAAAAAAACTACCCGAAACTCTTTTCCTTTATCGCTCGGTCAAGTCCGAGCAAAATGAAAGAGTGAAGAAAGTCGCTTTGGATCGCATCGTAATCGTCTCGGCGCACTGACGAATAGATTTGGCTCAACTTTTTTGACAGAATAGTCCCACGGTGAACGAGCGCTGTTTCGGCAGCCCCCCCTCCGCGCTGTGACTCTCCGCCTGCTTTCCTCTCAGTCTACCCTGCTAACCTACTTTCTCCAAGCGTGGACTCTCACATGATCTCACTGCCGTCAGCTCCTCTCAGAGCTCTCGCGGGGGCGCGCCGTCGGGAGCGAGTTTAAGGTGGCTGGGCAAATGATTGACTACTGCTCACTTCTTACTCACGCACAGTGATGATCATGGGTGAGAAATAAAAGATTGCCGCGTACACTAGGTGATAGGAAGGTAATCAAACCCACAATCAGTTCCTCTTTTAAACAGACATACATTTACTGCTCTCTGCCACTTCCCCTGACTTGACAACAGTTGCTGTAATGGTGCAGAATGTAGCCTGTGAACCTCTCATTGTGGTTCATATTTGTCTGATTAGGTAAAAACCAGGTAGCAAGAAGCTATCTGACTGGTTCTTTGTTTACCAGAGAGCTGACACCTTATTTAATGAGTCTTTTTCTGTATTTGCCTTAATGGTGTTGACTTGGATGACTTTATGTAATCATCTGGCCTGAGAGAGCTTCCACAAATGTTCCTTTTCAGTGAAAGAAATCTTTCAAAAATATCAGCAGCTGATCATCGATTAATCAGTTGATCCATAAAGAAAATATTTGTTAGTTGCAGCCCTATAGCAGCATGAAAGGAGACGTTATTTCTTCAGTGGGACTGTTTGTCACTTGTGACACCTTGAATAGTCCTTGTGCTGTTAACAAAGAGGAACACCTGTGCTGCTGCTGCTGCTGCAAAAAAAGTGAGTTTAGTTTTATAGGTAGTAAATATACAATATGGAGTCGCTGCATTGACCCTGTGGACCTGTAAAATATTTTATTTGAGCTTGTGCAGTCAAATGAGCTTTGTTCCTGAGTATGCTCGCCTGCGCTGGGAAGAATAGGCTGCTTTCCCAATGATTGCTCACCATCTTTCAACTTATCCTCTGTGGAGTAGAGTTGCTCCAGAGTTTACACCCAGTGACCTCACAAGGTTTGATTCACAGCTGTCTGGTTCCTGTTTCTGTCCTGGACATGCAGGAACATATCACAGGATTATTGCTGTAATAGTTGCAGCTCATTTATGTAACTTTTGTGTATGTATTTGCATTTTAGCCACACTGTTTGTTTGCCTTTTTTTTTCAGCAAATGTGCAAAATGTTATTTTTGCCCATATGAATTATCTCTTTCTTTGGATATGTTGTGCTTTTTTTTTTAAGTAAATGTACAGCTATTCTTCATTGGTTTCATTAATGAATGAAGAAAGGATGCAGATTCTGATGTAAATGTGTACTTTGGACAGTGTGTGACTGTCGGCGCTGATTGGGACGTGGGTGGGTGGGTTCTTGGGGGGTGGGGGTGCTGTAGCGGGTGGCCTTATGATGCAATGTTCTGGCGGCGATGTTATGAAACAGCATGAAGGCAGAGATTACTCAAACTAGGTTAGTGGAGCAGCCGAGCACAGAGCACCTACAGTCACAGATTCTTTTTCTGTTTCTCACACACACACACACACACACACACACATTCACCCATACAGAAACACACAGGCGCACACATTCCTTTGTTTTTTCCTCTCCAAGCCCTTTTCCTCTGCCTCTTCCTTGTTTTTCATACGTAATCGCTTATCTTTTTTTAATTTATATGCTTCCTTGTCTGCTTTATCTCAGCCAAAATGAACCATATCCTAACAGTTTGATGTTTTTATTCATACACGTTTAAATCCTTATTTTTTTCTGGCCTTTCCTGCACATTTTTTTGTTCTCAGCCGTTTGTGTCTGCTGTTTTTCCCCCTCTCTCTCTCTCTCTCCCCGTGCACATCTCCTCTAAAGCCCCTCTGTTCTATGTCTCCCTTGACAACGGCAGTGACACTTTGACCTTAGCTCTTATGTAACCGCTGTGCAACTCGGTTAGGCAGCAGTGGAAGGAGAGAGAGAGAGAGAGGGAGAGAGAGGTAGTGGGAGGAGGAGGTCTTCAGCATGGCTTCGTATATGGCAGACATTTTGTTGCCCGGTGATCAAGTAAGAGGTGAAAGAAAAGGCAAAGAAGAAGGAGAGCGCAGAGAAGCTGGAGGATTTTTTGGAAGACCGCCAGCAGCAGCATAACAGGATGAGGGAGCAGATGGGGGAGGCCGGCAGAAATGATACATAAATGGACAGGATATTTACATCATAGGATCTGTGACAACAAGCAGAGCTGTAGCACACAGACGGAGGTGAAATAACCCATGTCCACTTTGCTTTGACTCCTCTCAAGTATAGAAAAAGGTTGCCAAAGCAACACAGACACCTGATGGGTCTGTGGAGGCAGTGATGGACACAAATGATGTCTCTGCAGAGAAGCATTATGATATCTTCCCTGGTCACACCCCCTGGGATTATTTTAGGCTCTCTGAGTTATAATAGTTCTTTCTGAAGGGCAGCCCTGGAGGATAAGATTTAAGACCCATCAGCATCATCTAAGTATAGAACCAATCACCTACAGTATATCAGTTTTAAGTATAGTGCAATGATTTTCAGATTTTCCCATTCAACAATCCTTGCATGTCACTGACTCTTTGAATGTCAGACCAACAGGCATTTTGCTGTTGTGCAGAACGTCTTGTTGTTAGAGATGGCATACGGTTTCTCCTGACTCAGATCAAAGCCGGTGTAGCCTTGTGACTCCCCAGGGTTGAATTTAAAGGCCTCGCTCACATCAAAGAGTCTTTGTAGGGATGAGGGACCAACTGTAACTGATTGGCCGCACATGGTTTCAGTGGGGCCCCATGGCCAATCTCTCTGCTTTAGCAGCATCAGCTCCTTACATTCCAGTCCAGCTTCTCACATGGCATACTGTAAAACGTTTGCACACATTTCTATGTGAACATAGTGATTTAAAGCACATTCATCACAGATAACGTTCGCCACCTCATGTGCTTTCATTTCCTAAATTGTACTAATTTGTACATCATCATTTGTACATCACAAAGGCAGAAGCACGAACACACACGTACACATGTATTGGACTGTACCACTCAGTTTGCTGAGATTATTTCAGGCTCCTGCCATCCACAGAGCTGTAATCCCCAACTCCCTCTTCCCTCATTCACTTAATCTCCCTGTTTTCTCCTCTCTGGAGGCACCATTAATCCCTCTTGCCCCCCTCCCTGCAGCCATGGCTCTATAATCTGGAGCTGTGAGCTTTGCTGCGTCACTGGGTCAGTGTGTCAGATAGAGTACAAGCACTGCTCGTTCCTGTCACGATCTACTCATCCTCCTCCTCTCATCTCCACTTTACATCCACATCCTGTCTCCATATTCTCTACATCTCACTGCCCATCCTTTTTTTTTTTTTTTTTTTTATCTTTCCAGCTCCTGTTGCCTCTCTCCACTCTAGCACATCTGTTTCTTCTTCACTCTCAGTTTCGCCTTATCAGTTTAGTTTTTCATACACTCTACAACTCTTGAGTTTGATAATTCTGCAGAATAAATTATATATGCGTTCAGTCAAAGGTCATTAGGTACAGATTTATCTCAGTCAGCATATGCACTCCCTCAGATCACATGCCTTACAGGAAGAGCTCAAACATATATTCTTGTAGTGTCCTTGGCCTGGTTTACACTCCATTACACAGCTGAAAATGAGCTATTGTGAAGCTCTGGTGCAATTTATCACACATTTGAACATTCAACACGTGTTTTAGACCCCCTCACAGCCTGCGCTGAATGTGGAACATTTCAAGCAAAACTTGAATGTAGAAGATGGAGAAAGAGAGTGAAAACCTGACCACTGATTATACATGCAAATAATTTTCATTTCATCATTTCATCATGATGATCATTTTTCATGTAAGACCACTGCATGGTTATGAAATGAGAATTCTTTGGGCATAAAAAGCCCTTAACATATTACAAATAAATATTCTGACAAATTAAGAACAGTTTTGGTTGTTTTACACGAGAGATTTCTTTATTTCCTTTTCTCTTGTTGCTCTTCTCACTGGTTTGAAGTGCGCTGGACTCAGTGATAAGTGATGTCATGGACCTCCGTGCACCAATCAGGATTTAACAACATCAGTCAGGAACTAATGGCGGTGGGTGTGTTGTGGTGTTGTGGTGTGGTCACCATCAATTAAATGTGAAAGAAAAAAAAAAACACAAACACACCTATACAGACATAAACTCAGATTATCTGAGTTTTTGAGTGTTGAATTCTCCATAAATAATACCCAAAGCTTACCTATTTCTATTTTTAAAACATATTATTTATTAGCTTACTTAGCCATGAATGTTTAACGTTAAATAGAAATACTTGACATTTGAAAGCAAGTGTTCAGGGTCCTTAAAGTTTCACTCTAACTAGACAAAGCCAGACTAACTGCACAGCATCTGGCTGCATAAGAAACGTTTACAGACTGTATCACTTATTTGTAAAGTGTATTCAGCATATTTACACAGTAGAAGCTCAGCATTTTAGTATTAACACACCTGAACATTTAGTGTCTGTTCAAGGCCACTCAACAGTAAGTGCGGAACAGCAGCAGATTAGTTTTTCGCTATTTCCCCTGTACTGATCATAACATGAATCAAACTTACAACCCGCTAAACACAATCCCACTTCTCTAAACATCCACCACACATACTGTAGTGTGTCCACTAAACTGGACATATCCTTCCTACATGTTGCTAAATTCAGGCTGCAAGTCTTCATGGAAATGTTCCTCATGGCTGTTTGAGTATGTAAGAGACATGCTGACACACAAACACGCACAGAGTTACACCTCTGTTTAAATTTGTACAGTATGTTCAGTCTTGTCTTGACAAACACAATCAGCGGTGAGTCTCTCTCTGTGTCACTCACTGTCTCTCTTTCCTTTTCCCCCACCCTTCCACATTTCTCCTCCTTTGTTCCTCGCAAAGCAGGTTCAGCGTCCACACCCACAAACGCATGAATACAGGGAGGGCTCCGGTGTTGACACAGTCATAGTAGTGAGCCTTTAATTCAGGTAATAATAAAATTTCAGAACAAAAGACAGTCGTGATTGAAAGTATGAACCTGTCCATAATCATAAATGAGCGGGGCATTAAAATACATTTGCCTCTGCATGTAAAAAAACTGTGCAGGTTTTGTCTGTGTCAACATTAACACAGAAATCTGATGCAAATACAAATATATGCCATGCAAAGATGTGGTAAGAGTAAAAGGAGGTTGCTATGGCAACTGGGCTGTGTTTATCTCCGGTGTGAATCAACGTGCTTTGCCATGTGAACCTGACCCAGTTACACCCAAGGGAGCGTGAATGCACACACAATCACACACACTGGGATACATGTGCTACACACACACACACACACACACACACACACACACATGCAATCACACATGGACGCTGAGAACACTGTGATTGTTCTATTAACAGTAAATAAGGCCAGCGAACACGGCGAGGCGTAAAAAGTTATTCCAGTATCCTGCACATTTTCCTCTACAGTGACTATTCTCACTTCTGCCTTGCATGTCTTGCTTCCTCCATCTTTGGCCTGATGACTTATATTTGTTGTGTGCCATCCGCGGGGTGCTGCTGGACACCCTTACTCTCCTTATCTCACTCTTCTTTCATCCTCCCATTTTCTTTTATCCTCCCATATTCCCTCAGATCCTCCATTCTCTTTAATTTCCCCTGCAACACCAGAGCAAATTTTTCTTTTGTGTTCAATCCTCAAACTAACTCAAATGATCTAATAAGAGGAGAATGTATTGGCAGAATGATCCTATCCTAATCATCCATACATCAGCTGAAAATCACTTGCACATTTCTCTCTCGCTGTACAGCTCTAGTTTAATTTCTGAACATGTTAATCTCCTTTACCTCCCAGATTTTTGGCCTTACCAAAATAAACAATTTGCATTTGAGGATCAAGCATGGGTGAGACATGGTAATTCAGAATTCAGTTAGTCTGTAACCGCCTAGATGACTCATCGCAGCACAGCCCACAGAAACAGGGACATCCAGTGTTGGGATTGTAGTATAACATGCTGGGCTTATGTAATACTTGGAGTTTGCTCTTTAGTGTGCATATTTCCTGATTTTCTGTCTATATTGTCAAACGGGTACACAGACACATGACGTGTCACAAGTTAAGTATTTGACGGGGTTTGAAAACTGCAGATGAATGCAGTGACTGGTCTTTATCATCTGTGACACACACACACACATATATATACACACACACACACACATTATCAGCTCACTGGAGGAGTTTCTATAAAAGTGAGATGCCAAAGCAAATGAGCAAATGACACACTTTTGAATGGCTGCACCTGACTGCCCCTCCAAATGTGGAAGTGCCTGATCACAGATTGACAAACCCCGCAAACATTATGCAATGCCAACAGCATTATGTAATCCATCATCACAACAAGAAGCTGGACCAAATCATTGGAGCTCTGGCTGATTAGCGGCTCCATATGGTGCCACTGATTCATCTCATTTGACTGGCATTTACAAAAGTGCAAGTTGTCTTTGTTCGGCGGATGCGTGTTTGCTTTATGCTGATTTGGAGGATGTGTCACTGTCATTAATGGAGTGGAAGACTGCGCTGTGTTTTTTGGATTCAGGGGGTAATAAAGGGGAAAACAGGAGGCCTGTGCAGAAAGTCTGCATTGCGTCACAGCAGGGAGCAGAGGAAGAAGGGAGAGAAAGGAGACAGGAGGGGTGGGGTGGGGGGGGGAGCAGGGGCACAGCAAGGGGAGAGAGGGGTGTGTCTTCACTGACCTAGTTAGAGGGATGGAAACCCCCCCCACCCCCTCCTCCCTCATCCTCCAACCACCCCGCCTCACTACTGACGTGTAAAGGGCACTTTCAAACAGTACCAGACAGACAGGAATGAATGCAGGGAGGCAGGAAAAAGAGATAGCCAAGCGGTTAGAGAGACAGGCAGAGGGGGGTGGGGGGCAGACCAACAGACAGGCAGACGTGAGTCAAGAAAAATGAGATCGACGGAGACTAGCAGACAAATATATCCACAATGATATACCAGATCTGGGTAGATCTGGGAAATATCTCTGTGAAAACAGGATAAGCCTAAAGGGATTTAAAACAAATTAATGATAACAACAGACTGCATCCGAAATATTGAACCCCTTCATATCCTGTGCAATATTAGATTTATGCCTTTACTTTCAGAGAATAATATCTTTCAAGCATAAAGCAGCTTTTAATAAAATCAGAACATCTCTAAAAAAAAATGCAATAACTGCGAACATACAAGCTGTAATTACTAATAAACAGGATCTAATCCGATGCTTTTCAAGAGTGCTCGTTGTAGAAATCTTAATTGTGAAGGTCACTGCAGTGTAAAATGTCTTAGAATTAACATGTGAACGTACATTAATGCATTAATTACACGTCATTTACAAACCGCCGCACTCCCAGAACCAGGCAGCTATACTCCTAACCTGCAGTCTTTTGTCTAACAGGATGATTGTTTCCCCCTCTGGCTTCACATAGTCCACATTACAGTTCAGAGGCCACAGGCTAATGGAGAAAGCTGACTCTTTTGTCTTGAAAGGGCATGCCAAAACTTTCCTGAAACCAAACTGCATCAACTAAAAATAGGTTTAACTACATAAAGCAACAAGTTAAAGGGCAACTTCATACTCCAAACCTTTCTGCTCTGTCATCTGTTTTTGTTATGTATTCTCAACTGTTCCGTTTAGTCCGTCCAAAACATTTTCCAGCTCAGGTTTTCAGATTTCCATCCACTCTCTCTCTCTCTGTCTCTGTCTCTCTTTTTTTTCTTTAAAAACCCTCAGTTGTTCAGTCTAAGTGTCTTTCCGTCAATCCTTTCCTTCACTTGCTGGATGAACTTTCAGACCTGCATTTTGATCCTGAAGTCTTCATCTTCAGAGGACAGTGAGCCTGAAATCTTTCTCATCGTAGCACTTTGTTCACTTCGGCAACCCCTTGACCGAAAGTTTCTTTTGTCATTAGAGTCAACAGTAATTAACAAAATCCAGAGCTGGTTTTGGTTCTACAGCATGTGATGCTTTGTAATTTGACTCTTTTATTCCAGTTTGAACCATCATCAAGCTCTAAACCTGTAATGTGAATGTCCTCCCTCACCAAACCAGTCGTCCCTTTACTCTCAAAGCTATTCCTCTGTCTTCAACATTTAAGTCCAGTGACACAGAGACAACCATTGTACGCAATGTTGCCAGGAGCCAGAATCAGTAATACTTTTACATTTACTCGGCTACTCTTTTTTTTTTGCAACCATGACCTCACCTCCGCAAGTTGAAGGCCTGCATGCTAAACATTTGCTCATTATTGTCAGCACTTCAGTATAGTGTAGGACCAACACTGTATAAAAGATTATGATGCAGGCAGTGATACATCTGTGCAATCTTGTCAAAATCTGGTCACGGTTCAAGCGGTTCAAGTGTTTCATGATCATTTTTTGTTTTGCTTGTTTGTTTTCTTTATTCCGACAGTAATAGTCCTCTGCTTCTGACTCACTCAGATGTTGTCAATCACAAAACCCCATTAAATGAATACGACACAAATGAAACACTGCAATGGACCGATTCTGACATTGGCTTTCTGCTCAGTCAACATGCAGGGTTTGTGTCATGAAGCACTCAGAAGCTTAGTCACCCCAATGAATGCACACCCTCTGTCACAACAAGGGAACAAACAAGTGAATCAGACCCCAGAATACAAACAAGAGCATAGTTACTGTGAGCAAAGACAAAGCGAAACATAACAACAAAGGGAATACATGCACACACACAAAGAAACATCAGTCAAATGCACACAAACAGTGCCGCGCCAGGTCACCGTGTGGCTCCATTTCTAATTAAGTGCCCATTAAGCGAGATGTCATTGTGCAGCGTCTGGCTTGTGTATGTGGTGGCGGCCAGACCAGCCTGTGTCCAAGACCCCCCATCCCCACACACACACCCCCTCCCCAGTGCACACCCCACCGTCTGTCCAATTGGATAGAAACACTTTGATGAGGACATGTTGACAAAATAACTCACAAATGTGGAGCAGGTTGGCCAGAGCTGTATGAAGGCAGAGACGGGCCTGCAGATGTGTCTTGATGACTTCATGATCTGTTTCAATTATCTGTGTCTTATTGAATCCAGGAACTTATTTACAAAGGATCTTTCATAAACAGCGGTTTAATCCAGGGGCCTGTGGCTGCTCTCCTGTGAATGTCAGTTGCTGACAAGCTCATGAGAAATTAGAGTCTCTTTTTTTTTTCTTTTGCTCATCAGTTGATGTATGACAATGGAAAATATTGTGTGAGACAAACATTTTCCCAGTCACTGCTGACACACTGACACACATTTTCCATGCAAACCCTTTACCTTCATGTTGGTTTTTTGCTAAGATTTGATCCCCTCTTTTCAGCCAACAGAACTAAACACTGACCCATTTCTCTTTATGAGATGTCACAGAGTGGAGAGTTTGTGTTCACAATCATTCCTTTTGTACAACAAGACAAGATTTATTTTGTAATTTCCTTTTCCAGTCTGGTATTGTCGGTGCAGCTCTTGACTTTTGACTGCATTTTCACCTCACTTGAAATGTGACCTTGTTTTTCTTCCTCTTTCACTCTGTTGGTGGAAATGTTCACTTGGGTGAAAAATTATTTGATTCAAAAGTACAACCGTAGTAATTAAAAATGGCAAACAGGAAACGACATAGTGCAAAATGAAAAAAGCTACTTTTATCCATAATACTGGCTAAGCACTGCAAAGACAAAACTTCCGTTCACAACAATTTGCATCAGTATCATATTATCCACATATGTAGGCTACATTCATATAATAATTTCCATCATATGAATGTGGAAAATTGCTATGTTAACTGTTCCATTATCTTTTATTAGCTGGTACTTTACAGATACTATTGAGCCACTTAATTGGAACAGAAAGTTAGAATTTTAGCCACGGAAAGTGACAAAGCCACAGAAGAAAGGAAATGATGCAGCTGACACAGATCTCTGTATGTAAATGACAGACATGTTGTACAGCTGTCATTGTTCAGAAAGTTTTATGCACAGGAGTACATCTCATTTGGTAAGTTCTGGTTTTTATTGGTTACTTTTTGACTAGCAACATAAGTACTCTTCTGCCTTCCACTAATTTTTACTGTATACACATGTAGTATGTCATCAGGAACTCAGACTGTTGCGTTGTTACTTTTTCTGTTTTTTTTTTATGTCCGTCTTCTATCTGTGTTTTGTCATCCGGCTGTACAAAACCCCCCTTTGGAACATAAAGACAGAGATTGAAATACTTGCAATGTGTTGAAACGATGACTCAAAATGGGAGTCTTTAAAATTATTTACCGACAAGACAAGAAACAGAAACGAGTTTTCTTAGGAATTCATTCTGGTAAAAGGAAGTTATTAGTTCTTGCATAATGACTGTATAACACTACGACAGGTTCTGCTTTGAAATTATAATGCAGTTTTGCATGTAGTAATAAAATTATAGGACTACACTGAACTTTGAACATGTCATATAAAATGAAAAGGAGGACATTTTCAAATCAGTCTTTTTAAACAACATTCACAAGCCAAGTTCTTGGTTGTTGTAACCATTGATCCACGAGGAAATCACTGCCTAACAGCAATTTCAACTCCACCGTTTTCCTTGTGTGTAAAAATACATTCAGAACTTTAGTTTAAAGCTTGCATAAGGCCTCATCCGTCTAATTTAGTAAAATGAAGTGGGTATCTCCTGAAGTTACAGTTTATGTTAGAACCAAATTCTCTCCAGACACAGCATGCTGAGCTGCAGTGGCTGGGTTTGGTGATGTTACTCACACACCAAAATTGAATAACCAGCAGTAATGCCAGCAGTCAACTGACATTGTGGGGAATAAAAAAAATGCTGCATGTGTGTGTGGAGTAGTCTTTTAACAGGAGGAGTGATTACACCAAACAGAAACTGTTTCAATTCACACATGGGCATGTGAGTCCTGTTTTAACACAGAGAAATATGAACCTATCTTTTAGTAAAGTAAGATCCTCCAGCTTTATCATTTTATAACAATAAGATCTTTGTGTGTGGTTTTTATGCTCAGTTGTTTGGAGTTAAAACTCAATAACAATACATTTGTCTGAACTAACATTTTTCACTCACATGGCCACTTCTTACAGATAAATATGTGCGTCAACACCACCAACTCTACTTGCTATGTGGAAATCCTTCAAGGTGTGGCCTACAGTCCGTTGTTTCTTCTGGGTTTCCTTGTCAATGCTGCAGCTTTGCGTGCCTTCATTGCGAAACGAGATTCCTGGACAGACACCCACATCTACATGTTCAACCTGGCCATAGCTGATTCTGCCCTCATCCTCTTCCTTCCCTTTAGGATTTACGATGCCTTTTTCTGCCTGTCTAAGACTAAACTGTGTACTTTCCTCATTATTGTACATTTCATCAACATGTATGCCAGCATCATGACCACGACCGCCATCAGTGTCCAGCGCTACCTGGTTATAAGGTTCCCTCTGCAGACCAGAACCTGGAGGAAGAAGAAGAAGGCAGCTTTGGTTGTGTGTTTGGTTCTTTGGGGAGTTCTGGGGACAATAGGTGCTGTATTCCAATATGAGAACAACCCTAAAAGTCTCTGGACATGCTATGAAAGGTGTAAAGATGATCCACTTGGACTAGACACCATTGTGATTCTGGTTGTCCCAGGCTTCCTCATTCCACTGGTGATCATTGTGTTTTGCTCCAGTCAGATCATCTATATTCTGTCAAAAGTGGAAGGCCAATCAGAAGAAAAGAAAAGCATAGTTGGCATAGTAACGGCAAACATGATTGTGTTCATCGTCTGCTACACACCAATCCATATCGCCTTTCTTGTCAACCTTCCCAGTCCACCCTCAAACTGGCGTGAGAAATTCACACCAGCACATCTGTATTTACTGGTGTCTGAGTGGATTGCTGCTACAAACTGCTGCTTTGATTCAATCAGCTACTATTTCTTATTGAAAGGGTTTTATCAAGTTCAAAAATGAACCCTGATGAGGTCATCAAGGTAATCTCGGTTTGGGCTTGAAACTTTTTAATATAAATCTGAGTCACAAATCAGAGACGTGTTGTTCAAAAAAGAATTGAGTTGAATTATGGGAGTTGTAGTCCCCAGTGTTTTTGGAGGCTCATATATTCTATGGTCTAAAATTCAGGCTATCTTGATCACTGCTTTTCAATCTTTTTAATTTTCAATCATTCTTTTGTGAGATCCTTAATTTTATGGAAGCGCAACAGAAAAAGGTTGATTTATTGATTGCGATGACATTTTTGATCAATATTTTATGATTGATCCTTAGAAAATATAGGCTATTTGTAATGCTAATGAAAAAATGAACTATTTAACTGGATCCACATGACTGACTTACCTGTACTGTTGATTTGTGAATGAAGGTAATTATTTTTTAAAGTATTCTAAATCGTGTCAGTATTTACAGAATGTAAACATGTACACCCGGCTTGGCCTAGATCATCAAACTGCCTTTTAAACTCCTCAGCTGCTTTAGGGACATGCATGAGTATATGTGTCTGTGTGTTTGGGCTATAAATACCTGTTATCTAACTCACTCAGCCTTTTACTGACCTTATTGCTCTCTGTGTTATGTTGTGTTATGTCGAAGCAGAAAACAAGGGGTATTCTCATGTCCAGATTTCTCGACAAAACAACAGTCTGTGTGCACAGACAGACAATGTCCAGTCAATGTACAGGCACCCATGGGAGCTCCTGCTTTTCATTCCCTCACTGAGGCCAGATGAATGAAGGCCAGTGTCCAGCTCCCTCTTGTGGCGGGAAAAGTAAATGCTTGAAAGATTTTCCGCTTCCTCTCCGCTCTGCAGCTGCCTGTTATGATGCTTCAACCTGCCAATCTGATGAAAAATATTTTTCATTGAAAGAAAATAAACTGCAGTAATGATATACACATCACTCCAGACTGCTGTGAGGCAGCAGAGTTGCATTTGTAAATGTGTGTGTATGCGTGGGCATGTGCATAATGATATGCATTTATTTCAATGAGTGCATTCAGAACCACACGCGACAACATTAGCAGTCAATTGTATAATGCCATTTAATAGCAGTACTCCAAAGATTGATGGTTATTATAACAGCAGTATCTTAGCAACTGCAAAAACTCAGCAGGCATCAGTCAAATGAGACGGCTCACTTCTGGCTGAGATGAGGCCTGCGACTCTATTCTAATAACAGGAAGGAAATAGCTGAACTCAGCAGTCAGCCAAAGTCACGTAAATACTGTACATACATCTTATTCACAGCATCGTCACCGAAAGAAAAAAAAAAACCACACTTTAAACACGGTCCTGTCTTAGAAGAGCTTGAATGAGACCCCCCTCCCAAAACCAAACTGATACACTATACCATCAGCATGATTATTTACACTATTCACAAATGATACAGGACAGCTCCTTTTCAGAATGCAAAAATGTGCTTTTCCTTATTACTGCACAGTAGAATGACAATAAACAAACCAACAAACAAAAAAAGAATGAGTACATTCATTCACTCAGGATGCTGACAAGTATTTTCAAGATCCCCCAGCATGGCAGTTGTTTGGCAACGACAGAGAGAGAGTCACTAGACTACAGACAAAGACAGAAATGAGAAACACAGTGTTCCCTCACAGCATTTCAGTCCATTTGAAGGTTTGCTTATAAACTACTTAAGAGACATTATTATTACATATCAGCTAGTCAGGAATAAACACAGTTCATGTCATTGTTTAAGTGAATACATTACAGTATAATCATAAAGGGCATGACAAAGTGTCTGTATTTATTCTTACATATTTACAGTATATAAGTTTGGCATCGTGTGCCAAAGTAGTTTATAAACAGACCCTCAAACACTGTTGGTAGCGTTCAGCATCAGCAGCACCTGAAAGAGGGAGCTGAAGAAATGATTTCAACAGTACAAGCCGACATCGAAATGAAAAAACAAAAACATTCAGCATGTAAGTCAAAGGCATACATATCACAAGTATACTGCAATAATTGAGTTCTCCGACACCACAGTACAGGAAACAGGTGCACTGCTGACTGACATGGTTTTCTTCATGGCACTTTAAAACAAGTCTCTCTCAGTTTTTTTGCTTCAGTAATCAGGCATCAGTAAATCATTCATAAGTTAAAAAAAAAAAAATCAGACACTGGTAATAATCATTGTCTGCGATTTCAATCTCGGAGCAGGTTGATATGAAACTTACATGAAAAACAGATTTTCATACATTACATCGTTATAATGACATGGCAAATGTTTATTTTTGTTTGCAAGCTAATGTCTGATATCATTTTTTTGGAGTTACTGTTTGTCTTACATTATCATTTTAACTAAATTAAAGTTTACTATGTACAGATAGACCATATATTGCTGCTCACTACAAGGTCAGCACAAACCAGCGTTCGCTCTGACTGGGACTGAGAGTGACAGCTACAACAAACCACATTCTCATTATGGTCTATAGTTGCTGTTGTTGTTGTTGTTGCACCTCATTATTTCATCTACTTGCCTTTTTGTTTCTGCTTTTGTCTTCTTCATCTTGTCTCTTTTTTATGACTTCCATCTCCTCACTAACACACTCAAGCCATGTTGTGTTGATCTAAACGCCGACCACTCCCTGGAACTGGACACTTCAAGGGGCTGAATATGTAGTCCCATTTACCTGTTGGGGACATTTCCATTACCTCTATTGGCTCGGCGTTAAGCCAGAGGTTTCCATCATCACCACTGTAACTGTCACTTTATTCTGTATCACGTCTGTGGGACCTTGACCCACTGTGGGCTTAAGGGGAAATATTGCCCAATAAAACCGGACTGTGTTCTACAATGCAGCATTAATGAGTGTGTGTATATGTGTGGAAAAACCTTAAGGTGACAGTGAAGGACAAGGTGTTCATACGTTGCGGTGCATTTACTGAAAACACCTCTCTCCTTCTTCCTTTCTGTGTGTCTGTCCTGCTCTTACTTTTCTGTCAGTCTAGTGTTGCTGCTCCCGACGTCCTCGTAGAAGTATTAGTCCTTTAAGAGTACATGGAGTGCAGGGAGGAGAACAAATTGAGCGATGGACGGCTGAGATGCCGTCATTACAGAGAACATGCGGTTGGCAGAAATAGTGCTGACATTTCGGTCCTGCACTCTGCTCTCCGAGGACGTGAGTTATTGTCCCACATCCCTTTGAGAAAGGATAGAGGCATTTGGCACACACGTCTTCCCTCTGGAATACTAAATACTCACCTGTACAAATACGTGTATGTATCTGCTGTATGTGTGCAGCAAGGAGAAAAAGAGAGAAGAAGAAACAGACAGAGGGAATTGGTATCGCCTCATCATCTGTTAGATTTGCATTTACAGTCAAAATGACCTTAGTTTTCGTCTGATGAGTCGCCTAGAGCCTCAGGTATTCAGGAAGGCATCCATTTACAATGATCAAAATGTACAATTTCACTCCAAGTATCTGGTTGGCAGTCAGACCAACAGGTACTATAGTGGATAACAGATGGGTGGCAGTCTTGTTAATGTTATCCAGGAGGGGAAACGCATCCCACTCCTGTAGCAGAACTTGACTGGCCCTGCAGCCTCAGTTAATCTGCAAAGAGAAGGCAGCTCCTAAGTGCCATGTCCATCTTTGACCACATCCTCTCTTGCCCCCCATTCTGCTTTCTATCTTTCCTCTCCATCCTCTCTCCTCACTCCTCCTGCTGCTGCCGAGTAGCAGGAGAGAGAGAGGCAACTCTGCAATGCAGACACAGCAACAACCTCAGTCCATCTGACCAATTAGTGTGAGCCAGGATATGAGTGGCAGACCCAGCAGCCAGTCATAAGAAGAGACTCATCATGGGGTGAAATGGTAGGGTGGGGGTGCCTGAGAGACTGACAGAGGAGATCAGAGGGGCTGAATGACAAAGAATGGAAGATAGAGGGAAGGGAGAGAGGGATAGACAGAATGAGGAGGAAAGAAAGATCTATGTAAATAAAACAGAGAGCTCCGGACATGGAAATGCTCCCGTCCCCTTCATTTCCTCAACAGTCACTGGCCGGCCTGAGTCCTATCACTGCAGTTCTTCTTACTCATCAGTTGGCTGAGATCCACCAGCTCGCCCAGCTCCCCTCGCTCCAGGGCCCCTCTCAGCAGAGCCCTGCTCAGCCCTGGGGTATGTTGCTGGGACACATACGCCTGGCTACTGGGAGCGGGCATGGAGGGGGGAGGCAGGGGGACGGGGACCATGCCATGGCTGCTGAGGATGTATCCTTCCGGGGCTGGCCAGCGCAATGGCAGCGGTTCACCATACTCCATGGGGGCGCTGGGTGCTGAGACCACCCTCCGACGCTCAGGCGAGTCCTGGGGGGTCATGGGGTATACATATTCTCCTGCAGACTTCCTGAACGGGGCTTTGGGCGTCCCTTTCCCTCCTTTTTCTTGTTTGCTCAGGCAGACATAGTGCTGGCGCGGCGTGTCATTCCCTCTGCCCTCACCACCGTGTCTCCCACCTCCCCCCTGCTGGAACAGTCGGGTGGTCAGGTAAACGGAGGGGGGCATGCGGCAGGGTGAACCTAGACCCACAGAGCCTCCCCCCAGGTACGTCTGGCTGGTGTCCCACCCTCCAGAGTTGGAGTCAGACAGTCGCAGGCCTCTGCGTTTCTGCTGGGGCGTGTGCTCTGGGGTGGGGAGGAAACCGGGGTCAAGCTCTCCTGACTTCACCCAGCCATTGGGCATGACAAAGAGGGTTTCCCCGCCTTGAGAGCAGGGGCGCTCCCCACCTCCCTGCCGTGTTACACTCAGCACAGAGCCTCCCATCCCACCGCCGTTACTAAGCAAGCCTCTTTCACGTCGCTGGATTGAGGACTGGGAGGTGTTGCCGTGGCGACGATTGGCAGGCTTGTGGGCCATGATCCAGCACACTGCCAGGCCAGAGAGCGCCGCCCCGATGGTGAACGCAGAGACTGCCGACGCCACAAGCAAGTTGAGGGAAACGAGGCTCTCTGGTTCAATCAGTAAACTTTGCTGCAGAATTCCTGAAGATTAAGAGACACAATTATGAAGATGACATTTAATAGAACAGTACAACGGACACCCTCTCTCAATGTCTGTCCGCAGGGTGCAGTTTAAAATTGCTATTATTATTACATATAGGGCTATTCTGCTGCTTCTACTTAGTGCTGTTCCCCTCACAAGATATTATGTATTATAATAAATCAATAACTACAATAACACTCATAACTGGTGATCATCATGTTCAGCATTATACGATTATTTTCTGCGGTGATTATGTTTAAAAGGAGCTTCTCTCCAGTCTGGCCTTGAGGCTCCACAGGCTCCAGGTTCAGTGAGGCCTGCACTTGTCATCAGCGCAGCTCAGACCACAGCAGCTGACTCTCCTCTCCTCACAGTTTCCATCCTGCAGCCTGGTCAGAGAGTCTCTCCTCGCAGCATACCATTACCTCAGTGTTTCCACCCAGCTCTAATCACTCCCATCTGCAGACACAGCAGCACATGCCTTTCTCTGGCTCGGCCTCTCCTGCGCTTTCACCGCTCGGATTAGAGCCTGTCAGGTCGGCAGCCTGGCATCCCTGACTTCTACTGTTATCGGTTTCTGAGAGTGGGGTGAAAACTAGAAGCCCATATATCAGTTTGAAACAAATGTGTGCGATGAAGGCTTGGAATGTGCTACATTCTCTTTTTTTTGAGGTCTTTTTGGAAATTCAGATCCAGCTAAATGGATTTTATGACTTTGAAACTGGGCTCAAACAGATGGAACAGTTCAGAAAGAATCTGCTGGAAAGGACTTTTTTGTTTTGGTTTCCACTGACTTTGTGAATTTCAGAGTGAGGTTCAAAGAGGCCCTCTGTGGCACTGCTGCAGTGACATCTGAGCTTCTTGACAGAAAAGTTACATCAGTATTTTCTTCTTGCTTGATGCTACCCTTGGTCATTCCCCTCTCAGATGTTCAGCTTTGAAATAACACAGCCTTGGATGCAGGAGGATGTTGCATTTCCCACCCTGCAGTTTTGTATTGTCTACCAGTAGTTACACCTCTTTCACATGCTCCCTAATTAAACTGTCTCACACTGGGAGTGTTTTGACCTGAAGGAAGTGAGGCTGAAACCAAAATCCCAGTCCTACTCCCACCTGATTCAGCGCTGACAATGACACCAAAACACTCCATGATGCAAACATCAAGGCTAAATGGATCTTCATGAGCTGGGGGGGGGGGCACATTATACTTCAGATAATTAAAGTGTGCTAAATTACAGAATTTGTCACAAATATTCTCCCACTTGGTAGTATGAGAGGTTTTTTTTCTCAGGACACAGTGTTCAGTGACAAGAAGCCAGGTGCAATGAGGGATTGAGCCACTAGGCGGAGCCTCCCCTAACTCCACCGTACACAACCAGAAGCATCCATGTCATAGTGCTGCAACCTACCGTCACAGTCTCCTAGATGGGAGGTGGTGTTTCCATATTCCACGTCTTGTTGAAAAGGCAGCCTGCAGCCACAAAATCACCAGTTAACACATTAGAGACTTCACTATGTCTCTTCATATACAAACAGTAGGAAACATATCAATACAGTGCTCTTGTGTATACACTTAAAATTACTCTTCAATATAAAAAATAGATTTCTTTATGAGAACATGTCGTCTGTTGCATAAAAACATGAACGGGGACATTTGTTGGTTGTAATCGATTAAATTGATATGGCACATATTGATGTGTCATCCAGTGTAATGGGATACACTATTGATCCCATGATTGATTTTCTCCTTTTGCCTGATTGCTGGTCAGAGGTCAGGGTCAGTTGTACAGGTGGTGATGTGAGCTGGAAGTAGGAATTGCAACGCTAAATGTTCAATGTTAATATTTGCATTTGATACAAATGCCGGACACAGAAAGGACTTAACAGGCTTATTAAGCTTATAAAATAAAAAATAATACAATTAAAATATTTTTTCTACTCTACAGAATACATTAAGACCACTATTAAACAGCATCACTTAAACGCCCTAATTGAAATTAACATGAAATAAAGCACTGTGACAGAAGAAAGTGCTGTGGGTTCAGTGGTTTCTTCATGGTTCGTAGTTCATTAGCACAAAAATGAACTGTGCAGATTGACCTTATATTGCATATTAGCTGTGTGGGACATTAATAAGTAGAAATATAAACCGTTTAACTGATTCATATTGTTTAATAGGTATGGACACTGTATGAGTAGTGGATTAAGTGTACTGCACTAAAAAGTCTATGTCATAATACTAGAGAGTATCAGAGTTAACTAATCTTTTTTGTCAATAATGACATCTTTTAAGAATCAATTGAATGTTTACCAGAGTTTGCTTCAGTTACTGCGTCACAAGTTTCCACGTACTATATTTGTTTTCTTGTAACTATGTCCATAGACTTCCTTGGGGGGTCTTTGTGGAATAAGTCTTACATTCCCCTTATTTAATGTGATAAAGTGAAGTAGTAATAACACATAAGCTTAGACATTTCCATGTGCAACACACAGGAATGCTACAACTTTGCCAATAAAACAGAGGTAGAAAGCTCTTCACAGGTATTTGTGTGTGCATGTGTGTTGTTGTTGTTGTTGTTGTTGTTGTTGTTGTTGTTGTTGTTGTCACCTTGTGCCTGGTCTCAGGAAGGAGCAGGTGCTGCCTCTGGTCCAGCCACAGTAAGGATCCCTGGAGGCTAGACAGCTCCTGCACGCGCGCGCACACACACACACACACACACACACACACATACATCAATGACAACGGCATCATAGCCCTAAAGTATGAAATACTGTTTGTTCCTCATCAGATTTGGACTCATGAGATTTATTAGTCATATGCTCTGTAACATGTGGAGAAGCTGTGAACTGATTAATCCTCACCTGGTTGCTACTTGTTCATAGTTTCCTGTATCCTGCAGTGTGATATATAGCAGCTCATAATCAGGTTCACAGTGCTGTTTTCTACTTAGAACATCTTCCCCGTGTGTGCATTAATATACAAATGCCTTCTTGGTATTCATAATGAATCTTAATCTTGAAGCCTCTTGCGTCAAGTTAAATAATATTTCAGAGAAAAACAAATTCTCCCAAATGAAATATTAAACCAAGCAAGCTAGCTGTGATTCGACAAGCACACATGCCATCCATCTCCAACTGACTGAAACAAAAACAGAACTGTAGATTTTATTGGGACGACTACAGAGGCAGGGAGTCAGGAAGCAGAGACAACACAAAAGTTGACCAGTAAGCACTGCCTTGGCTAATGGCCACTGCTAGATTTGAACTGACTTAATTATCAGCTGATGACACCATTGAGGGAACGGAAAATACTCCCAAAGACGAAAAGAGTCACTCACTTCATGCAGCGGGAGTGCAGGTGGCAGCGAGATGTGGGCACTCGGACCAGACAGGAGGAGAAGGCCAGCAGCAGGGTGTGACTGGTCCGGTCCAGCGACAGAGACAAGAGCTGACGGGCCTGAGGGGAGTCCTCACCACACCTGGAGACAGGGAGACAGAGTGGTGTGAGGACAGGAGACAGAGGGTAAAGAGGCAGCAGAGGGAGGTCAGTGTACTCTTTTTGGCCTCAAATAAATCTGTGACAGGGTCAAAGGCCTCATCTGTTGGTGCTCCCAGACAGACAGCCCTGTGCCCTAACCCTCACACAGCAGTCACAACATCAGCAGACTGGAGTTCTACACAGTCCTTCACAGAGTCTGCACAGAGCGCGTGCAGAGCTGTGTGCTGGAAAGAGATAAACACTCCTCTGAGTTAGCTGCCAGGGGATGAGGCCTCTGTCCATAATTGTCTGCTACCATTTTTTGATTGTCAAGACAATAATTAAATCCAAGTTGCAAAGGTTCAAAAGGTAATCAGCTGATTAATTGATAATGAAATGAATTGTTAGATGCAACCTTAAAATCGATCTCTTTAATTATATATGTGAATATACCTGTTAGAGATATGTTCAGAAAGTAACTGAAGAGGCTTTAAGAGGCTGTAAGCTGCATGGCAAAAATGTGAAAAATCAATTATTTAAACTCGTAATCGTAATCATAAAAGTATAATTGAAGACAGTTGGTGTGAAAAGCACTCCTGTTCTCCAGTTATCAACTTGAGGCGGGCAACATGAGACCTGATCTACCTGAAGCAATACACCGAAATGTATAATTCAGAATTTGGAAATCAAGGGCAAAGATCTCTTGGCTCCTACTCACTTCTCCGGGTTAAATCCCTCCACCTCCTCCAGAAACACACTGCTGTGGGAGACAGAGTCTCCATTGGGAACCATTAGGAATTTGAGGATGGTTCCTCTGGTTGAGCCCAGGAACAAGACCGTGCGGTTCCTATGGGGACCAGCTTCTGTGTCTACCACCATGGCTGTCAGCTGGTACCTAGATGTATAGATCAATAGAGTAGGTCAATAATGTACATTTCCTATCCTTCTGTATGTTATGATTCATTTGTCTGCTTCCCATTTTCATGCCATAAAAAAAGCGCTGCATGGGTGCTATTAAGTAACTGAGTCATTCCGCATACCGTCCCATAGTCTTGACCACCCAGGGTCTATGCCCCAGCAGTGGAACGGTCTCGTCCATCAGAGGGTGGGTCTTCACAAAGTTCAGCACCTCGTCTGGCAGCGTGGTAGAGGAGCTAAATCTGGATCCCTGCACCGCACATCCCCCTGGTCTGAAGAAACAAAAAGGAAGCGAGGGTTGAAGAATATATAAAGAGATGAGAGAGATAGAAGTCCAGAGAGAGCAAGAAGAAAAGAGCCAGGAGTTCTTTTTTTTTTTTTTTTTTGGCTGCTGGAGGCTGTATTAGAATATTTGCTGAATAGTAGTGAAGTTACAGTGTGATTGGCAGTTGGAGCTTATAGCAGGCGAGTAAGTAGACTATATGTGAGACAGATGCTCAGGACAGCAGCACTGCAGTATTCTACTGAAGTTCTGCACTTTGCATTGCAATACCTCGGTTTAGGCACCGCCTCGTCTGGTACAGGAGTCCAGATAGACTCTGGGGATTTCTGCTCTTTAAATCGCCCCTCAAAGACATGAGCGAGCTGCTGCATATCAAACACACACACCGCAGACCCAGGGATGCTACCGGAGACAAAAGAAAGAAGACAGCGATGAGACATAATAATGTTTTTGCTTGTTTGTGTTGATGTTGTGTGAGTCTGTGTACCTGTTGGGAGGCGTCGAGAAGAGACCGAGGATGACATCTCGTCCCTGCATGTGGATAATGCCACTTGTGGCGTGTAAGAGGTTGAAGTAGAAGTGCGAGTCTCCTGGGACGGAGCAGTTGAGCCGTGCCTTTAGAAACGTGGTCCACTGTTTTTCGAGGACACGCTGAGAGCCACCGAGATCAGCCTTACACACACGAGCCACACGGGACACCATCACCTAGAATAAAACGAGCAAGGTTTAGTAAAATAGGAATAATAATAATATAAAAGAAGAAAGGGAAGTAACAGAGGAGAGAGGACCTTCTCTAGGTGATGAAACTCCATGGCCATCTCTCTGAAGAAGAAATAAATATGAGGCCCCCACTCCATGGCACTCACAAAATAAGGCTCTGAAAAATAACACCAGAAAAACACTTAAACAAACCCACACTCTCACACTACACAGCAATAGTGATGCAGTGCCTGAGGCCAAACGTAACACTTCACACTCCCTGACATGGCGCTGTAATAACAGTCATATCAACATGGACCATTGCTGTCCACCAGCCTCGCTCATTAAATATTAATGTCCTGTTTAATTTATTATCATGGACAAGAGGATACACATTATTTATCATTTATTCATCCAGCTCTGTTCCAGCTTTGACCTGCACCAGCTTGTTCTCTCCTCCAAGGAAAACAGGCTCGTTCAATCGAAGGCTTGCTCAAACCCTGAATCTGTAGAGTCTGACTAACCTCAATACATCACTCTGTCTGAGCGTGCTCCACTTATTATAAATCTCTGAAATGTAGGCCTAATCCTGTCTGGTTGTGCTGAATGTAGCTTATTATTTGAAAAAAAAAAATCATCTTATTCTCCCGTGAGCCACTTGTGAAAGGAGCCACAGTGGTTCCATTTTCTTTTAGTTAACTACTGTAGATAATGGTGATGGTTTCTGTTATTTGCTTCCTGGTTGTCTACTGAAGGTGTCTGTCTCCACGGGGTCATTTTTAATGTGTCTGCTTCTGAAAGTACCTCTAAACCATTTGGAATCGTGTTTGACTGTGCGGAGGGCGGGGCTGTCGCCGAGGCTTCGATAGATCACTGCATCGATGGCTAGGAAGTCTGTCACAGTACCGGTAAAGAGACTTCCATCTGAGAGCAAGAGAGATGCACAGAGAGAGAGAGAGAGAGAGAGAGAGAGAGAGAGAGAGGAAAGGAGGAGATTAGGAAGAAGAAAATACAGATGACGAGACAGCACAAGGTCAGGAAGATTAAAACCAAACAAGCAATGCGGCGAGAGGTCTGATGATAAATCATTTGTAAAGGTAAACACAAGTGCACAGACGTTTCAATGTCTGGAGCTGAAAAAACTGAGTGTGATGTCTGCTAGAAAAGACTGAATTCCTCGGCTTTAGCGTGCAAACTGAAGACGCTACCTGCAAATAAAGCCACATTGGCATGTCGTGGATCATATGGGCACCGTGCCATCCCACTGACAGGCTCTCCCACCATTTCTAGAGTGTCTCTCTGCAAGGGGACAAAAAAAAAAAAAAAAAAAAAATTTATAGAAAAACAAACTGGCAGATACACAGAGAATGAACAGCTGGCAGATAGATGGATACTAACAGTGTAGTTGGCACACAGTGGGTTGAAGGCGTTTGTTCCACATACAAACAGGCCACCATGCTGGCTGAGCAGAACCTTGATGAAATTACGACACTCTCCCTGTAGAAGAAAAAAAAAACAAAAAACAAAACACAAAGAGAAACTGTTAAAGGAGAGGAGAAAATCAAAAGGTAAAGGGCAAAGTTTTCTGAACCAAAGCTAAGCTAAAAACTACCAGTCAGAGCAAGAAGATTGCCAGTGTGAAGTATAAGGAATGCAGATTAAAACAATCCTTAGAGGCAATAACAGCATCAACCACAGTCCATCTGGAGGAACAATAGGACAGGGACTTTATAGCAGTTCTCAAAGTGGAGGCTGCTGATTGAACTCAAGTTTAAAGCTCCTTCCAGTGAATCTGAAACTTGATGACATTGGTATTCCTTTAGTCCCCCTGTGATAGCGTTTTACAACACTACTAGACGAAGTTAGAACCAATAAAACACACCTGTGTAGGTAGATGAGCTCCAGATTTCAGAGCATCATTCAGTGCTATTAGCTGTGCTAATCGCTATTTTAGCAATTACTGTAAACAGTAGAGTAGTTTGTACATCATTTTATTGTTTGCCAAAACGCTAACAAACAATCACCTGTAGCACTAATAGTATTCCAGTGTGCAGAGGATAACCAGTTGCCATTATTTCTGGCCATATTTTTAGTTTAATTGAGACTTAAAAAGCAGGACTGGTCTAATATCTGCAGTGTCAAATGATTCAGTGTCCTTCACCACAGGCTTTATGATTTGATCTCTTCATCTGAGTCAGAGCTAATACTGTTCACCTTTCTGTCTTTTGTCCTCTCCTGTCTTGGATCCTTTTTTTTTATCACAGCTTTCAATCCTTTCCCTTTTCCACAATCTTTTCTTCTTTCCTCTAGTGGTTTTTTTTTCTTTTTTTGCAGTAACATCTTTTCCTTTTGTTGTCCTTCTGAGTCTTCCTTACTACCTGGTGGATGTCTTATCCTCCTTATGTGTTTCTTCCCCAGTTTTTTGTCCACCCACACACACACACACACACACACACACACACACACACACACATCACACATCACACATCACATCCCTACCTTTACCTCCCTTCCTCAACTGATTTCAATTACTGTTTCCTCCCTGAGGCTGTGTCACTCTCTCTGCTCAGTTTGCTCTATAATGTTTCCTGTTGCCTCTTTTTCTTTTTCCACCCTTTTTCTGCCCAAATTGGATTTTGCCAGTGGCGCTGCTACATTTATACAATGAAGCTTATATTTTAGGTTACTCCCTGTCAGCCAGGCTACCATCCCATCAGATCATTCTCCTTTGCAGATTTGACCACATTCCCTTCATATCTCACTGTCAACCATCTCTTTGCACACAAACATAATTGTCATCTTGCCCACAGGATATGAATGAGATATGTGAAGAAAACTGGCACATTGCAGGTGTGCAAGAAAATGGCTTTTCAAGCTTCATGGACAGGCTTTCGGCCTGGGTAACGTTTCACTGAGTTACCATGATTACGAGATGAACTGATTCTGTATCAACAAGATCAAATTTGTGTAAATACCGTATGCAGATGCACCCAAAGGAAATAAGGTTTCTATAACAGCTGTTGTGTCTGTCCATGCATGTGATAGTTTAGATAGTGTTGATGCATGTATGAGTGGATCTCAAAGTCAGAGTGTTGTGGTTTACGAGCACTATACCTCGTGTTTGCCCTTCATCCGGCACACTCGAATGTCGTTCTTATTGGATTCCCATGTCCGTTTCTGCCACAGGAATGAACCAGAGTCAGAATATGTTTGCTATGTGTGCACACTTACGCTGTCAATTATTAGTGCATGTTTGGGTTTTGTGTGTGCGCAAGAGTCTCACCTTGCTGTAGAACATCTCATCACCTGCCATGTTATCCAGCTCCACTCTGTACAAATCATCTCTGCCGAGCATGAAAACACACAACAAATCAGTCCCAATAATTTATTAATAGATGAATAGGATAGGATATTTTATATATAATATAAAGGATGGATAAGGTGTCAATACTTGGCCAAATTTTCCTTCCTTGTTCAAAGGGGTTTTCATATTTTTTCTTTGTTTATTTCTTTCAACTTATTTCTGAATAACACTGATTTATAAACTCTTTGTTGTGATGGCTAACAGAGAAGAGGTTTATTTTGAAACAGAATAGAAGTACTGCTGTTGTGGCTGCTGTTGCCTTAATTGTATTTATTTATTTATTTTATCAGCGTGCCATTACTGTTAGAACGCCACCTGTTTGTGTTTTTTGTGACACATATCTGTTCAGAACAAACAGGCTTAAAGCTACGACATTAAAACACTGTCTGTGGCACTGTGTCTGAATTGTGAAATGTTTTTCATATGAGGTGGATCATATTATTTATTTGTTTATATAATTTTTGTTTATTAGGCTTCATTTAAGCACGAGGCACTGTAGTCGAGGTTTTAATGTCTCTCTCCTTATGTGGAGGCAGTAATATTGGACGTTAGGAGGTCATATTTATTGAGATCTGAATGGGTGTTTTAGTTACATCATTATGTAAAGGAGATTTAAAAGTTTTGATGTAAACTATGAAAGTGAAAACTTTCAAAACAGATTTGGCCCAGGAACTGCTGTTTGTTTACCACTGGTATGAGGCTATTCTATTCTATCTGTTGCCATGTATCATGTGTAAGAGTAATGTGAACAAACAGCTTTCACTTGACATTTAACAAACAAGATTTAACACAACCTCAGCAGAACAAACTGAAAATGTACTCTGCAGAGTGACAGCAGATGGAAGCCGTGGCATCAAATGAAAGCAAAAAGGATATTAATGCGAACACGTCAGTAACACACAGTTGGAGGCGGTTGCCGTTGGTTACCTGGCTCCAATGTAGAGCGTGCGGTTGACTTGCAGGACCGTCTGGATGTGCAGCTCCTGTCTCTGAGCTGAACGATGAGCTCTGCCCAGGAACACCGGATACCTCCTCACCACTGACATCAACACACAGACAGGCAGAGAGAATGAACTGCTTTCTAAAACATCCAGAAATTAGGTGTCTTGCTCAAGGATACTTTGACAGCTGAGGACAGAGAGAGCACAGGACATAAAACAGCCACAGTAACCTTCCCTTTAATGGTGTCTTCACTCATTCTTGATGCTTTTGTTTAGGAAAACAAAGATAATGGGCAAAGACGAATGGTGTAGCAGTTACAGCAGACTTTCACTCTCTTAGTGATTTTGCTGCTGCTGATGCATGCAGCTCCATAATGAGAAAAACTGTATGCAATTACTATTGTTATTATTTTGTTGCGAAAAAGGGCATTTCCTCCCTCTCCTCTCTACCTTTCAGATAAATGAGAGAGTACAGATGAGGTGGGGGGAGAAAGTGGCAATATTAGACTATGATAAAGTTTTGAAGAGGAGGACAACAGTCTCCACAGGGAGCCCTCATCATCAGGAGACAGATTGGGAAAACGTCTCATTGTCCTTGACTGCAGGGGAGGGAGAGAGGACATAGCGATCCATCTCCACCTGTCTCCTCCCCTTCTCTCTTCCACTCCTCAGCCTTCCCACTCGTCTTTTGTATTGCCCCATCCAAACTGTCTCTCCCTTTTTAATCTTCCTGCACCTCTCAAAATCTATATCAATCTTTCTTTCTTTCTTTATATCTTTCTCTCTTGTATTTATTAATCTACTATACTGCAATAAAAAGATGGAGTAAAGTCTCTAAGGCAGTGAGCCATGCTGCTAGCATGGCTAAAAAACCCACAAAACAGCTGCACACCAAGGCTCTGACCCTTAACCCCCTGATTTCCACACCTACTGTTGACCCATTCATCAGTGCTGCGCACATACACTCATGCACACTCATGCACACACACACGCACACACAGTGGGAAGGACACATACCCTCTACAGGGACGTAGCTGAGTGGACTGGGCTCCTCTGGGAATGAGCCATCAGCCAGTTGAAGCAGCAGTAGAAGAAATGTGAGGGGAGGAGCCATGGTCGCCATGGCAGCAGCACACATGCACTGTTAACAAAGAGATGGGAGAGAGAAATGTCATTGTTGCGCACTGTATATGTCATGTGAGTGTGTGTTTTGACATGTGAGAGTGTGTTTTGACATTTTGATAGATTTCTCAGCAGAGAGGAATTCCAACAGGTGTGTTTGTGTGTGTGTGTCTGTGTGTGTGTGTGTGTGTGTGTGTGTGTGTGTGTGAGGACAGGGCCAGCGGTGCAGCAGGGTGACTGCTTCCACCAACCTGGCTTCAGCAGGGAGCTAATGTGTTTCTATTGTCTGCTTTAGTGGTGTAATGTGGGTCTATTGTCAGAAATGTCACTCCATTGTCAAACGGTATGAATTGGAGGGGAATCTCACAGCCATATAACAAAACAAGAGACGACACATTTACAGGATTACAAAGCCACTTTGGGTGGTAATGTGTCTTTCAGTAGTTGTGTGTACACATGGACATATGGAGGCTATATTACTGGTAATTAGACACAAAAGAGGAAGGAGCTGGTCTTAGATCAGAGAGTGAGAGTATAAAAAGGAGAGATGAAGCGAATGACTCGGGTAAGCTGGACAAAGTCTGTGTAAAGGTCAAAAGTCAAGAATGCCCTAAATCATGAGCATTAAAGAGGGGGAGGAAACACATTTTCGTCTTTAAAAAGTTCGGAGGCCACCAAAGGGTCATACTGCGTGAGATCTGTGCACCACACACAAAGACATGAACAAAACCAGACTAAGAGTCTACAGTCATGCTCGCAGATCTGTGAAGCTCTGCACAGACAGAGCTAAATGCTAACATCAGCATGCTAACATGCTTACAAAGACAGTGGTAACGTGCTGATGTTTATCAGGTATCATGTTCATCATACAGTTTTGTGCGGGAACGTCATTAGTTTTGAAGGTATTTGGCCATAAACCAAAGTCCTGAATAAAAAGAAATTTTGCCCTGGTGGTGGAGTAAAAGTCAGGGAAGCACTGAAGTCAGTAGAATTCGTCATCTGGGGACAATGAAGGTGGTGGACCAACCAACAGACATTGGCATCCATTGGGCCATCTGCTAGTGTGGCTAGAAACCCATGTAAAGGGGTCAAACAGTCCAAAAAAAAGCCCTTGTGCTATACATCAGCATCTCTTGCACCTATAAAACCAAAGCAGTGGAAGTGGAATAACACTGCTGCACATAAGTTACTGCCAGACATAAATTGTGGCAGCCACACCATCAAACACATGTTTAACTGTTGAAGCTTTTCTATGCATTTACTCAAAATGCCTGTGGCTCAGCTACACAGCTTGCGTGGCAGAACGAACTGTCTTTGATGTGAGAATACTTTGAAAGGGAAGAGACATATAGAGAAGAAAAGAAAAGAAAAGACAAAATGAGGGAGGCAAAAAAAGGATAGGGCACTTGGGTTTTGTGGAACACAACTGAAGGGAAAGTTTAGAAATTGAAGAAAAAGATGTAAGCAACACGAATGCTGTTCCCTTCAAATGAACCTGAATGCCATGTTCCACTTTTCCCCCAACCCCCACTAATTTGCTTTCATCCCCCCCAACTCTCTACCTCCATCACCCACCTCCTCCCTTCATTTCTCTTTCTTTCTATCTCTCAGCTTATCTCTTCCAGGATAAAATCCCGACGCCTGTTTTTGGAGATAGAACACCGGAGGTAGATGTAGATGTGTTAGTTGCTAAGGTGATGACATCTGCTATTTGAAGCACACTGATGCTCCCAGATGTAACACACACATATGCACATATACATAAGCACATTCACCTGTGTTGCCAACACTTCAGAGTTGGAGTGACAAACTGTTTGAAGACATCAGTGAGGCAATGTGGGCTGCAGACTATACACTGGGGGCCACTTCAAATGAAATTCTAGCCCAGAGATTGCAGGTTTGACATCTCTAAGCCTTCTCCTCATCAGACGCATTGGAGGAGCCCTGAGGTGGGGGGTTGTGTGGGATGGTGGTGGTGTGGTTGTTTCATCTCTCTGTTGGGATTCCCTGGAGAAGCACTGATTGAGTCTGGTTTAGGGTCAGCCTCATTTCATTATGGCCATTTCATGAGAGGGACCCAAATTTGATGCTTAAAATGAAATTCTGTTTCCTTGTGTGGAGGGACGGCTGGAATTAAATAAAGCGTGTTTCTGGTGAGATTAGCCATCATTTAGTTATGGAATAGCTTTGTCACATTAATAGCTTGTCACTGAGTCACGCAGTTTGCTTAAAAAAAATTGTAGTCCTTCTTCTCAGAGACTGTAACTCAATCAAATCTGAACACATGAATCATATATTTTTACATTCAGTGTGACATACACTCTGAGGATATCATTATCTATATGATGTCCATTTTGAACGGCCACTGATCTGCTTAGAAAAGACAAAAAAGACGTTTTTAGGTTGTTTTTTAGGTTTTCTTCAGTGTCAAAGTAATCCAGTAAGGGTCTGAGTGTCTGTACATCCATGGGTGCATTGCCAAAAGGAACTGCTAATAGCTAATTCAGCATATGTTTTGCTGCCAAGTCCTCTAAATGGAAACAAATATAGGCAAAAAGAAAAGTTGTAGCTCACAACATATTGCATTTTACTGAGTCTATGGCAAAATTATAATTAAGTAAACAATTACACTAATTCAAGTAAGACAAAAAATAGTGTCAAAATCCATTAACATGAACTTTTTCTAAATATTTATTGACTCAGAAAGTGCCATCAATATAGTTCTTATATTCCTGAAACATCGACACCTTATCTATTCACATCCATTCATTCGACCCCCCCTTACACACACACACATCACACACACACACACCACACACACACACACACACACACACACACACACACACACACACACACACACACACACATAAGCAAACTGCAACACACGAAAACCCTGTGGCCAATCATTGATGAAGCCTTCTCATTAGAGTGCATATTGATTAAGGTTATTGATCCATAAGATAAACCATCAGATCTGGGCCAAGGCCAGCATATTAGAGCTCTGCTGCCGGCCAGTGCCATGACAAAGGCAGTATTTTTAACGCTCTGGGCTATAAAAAGAGGTTTGGGGCAGCGCTTTGACGTTTGGTTATCAAGCATTCTAAGTTTTCCCTGCTGAGCCGAAAAGACAGAAGAGAGAGGATGAAAGGTGGTTCGAGTTAAAGAAAAAAAACCCAAAAAATAGGAAGAGAGATACCGCCTGCTACAGACCTCCAGCTCATCAAACTATAAAAAACAGACCGTTGGTGACAGAATGAGTATCAGGAAATTGAGGGAAGAGAGACGAGCGAGTGGAAAGAGGAAATGGTGTTATGCTACTTGTGTCAAATCATGCTGGTGCGATAGGATTAAATGGTTTGACACTGACACGGTTATCATGGGATGCATGTAATGACGACGACAGCCACACAGTGTAATCTAGCCTCATCAACCAGCCCATTAGCAAATCACCTGCTAACACTCACATCATTAACCAATCAGCAGGACATGTGAAGAAGCATAATCACCTGCTCTCACCTCTTATCAGTTTTTCCATATGTTTTGTCCTCATTGGCCGTGACTGAGATCTATTTCATAGTCTTTCTCTCCAGTGTGCTGCTGTTCACCTGCCAAAGCTGATCTGACAGGAATGACAGGGGGTGAGCAGCATGATGGGAATTTCTATACAACCCCCAATACGTCAACAAGCTATGTGAAACATATCTATTGAATGATTACCTATTTAATGTTTAGCCATGACAACCATCCTAAATTGCTTAAGTGGCCTTTCGTGTATATTGGACATGTTCATATTTGCATTATGCATCTCAACTATTAAAGCTGCTCAGCAAGATCAATACACTCTCATCCTGCTAAACAGGGACAGAATAAAGAGCACCATCTCTAGTCACACCGAGGACCATTTACTGACCCTGAGAAAACACTGAGACATAAATACAAACGGCCTCAGCAGTCTGTCTGAAGGCACAGACGCACAGCTAACCAAACCCACTGCCACTGCTGCGCAATGCGAGCTTCTGTTGTCGAGATGCTCGAGCCATGACCTGTGCTGCGCCCAGTTAATTAATCCTTTCATATATGTGTGTTTACATGTGTGTGACACAAACTGGACGAGTAAAGTCCAAAACCATTTTTCTGTGGCGTTGACATTTCACTTATCACAGTACCTAAGCTGTGTTTTCCGATGCGTTGAGTTGAATATGTCTTTGTGATTAGGTCTACGGGCAAAATCTCTGTCTCTCTCTCTTTCTCTCTGTGTCTTTCCCTCTGTCTCTCGCCCTCTGTTTAGCTGCTGCAGCCACTCCACTCTGTGCCTTTGTTACCGTAGCAACCAATAGCAAAGCCAGGCAGAGATGTTCTATTGCAGTAGATGTAAAAGCGAGGAGGGCGGGTTCGCCCTCTAACACATACAGTACATACGTGTGAGTATACATGCACTCAGACATACACACACACACACACTCACACACTGATGCATACACTTGAGCGTTAACCCAGATCCATGTACATTCATACGAGTGTGCATGAACACATACATGGACACAAATATAAGGAGGTGGGGGTCCCCTCTCTCTCAGCAAGGAGGGGGATGGGGGAGCTGCAAGCATTTTGTCTCCACATTATCCACACCCTGGCAAGACAGTACAGCTCATTTGAAATCAATAGGTCAACAGCAGAAAATATCATTTGAAAACACAACAATAGGCTACATTTATTTCACACTGGCTTAGAAAAGATGCTTACTGCTAAGCCTCTTTTCCACTTCAACAATATAATGTTTAAACTGAATCTATCAGTCTGACTGAACTGGGTGATCATTGCATCGTTGTGTTAATGTAAAAGACTCATTCAGACTCATGAAAGATAATAACTTTTCTGGACATAAGGTACGGTGCACTGCCACAAACTTGATTGAACATGTGAAGAAAACTTCTGCTTTTTGTCCAGTGCAGCTCTTAGACTTCCTCTGCCGGATTATTATGACAGTTGATTAAAAAA